CCAGCACCAGCACCCTGAACTCCGCGGGGTCCACGCACAGGTCATTGCAGAAGCGCTCCATGCCCTCCTCCAGGATGGCATCGTCCTGCTCGTCCTTGTAGCAGCGGAAGAGCTCCTCGATGCGCGGCAGGGAGAACTCCTCGCCGTTGGAGAGCAGCTCCTCCTGGCGGGTGTCCCCCGAGGGCGCGGGCAGCTGCGTCGGCTCCGCCGCCACTGCCATCTTCTTGGTGCCGTTGGCCAGCAGGTCCCCCGAGGCCTTGCCGCACACGGGCCCGGGCTCCTCCTTGTGCCCGCCCCCTCCGCCCTTCTTGCCCTGCGACTTGCCGCCGGGCTCCTTGTCGCCGCTCTTGCTGCCCAGCGAGGACGACGGGTTCTTGCACTTGGTGACGCACTGACCCATGGTGATGGAGCGGTCTCCCCTCCTTCAGGACCGGCCGCCTCTCGTCCAACACCGCTGCTGCTGAATCAGCACGCACCTCCACATGCCATCGGGTGCTGCTGAGAGAGGAACACAGCACAGGTCAGGGAACAGGCTCCGCCCCCTTCAGGTCAACACCCAGAACTGGCAACTAGGGGACAGGCTCCGCCCCCTTCAGGTCAACACCCAGAACTGGCAACTAGGGAACTGGCCCCGCCCCCTTCAGGTCAACACCCAGAACTGGCAACTAGGGGACAGGCTCCGCCCCCTTCAGGTCAACACCCAGAACTGGCAACTAGGGGACAGGCTCCGCCCCCTTCAAGTCAACAGTCAGAAGTGGGCCTACTGCCACTCTGACCTTAATGTCCAAATAGCACTAAGAAACCCATTGTGAGCAGCCAAAGCACTATGACCCATGAGTAAATAATATTATAACTAATTCTAAAAGTCACAAATGCTGCGGGTGTCCTGTGTAAAAATCCTGTCTTTCCTCACAGTGCACTCTGTTGCAACCGATTCCACGAGGAGGAGAACTCATTATCAGGGCACCATGAACAGGTACAGTCAAGCTGGGACTAGAGACTTCTGCAGGGCAAAAGATGTGGCCTCATTTGCAGATATACAGCTACTCATGTTTGGCATATCTATTGGACTGTGAATGATTTACCATTTAGGAGTATCTTTGCATATACACAAAGGTACGCACATTTGTATTTTACTACAAGAACATGAAATCCCTGGTTGCACAAAATCTCTAAATATTTAACCGAGCATTGCATGCATGTCAGTCACTGTAACATTTTGTGTGAAACCATGTGTAGTATTAATTCGGCTAATCAGCCTATTGTTTCTAGTGCTGAGATAGCTGTGTTAATACATCTTAATGTATTTTGTTCCTTTACAGACTTCCCAAATGTGATCACAATACCCCCCTGCCTTCAGCACATCCCTATGAATGCAATCAATTCTGTTTTTGACAAAGCTGAAACAGTGTGAGGGGGCGAGACATAACGTACAAGTCAGCGTGCAGATGACACGAGAACTATGATGATTTGACAAGCTGGCGAGACCCCTGCCCGCAGCTCTCTGCATTAACGCACATATACTTTTCTCAGACGGTCCCCTCTGCAAACATGCTTCAGACTCGTAACTGAGTGGAATCCATGCGGTCTGGAGGTACGCTGTCAGGTATGTACATGCCTTACTTGTGCGCCACTGGGGGGCGCCTCTGCACCGGCAACAGCTGCACGGACAGGTGGCTGATTTCAGCTCTGCTCCGGGGCCCCTGAACATAACAGCCAACACTGGTCAGGAAGAGCCCTCGCCCAGCAGCAGGTCCAGGCCTCCAGCCTTCATGACCAAACACAAGGGCTGGAATCCCTGCTTCCTGGCCCCACGAAAACACGCTTGGATAAAAATCAAGACGCCAGACAGTCGAGCTGAGAGAAGATTCCTCTCTCGCGGCTGCCCTGCCCCAGGCTGGTGAGCTGAGGTTGATACAGCATAACTTCCGCGTTTCTCAGAATCCTCACTCCGCCCTGCCACAGAGCAGGAGCTGGGAAACACAGGGCAACAGAAGCCCACAGCTTCCTTGCTGAAAAACACACACAGTTTTGCACCATCGAATGCTCGAGTGGAATATTCTTAAAAGCAAAAGGTGGCGAGAAATCCTGCTGTGATCTCATAGCCGCAACCTGCTGTATCAGGAGGAAGTCTGCAGTAACAGGGCAGCACAGGAACTTGGAAAGGTTCAGTTGCTCATATCTTAATGCTGTTTCCCAGATGGACAAAACCAATGTTCCAAGGGGCACAATTCGCAGCAAAGCCAATTCAGCCACAGCCCTGAGCACTTTCTGTACTCTCAAACCCGCTCCAGGCCGCAGCGCCTCCTCCACAGAGTCACCCAGCGGCCAGACAGCTTTCGAGCTCCCCCCCGTCCCCGGCGGGCGAGTGGCTCGTTCACCGTGTTTCAGGATTACTCATTCTTCAAAAGCAGAAACAAAACTATTACTCCATCGCCAAGAAGTCAGCTCGTCACCCCCTCCCCCTGACCCGCGCTGCACTGAAGGCTGTTTAGTTTCTGCTTCACACAAGTGTCTGAAAGTGATCAATCCATGAAAAAAAAACCATTTAGACTCCAAACTCCCCTGTTGAGTACAGCAAATGTTAACCAGGAGATTTTGATTTGTTTTTTTTTATTTTCCTTTAAGAAATTCTCTAAGGAAAAATACAGGATCGGCACGTCCTCACAGAGAAGGCCTGGCGTTTTAAAAAACACTGGTGACCGTGTCCAAGACGGCCAGGGTGTTGATCTTCTGTGCCCCGAGATGCTAACTCTGACTGGGTCACCCGTGTCTCGACAAATTTCCCTGACAGTAATGGGGAAACAGCTCTATAGCAAAGCAGAACTGTGCCCACCGCTGCACAGACACCTGCAGAGTGGGAAATTCCTCCAGTGACCTGCAGCTTCTTCTAATCAGCTTCACCAGCTTTCTGCATCTTTTGAAAAGCAAACGTGTAACCCTCCACTGAGGAAATGAGGTTCTTTTTTTAACCCCTTCCTGTGTGCAACATGCCTCTACAGCAATAACTGCAAATCTTACACAAAAAGGGCTGGAGAGGTGAGATGCCCCCTGAGTTCTTCCAGACAGACAGCAACACTAACCCATACTGAGCTGCTGCTTGTTCCAGTCCAATGACACCGTGGAAGGCAGACTGGAGAAAAGGCACCCCCTTAAACACAGCTGAACGCCAAAGCAAAGGACAACAGTAGGGTTTAAATCATTTGGGTTTCAATATGGTAGCAGTTAAATAGACACACATGCTGCTGGGCAACCTTCCAGCTTCTGAAAGAGAGCAGCACTTCTCCAGATTTGTGCGTGTGTCTCAGATCTGCAAATGCAGTGTTACAGGATGACTTGCTTTAGTGTTGTTAACAGATTGGGTAACGAGTTGGCTTTTAGTCCGCAAGCTTTGAAGACAAGGAAGAATGAAACAAAAATGAAGCTGTTACTTACAAAAGGGTCTCAGAACGTATCCCTGGCGCGGGTGGGAGAGAACATCAGTGCACACCAGTCAGCTCAGGTTTTCATCCGCAACGCTGAAAGACACAGAACACCTCATCACCATCAGTCTTGGCTTTGATCCACAGTGCTAAACAAGAGGTTTTTTTTTTTTAAATGGCAGGAAATTTGCATTTCTTTTAAGAATCAAATAATCCAGGACTTTCCAGCAACATCTTTTTTTATTCCTGGAAAGGAATAATAAATAGTTCTAATGACACAAAGTGGGAAGTGGTTAAAAAGAAGTACTGTGGCTTGAAATGAACAATGATGTTTTCTCCCCCCTGCTAAGCATAACTCGGAGTTTCTCCTTTCACACACCACACTGAAAAACTGTGTTTGGCAGACTAATGCTTTCATAAATTACACCCTGTATAGTTAAAGAAATTGTATATTATCTTTACAGCCTACTGAACTACTCATTAGAGCACCAAAATTCAGCAGGATGCTCCTGTGCTCAGACTATGCTTAGAGTGCTGATAAAAAACTAAAAATGCACAGTGCAAATGCAATGGGGTGCTGCATTAATGCAAAGGCCACAGAACAGAACTTCTTCTTGATGCATGAGGTGGAATCCTGACCCAAGGACACAAGACTGTGTAATCTCTAGAAGACCCCAGTCTGGCCAACTGTGCAGCCAAAGAGCAGCAATTTGGCAGAAAAAAAGCCCTCTGAAGCTTCTGAAGGTCATCAAAATTGCTTTGAGATTGTTGTTTAAAAGCAGCAATTAAAAATAAACACACATAAAAAAACATAAGAAGCCAAACAGTCTTCACCAAACACAATGAAACCCCACTGGATTTCTTTGCACATGCAATTAGCTTTAGGACATCTCTGTCTCCGTATCTTTTGAGATGTGATCAATCAGGACTGTGCTAAATAATACTAATTCACACTTGGAGAGATCCGCGTTGAATGGCATTTGATCTCAGGAGCTACAGGGAATTCCAGTTGGCTTAATTTGACTCAGGGCTGCTCATGCCTGTTTCTGACGGTCAGCTCGGGCTGTGACCTTTCACCTCTTGGCCACACGTGCTCGTGGCCAGAGTATGAACCCCCAGAAAAGGGGGAGAAAGGAGGTGACTGGGGTGTGGCCAACAAATGGTTCCTGTTCTGACAGATTCCAGAACTTCCCACGCTGTTTCTCCTCCTCTTTTCATTCCCAATCCAGACGCCAGATGCCTCACGTTACCCCCACTCTGATACATAATGTGAAATCCACACAGAATCGAGCTACATCACTTAACAAAGTGGGATTTCAAAACAAAACTCTAGTGCAAAACCTGTTTAAGACCAGGCTGTGCACTGCAAAAAAAAAAATGGGGCAACTTTACACACATCGAACACGCTGAAGTCTCGTGGACACATTTTTTAAGGAAAACCTGCCATATGCTGTGAGGCAAACGATGAGGATGAAGGGAGAAAGAGTGCAGAAACACGGACAGGCGGCAAGATCACTCCGTGGCCAAACGCTCCTGGGGTCTCCCACATTCCCTTACAGTCAGGTGCAAGCTTGCAAGGTTTTCCTGAAGACCCGGAGTTGGGGTTCACTTCCTCTGGGATGTTCTCTCTCTCTCTCTATTTTCACAACCTCCAAAATCACAGCTCACCAGCGTATTCCCTTTACTTCTGGACATAATCGTGCTGCTGCCTCACCTGAAAGGTGCTGTCAGATGAAAACTGCTTCTGACGGTTATGTGCCGTTAGGCGTGTTCAGGGAGCAGCAGGGAGCTGTATACAGAAATTCCAAGCACCTCCCATCACTTAACGTTCTGGGAAATTTCAAGCTACTGTATTTTCGACACACTTCGACTTGCAGGCCCCTCTTTGTCCTAGCTTTCCCCTCCTTGAAGAAGATTCCAAAAGCGACCTGAACTCTCAGTCAAGACGAATCTTGCCTGATGGGCTAAAGCCTGCTTGGAAAAGCTACGAGGGTCCGAGAAGATCCTGGAACATCCTGTCGTCAGCTGCAGCTGCACCGCTGTGCCGGTGACGTTCCTACAGAGCAGTGAACAGCCAGACTGCAGCGAGCTGTGGCCTCAATGCCCTCCCTCTCGGCTCCTGTTTCCCCTTGTGGTGTGCCTGTTTTATTATTAGCAGGTCTGTGGACAGGCCCAAGAAACCGCGAGGTTTCTGCGAAGGACTCCGCCACACCCCCCAAACAAAGCACCTCGACTCCAGATGACTCCAGCTCACCTCACAGCAAGTCAAACGCCAGACCGGAGGCAGGAGCTCGGACTGGGAAACTGAGAACGCCTGCTGCCGGAGTCCTGAAGTCCCCAGCAGTTCCCATTACGTCACTGCTGAGGGCAAGAGGTCAGAGGTCATCACGGTGGTGCCCTGAAGCACTCCGGCAGCCCACTCCACACCTCCACAAGGCTGCCACCCAGCTGGTGGCCCTGGCAGGAGGCTGGCACAGCCCTTAACATCCAGGGCCTGATCTGCTAAACCACAGCACAGCCACTCTGTCCAACACCTCCTCTGGCACTCCGCTGCAGCCGCAAACTTCAATGCATCTTTTCCCGGGAGAAAGTATCGGCAAAGCCTTGTGCCCTGCACTGGACAGTGACCGGAGGGACAAACCAACCACCTACTTGTCTGGCCAGGAACCAGGTCAGCGCTGGAAAACCAAAAAGAAAGTCAAGCTGCACTCGCAAGGCATAGCTTCGCTAGAAGAATTCAGAAATGGCAACAGGGATATCTCCAGTCTTGTTTCAGGAAGATACATGCCGAGAGGTGGGGTATCCTAAACTTGTGGTCAGTCCCTAGAAGCAGTTCCAATCCCTTCCTTGGCTGCTCAGTCAATTATATTCACAATAAATGAAATCCCGGGAACAGGTCTGACTGGCTATGGCTCAAGGTGTATCAGGGAGCCCAGCGCCCTTGCATTCACTATAACTACAGCCCACACGAATCCCAGCATCACATCAGCTCTGCAATGGTCCCGTCCTGTTCCCCAGTCTATACATCTGACATTTCTGTGGAGAAAAAGCCACGCTACAAATCAGACTGCAGCTAAGGCCAACCTGAACGGCCACCCGCCGACGACTTACAGACCTGGACACCTGGGTCCTGTTTTCTCGTTTTCATACCAGCCAGGCTCTCACCTGCTGCACGGAACCCGATCGCTCGTCAAGACTGAAGCGGTCTCGAGCGGCAGGCCGGGCGCAGCGGGGCTCTCCGTGTAGGAACCGTGCGCACAAGATCACAAAGTTCTGCCAGCTCAGAAAGAATACCAGCTCGCCTGTGCCGAGCTCCCTAGCAGTTCCACAGAGGACTTCTCAAAACAGACACCTCCACGCTCCCCCAAACCTCCTTTTGTTCTTCTGCAGCAGAAGGCAGCAACGACAGGTGTGAAATCTCACCCCGCGCAGCTGAATTTCGCACGCAGCTCCCAACTTCAGAAAACCTCATTAGTCTCAACGGCAATGGGGCCATTTTTTTACCTGGATTCCTGCGAGTCACATCGAAGACGAGCTCCCAAACTTCGCACCAACCTGCACGGCCAGGAACCAAACCCCAGCGCTGAACAAAACGGGGAAGAGAACGGAAAACAAGCCCACCGGCACAACGAAGAAGGAGAGGAGACCTAACAGCGCTCAGACAGCAAGCAGAGCAAAGCAACGCATGAAGCCACTGGGCTGAACGCAGACCAGCGACACATATGTCACCTCTTAAGAATCACAGGAAAACGAGAGGGAATTTCACTTCATGTATGGCTAACGAGCCCTACAGCCCTAGTCCCCGTATAACTAAACAGCACAGTCAATCCTCTAACCCCGACGGATTAGTCAGAAACTGCAAATCGAACACCTCATGGTGGGTTTCCACTGGTTGGGCATACAAACAGAAAGCTGTTCTGAAGGTCAAAGGTTTAGAATCAGTGACCGACAAGCCCAGCGGATGGATATGATTGAGCCTCAGAGCTTTCCGATTCCTTTAGCCTATGAGCAGGGCTCTCAGACTGAGCCCCTGGAGGGCCTGGTGTCTTCTGGCATGTGTTCCACCCACGTTCTCAGTTAAAGAGCTGGTCTAATTACTTAATTAGCTAGCACTTCTAAGCAGGAGGCAGGCTCTGAGGTGATCTATAGGCAGTGAATTTGCAATCAACAGCAAAATTCCTTAAGAAGAAGTCTACATGTGCATAATTTAGATGATAATGAGGTTAACAGTTTAATCGACTGCTCAGGCTGGGGTAAAAGCTAGAGGAGAGCAGGGCTTTCAGGATGTGACTTTGAAACCCCTGTTTACGAGTGTCTGTGTACGTTCGTCCCCAAACACCACTTTCGGCACCTACTCCTCACCACAAAACAGGCGTTCCACCAGTCCTGCAGAGCTGGAGTCCTGTTTCTTCTTTGTCCAGGCTGCAATTCTAGTATTACTAAATCACGACACTGAGCCATTCTCCTCCGGTCCCACGAGCGGGACGTCTGACGTGTTAGCAAGGGGCCTCACCGTGCCGGGGGTGACGAAATGACGAGAGAAGGACCGGGTCGCCACGTTCTGGTCGGTGTGACACCGAGAAACTGGGACTCGCTGTTGACACAATACCTCGTATATAAAGTTTCTGGCTCATTTAAAGGGGACCTGCAGCCCCAGTTTTAAAAAATAGTTATTAAACCTTGGCAACAAAAAATAAATTAACTTACGGTATCGCTAAATTTGACAGATCCTGAATTCAGCACACAATTAGTGAACTTGGTGAATGTACTGTCAGTTGCCATGTTGGTGCAAAGTCCTGGCCCTGCCACGGGCGAGTGCGAGAGTTCACAACAACTGCCCTTCCTGGTCACTAGTCACCATAATGACTGACGCAAGACAATGTACGAGTGAATAAGCACAGGTTGTGCAGCAGACATTTCACTGCAGAAATGTTCCACCGTGATCTGCATGCAGAGTTAACAAGAAAGAAGTATTTGTAGGCTGTCTCAAAGTCGGATTTGGATTAAAAGATGTGGAACCAGAAGCCTGCTTGTTTACAAGGTAATGGGGCCACTTCACACCACCGGCATTTCTGTTGCCTTGTTCTGAATGCAGACAATGACAGTAATATGGTGCTCTGCATACCTGGAAATTCTGCCCGTTTTGTGATGTAAATTGGAGTTTTTACACATCACCATGCACATTTTTACTTTCTTTGTGGTTTGAAACGTACGCATCGGTGCCAATTCTGTCCGACCCTCGAAAAATAAAAAAAACAGAGTTGCGTCTCCCAACCTCTGCATCCGAACCGCAGACCAGAATTTTCACCCATCTCGCATCACAGCTTACTGCCACGAAGAGCTGTCGCAAAAGTCTCTGGCGCTGGGTTTTTGTTTGCAGTGCGAATCACTGAACTGGAAGGCGGTCAGCAGGGCCAACCTTGCGCCTGGGGGTGTCTGGACCCTGGGGTGATCTCTATGAGATTTAGCAGGCTGGCCTGGCCCGGCCTGGCCGCTGCCTCTGGCTGGTTTCCCACCAGCCACTGGAAGCAAGACGACACTCGGTCCGCAATCCCAACCTGCTGGCCACGTCCCCCGAGACCCTCCGAGACCTGACGGCATCTCGCAGAGAGAGAGAGAGTCGGAGCTCCGGGCTGACAGAACCGAGCCCCGCCAGTCACTCCTGGGGAGGAGGCCGCATTCCCTTCTCAGACGGAGCCTGCTTTTTGTCCAAGCACCGCTGTTTCAGATAAAGACAAGAAGTCAAACTAAAACCAGCGATGTTTTCGCCGGACTGACACCACAGCAGCAGCCTACAGATGAAAAGACGACAGCTGGCGAGCTCCACCTCAGTGCCAGAGGGGTAGAAAAGTGCGCCCAACCTAATCCCATTAAAGGCCAGTTCCCTTTCGTGGACGTGTCAAAAACAGCCGAGACAGGGCGACACGATGGAACAGGAATATCCCCTTCTAGAGCCGTTTCTGGAACCTCCAACAGCCTGTGAACGGCCCACCTCGCGACACGCAGTTCTTAAAAAAACGAGGATAACCAGATCGTGAAGAACAGCAAGCCGGCCGTCACGCTGTGTGGAGCTTAGCGGTGCTCACCTCCTGGTAATCTACAGCACCTCAGGGACACAGACCGCGGCGCCCAGCTGTGCGGCGATCAAACTCACACGACACAAGACGCTGCTCATCTTCGCTTCTGTCAGCTTCCCGCAAAGCTTAAGATTTCGGCCAGTGTGGCTCAAAGCCTCATCAAGGCTCTCCAACAAACAGTCTGCACTGGTCCATCGCAATTTATCACCTCCACACACCTGAACAAGACTCCCCAGCTGGAATTCTGCCTTTCCTCTTGTAACTTCTCAGTGTGGAATGAACCTCAGCCAGATGCTGATGTGGCTCCCAATTCCAACCTCCTTGGAATATGATAATCACTACAGCTTCACACTCACTGCAAACATCAGCATCAGTACACATAAAGACGGCTAACTTTAACACACCAGATGTTCATCCACTGCTGCACACAAACCATGTGTCAAAGCTGCTCTCTGAGCTGTGAACATCAGACAAATGTCACAGAGGAACAAGTTAAGGTTTATTCCACACCGAAAGGAGAAGAAAAGAAACACAACGTTTCGGCTGTGGAGCCTTCTCCAAATTTCCCCCCAAAGGTTTCCAACAGAAAGCAGCTGGCTGGTGAACCGTAGCTCCTGAGGGGCGGACGTGTCCATCATGACACAGGCATGCTGCTGCTCCCTGCCCTGTGTATCCGTATCCCTGACCTCTGCTAAAGGAGATCCTCCACAGGACAGGCAGAATGGATCAGATACAGGTCTTCGCAGCTGTGGAAATGTCACCCCCTGATCAGTACAGTTTGCAACAAACTGAAGCCACATCCCCATCCCTGCTGTAATGCAGCTTTCTCCATTCAGCAAGCTGGCTGAACACGATCCCATCTCTCTCTCCCTGCCGAGCGGCTGGGCCGGACCCAGAGACACATCCTACCCTACAGAGCTCAACTGTGCAGGATCGGATCTGATCTACGCCTCGTGCTCGGATAAAAGACAGGCACAGCTACTGAGGCCCTGAAGACAACACCAAGACAGGACCCCCGTGAATCTGTCTGGCTGACATTTCTTTCCGAAGTGACCGAGTCTTGTGCCTGTGTACAGTGTATACAGCACGTTCAATGGACCCTTACGCGTGAAGAGCCCTGTCCAGGGCACAACAGCAGTGCCCACACAGACTCAAACCCTAACCACTGCTGTGCTCATACTCCAGTATTCTTCACTGCGGGCTACACACTATCCTTTCATCACATGCATATATATTTGGGATATATATTGGGAGCGTATCAGTCCTGCCCCCAGAACGCATTAGAGTGCTTTTTTGCCTAAGCAGATTTAGCCTGGTTTGCAGTCTAGTGCCACCCTCACGGGTTTAAAAGCCCACCTCGGTTAAACACTCCATTTACACAGCGTCCATGTACGCGTTACTGATAGCTTCAATTCAGATTGCAGATACTGTAGCTGCAGTAAGGGTTATCACAAGACCTGTCTTCGGTTGCTCACTAGCCAGAAAGTGCAGCTCGGTTGTCAGAGAGACCGCTACACAGCCAGAGGCAGGGACTAGCCTCTTATGGTGTAGCCTTACTCTGTGGGCTCAGCTCTCGGACACAGCGTGTGAAAGCCCACGCTGACCACACGGCGGTGAGCAGACTAATTAAAACTTCACTACAGGGCTCCCAGAGGTAGGTGTAATCGGAGCCCTCCCCCACCGAGAGAGACTTTTCTGCATCTAGCGCCCCACAACACGCTAGACAAGCAATCCTAACAGCTGCCGGGACTCGACTTCAAATCAACAATAAATTAAAGATCGGACTCCTACTAGAAATGAATGCACGGACAAAAATGAGTATCTATCCGACTACTCACAGCACAGTCGTTCATGTAAATGCGGTATAATCACCGCACACTGCTACAGATCTCCAAGCCGTAACGATAACACAATCGATCTCTCTCTGTTCGGTTACTCTTTAATTAGTTTACTTGTTTGTTCGAGATTTTTTAGGGGGGGCAGGTGAGGGACAAGAGCATCGCGCTGAGTCGAGTCTATTGTCATGAAGATAAACGTTATTCTTCGACACAGCGGGGACATGAAGCAGCTGATGAACTTACCTGGTGCTGAACTCCCCGGCAGGCTCGGTTCACAAACTCCACCGATCGGCGCAGCTGGGTGGCAGGAACCGCAAACGGCCGCTAACGCCGGTCCGGGTCCTCTGTCACAACGTGATCTCAAAAGAAAACCAATAAATAAATAATCCGAAACAAAATCCCTTGACCATATTCGATCGCGGTCGCTCCGTAAAAAAAAACACACACACACACCAACAAAACAAAACCACGCAATTTCCTTTCGATCGCACTGAATAAAAACTCCCGAAAAAAAGTACACACAACAACAACACGGTAGGACTGAAATTGTTGCACGATCTCCTCACCTTTTAAACAGACAGTGAAATTATTGTGAAACAGGCAATCATCACTTCCTATAATAAAGGAAGGTTTAACAGCCCCACACAGGCAAAAACCAACGACACACAACAGCTCTCCTCGATTTGATAATCCCCTTTCGACTTTTTAAACAACACCCCAACTCTCGGATGTTTTAACCTTTCGCTGGTGTTGTCCAGGCGATAACTTGGAAAAGCCTGTCCGTGATTAAGGACTTTCTTTACGTTTTTTTTTTTACCCCTCTCTCTCTCTATTGAGTGGATATTAATGGGAATTTTCCCTGCATCACTTCCTGCAGCCCATCGCTGCGGCCAAGGGGCTCAGCTGCCTGCGCACTACGTCACAAAAGCGTGAGCGCACAAACCGCTGTCGTCATCATGGGAGCGACGGGAGTGGGTACGTCGCCTGTGTTTTGCCTTGAATGAGAACAGCTAAGGTTGGTGGACATGGGAAGCTAATACTATCCCTTTCAAATTAATATTTTGTTTCGTTACGAACGCATCGATAACTTCTTCATGTGGCTCGTTTTAAAGTTGTTCATTTTTCTCGTTTATCCTTGTTGCTCTTGCCTTAGCCTTATGTAAGTCTTGATAAAATACTCCTCTTTAAAGAGGTGGGTGTTCTTGCTGTTAAGCAATACTTAATTGAACTGCTGTGCCCCAACGCTTATTGTATGTAATTCTCTTTTAGGTGTAACCTGTTGATGACGCATCACTGCTTCTACCAGAAAATATATTTCGGGGTTGAAGAGTTCCCTTTAGGATTGTATGTAGAAAGTTAATAATCAGTTGTCAATCATCAGGGTGTGCTCTGGAGTCATCGAAAGGTATCAGGAATATTTGTTACTTTTGGGATTCTTACGAAAATTTGACCCTGATTTCTGTTGCTCTGCTAACTTCTTATCGGCCTGTGCAGTTGAAGACGAGATAGCTAAATGGCAAGTGTTCATAGCTGTGTTTCAGCAATTTATTTTGATTTTTCATGCCCCCTCCCCCCATATTCCAGTTGTCAAATCAAACCGTCCGATTTATTCTTTCTCCTCGAGAGCAGTTTCTCTCGCAGAGTTCCCAGAATACCCGGAAGTGCTGATTAATAACAGATCCGACACGCTGTGAGGGAACTAGTGAAAGCACCGCAGGCAATCATGACACATCACCCTTTCTCGTTATCGAGTGTCGCTTCGCCCTTTCCGGCCGACCGTGGCTTTCTGTCCTCTCCCACCATGATTTATCACTGGGATTCAAAATATCTCACGGGTCTGCGCACACTAATGTTGTCATTAAGAGACTCTGAGAAATTCAGCTTTTCTTGTCCCACTTGCTGGTGTATTTATGTTTGCGTTTAGTACAGTGAAACTGCCAGTTCGACAGAAAGTCAGCAGACTTTCCTCTGGGACTGAATTTCCCAGTCCTGTTTCTGGAGCCAAACTGTGTCTTCTGGTTTCATTCCAACAGAGATCTTCATGAAATAAGGTGACTGAATCCTTAATTGGTCTAAATTGATTGATTTTTGAAAGTGTGATGTACTTAGAATTTACAAATAACTTCCTTTATGTACACAACTTCCCCAGAAATCCATTTTGGATTGAAATGGCTCCTCTGTAGGTGTTTTTAAAACATCTCTTGTTGTTTATCAGTGAAAGGCGTGGGGATGAGGCTTTTAAACACTCATGGTGAGTTCTTGGTGCTCCACTGGCCCACAGGTGAGATTCAGCCACATCAGTGAAACAACAACCCTGAAAGAGAGAAGTTCTGAAACCCAGTGCCTGCCACAGGTTCCGTGCTGATTCCTAACCTCATTCCACTGTTTAAGGGTGTAAACTGTTTCAAAAATACAAGCAAATAGTTCAGTTCACTTCAATGGAAGAGCTGGAAGAGCCAAACTAACAAATTCTCTGGTGGGTTATAATCCAGGTGACACAGGGGTAACCCAGGACTGGGATTGGGAATCACTGTTATGGGATATTGGGTCTCAACACTGCGGCTGCAAGACCTGTGTCTCCCGGTTTTCATTCCAGTTTATTAGACTATATGATCAGTAGTCAATTAATACTGTTTTTTTGTGTGGAAATGTAAGTTGGATGGGGCTGCTAATTATCAGCTCTGAAGTAATTTCCACACACCTACATGTGAAATGGTAGCAGCTAATCTTCTGCAGGGCACAGTTGCTCTTTTGTGGGTGTGTGAGACAGTGTTATTCACACCTGTGTCTGGACATAATTAAGTGGCTGTTGATATGTCAATAATTGATCAGATGCTTAATATGCAACTTTAGGAGAGAGTGCAAGGAGCTTTGTTTGCTAAGGCAGTATTTCTGCAGCACGGTGTTTCTGAAATGAAAAGCAAGCAAGAAGCTGAATGCAAGGTTGAGTTAGCTTCACTAATGGAGAGCTCAGCTGGAATAAAACCCAGAATGCAGAGCGAGGAAATGAATGTTAATTCTGGGTTCCCGACTAAATTCAGTTCTGGGCTTGAACAGTCTGGCCTCCCTAAATTCCCCCTTACCTCCGCTGGTGAAGAGATTTCTCCCATTCTCCCCCTGACCTACAATGCAGTGGGATTGCTGGTTCACTATGGCGGCTGCTCTGTTGTGTGTAACAATGTGTCGCCCCAGGGATGAATATATACTAATGGCATGAATTTCTGAGGCTTCGTGTCTCTGACCGGTCCAGGCGATGGCCGCAGCGAGGCAGGAGGTGCTGTCTCTGTACCGCCGGGTGCTCCGGATCGCGCGCAGCTGGCAGGCTCAGTCCGGCTTGTCCCAGGACACCAGCACCGAGAGGAGCTACATCACCCAGGAGGCCAGGACACTGTTCAGGCAGAACAAGCAGGTAAGAGCAAAGGGGCACTGGTGTCCTCAGGGGCCGCTGTCCAGTGGGATCAACCTGCAGCTCACCGAGCACGAGGAAAGGCTTCAGCTTGTCCCATTAAGCAAATAAGTTCAATTATGTAATTAAGGGCTCAGGTGGGGTATAAACCAGAACTGGAATTGTCCACTCCAGATGTTCAGGGTCCACAGACCCGACTTCGGCGCCCCTGTCACCCACGGGGCGTGGGCGTGTGGTTGGATGAAAACCACTGACCTCCAGCTGGAACCTAGAAATCCAGCAGGATTTCTGAAGCTGCTTAAATCGACATTTTGTGGCTGCGAAGGTGGCGCAGATTGGGCCAGGTCAACCTCAGTTTATCAATTAAATACTTCTCCCCTGTGAAGAGCTATTTCTCATTTAAATTAAACTGACGTAGAAAACCTAAAGAGCAGGACTGGGAACCCCTGACCTCGTTGCCTGTTGCCAGCTCATTACTTGGGCTTCTCCTTCAAAATCGCTTTTGAATTCAATGGTTAATTAACCAATTAAGGGGATATTTCAGATGCTCTGAGCTTCCAGAGCTCATCTGCTTCAGTGACAGTAGGGTACAGGCAGGGATCTGTGTCTCTGTACCTTCAGTTTCCGAATGTCCACAGTGGAAACACATGGACTGATGGAGAGTTAGCATCCCGCTGGACCCAGTTCACAGACTGCCAGCTTGCTGAGTAAAGAAGAAGGCTGGGAAAGGAGGAAGTGACACGGATGACATGGAAAATCGTTTTTCTTAGATTACAGATGGCGAGTCAATTAAGAAGTGTATAGAAGAATGCCACGCAAGAATTGAAATGGGTAAGTGATTCGTAAAATGTAGTTTCGGCTTAAGTGTTGCAATCGCAGATGAAGTATGAGAATAATGGTTTGGCTGTTTCGTCCAATGTGCAGGATTTTGTTTTCTGTTGCAAGTAACCGCAGCTCTGCTCTGCCCCCTTTCTGGGCTCATTCGTTTGAAGCTTGTGGAATAGCGCCCTCTGGTGGCTCTGACTAGATACTTGTCCTGTCACTTCTGGTTAAATTGGACGTTGTTTTACCATGTGGTTTAAAGGATTCGGTTTTGGCTTATACGCTACGTTTTTGTACATTATTGCAGTTTCTGTAAATACAGAAATAATTGACTGGCCACCCTTCACCCCATTTAGTTCAGAGTAAGCACTAAATAATTAAAGCACCTCTGGCCAGAGCCCACCAGTGCTCTGCGGTAAGATTATACTGTACGTGGACTGAATGTAGTTTTGTTTCCGCAGGTCTTCATTACAGGATTCCTTATCCCAGGCCGGTGAGTGATGATAAACCGAAACCCTTTTCACTGCCTTTTCAAGGCTGCTGCTTGTGAAAAACATGAGTAACCCTAATTCCCATGCATTCCTTACAAAAAACGAAAAAGCTGATACCGCAGTTTTCATGAAAGAAACAGCAGGTTGAGAACTACTTAGTACCAGAGGGGCTGAATGGCCCCCTCGCCTGTGACTCTTATTATGTTCTAAAAATACATTCAGGAGAGTTAAGCACATGTGTTAGAGGGACATTACCTGGATGTCTTTCTTCAGTATAATCCCACGACATCAGTAGTACCTAGTACTGGCCCGGAGACAGGGCCGGTGTCTCTGCAGGTTTTCTTGCACTCTTCAAAGGAACTGTGCCTGGAGAACTGGAACGAACTGTTACACCGAAAAAAAAAACACAGTCCTCCAGATCTCTAGCCTTGATCGTAATCAGTTATTGGATTATGGTTAAACATTTTCCATGTTTGTTTGGTATTGCTATTGCCATTAAACAGATGCTTTCTAGACAGATCTTTAGCTCTGTGGATTACATACTTGTCATGACTTGTCACTTGTCATGTGATTACATACTTGATTACATACAGTTTGTACCCTATGCTGCTGTGACAGACTTACCTGCCCCCCATGGGCCTGGCCACACAGAGGGGGAGAAGGCTCCGAGCCCAGGAAAGACGGAGGAAGCAGGCACAGCCCATCTACTTGCAGTCACACGATGAAACGTCCTGAGCTCTTCTCTTGGTGTGTGGCCGCGGCCGCAGCCTGGGTGGGGGACGGTGCTGGGAGAACCGCAGCACAGGGGCTTTGGGTGAGGGGTCACTGGACTTGGCTCTGGCCAGTGCCTGCTGGGGTCCAGAGGAAGGTGCCCCAGAGCTCACCTCCGCAGGAAATGACAGCAACAGTTTGGTGAAATGAATACAAATCAAGAGGCTCCATTTGTCTTTCTTCTGGAGCAGGAGGCACAAATGTCTTTTTTATTTGCTTCCTGATTTTTTGCAGAGGATCTCTCTTATTTCTCTGTGCAGACAGTTGTCTGTGGAAATCTGGAATGATGCACTATTATTAGTCCTGTATCTGATTCAAGGCCAGATGTGCATGTGTGCTTAAGCCAGGGGGTACTCTATTCTTTAATGGGGGTATCTTTAATGGAATACCATCGTCCTTTTCATTTGTGTACTGTCAGTTTACACTTGTGCTGGTAAACCTTGCGGCAGTTGTTCCCTAAAACTAAAACATGGTATAACCTGCTGCTGTTTTCAGTCTTGCAAAGAGACAAGAAACTATATTGCCACAGGGAAACATACCACCTTAACCAAAAATGAAAACTTTATTGTAATTAAGGGCATCTGGGATAGCATGAGACAACTGCCATACCTGCTTGTGTATAAGTGATCAAATCTACTTGCTTTACACAGGCATGTGCAGTCTTCCAAGACTGTAACCCACTGAATCATAGCTCTGTAATATAACTAATAAAAACTAAAGTAGAACATTTCCAGAGATAGTATACATCTACAGTCCATGTTTGGCCTATTTGACATGTAGCTCAGCAAAGGTGTTTGTAAAGTAATCAGTCTAAAGTTTGGTCAATTTCCTGTCCTTAATTTGTTCTCTTATTAAAAGAGTTGAAGAGCACCTGGTGTATGGACTCCTTAATTACTGCATCAGAAAGAGCTTGTGACAATCCCCAACGTGATATCAGGATTTACGTTCTCTCATATCGGGAATGTCATTTTACTTTCCATTTTTAAAAACGTGTTCATGCCACATGTGTCCTCGTCCTTAATGAAACATGTCTGGTGTATCAAACACATGGAAGTGATTGTGCTGGACAGGGGAGTGGCTGAACGTATGCAGATGCCTCACTCTCCTCGAGTTTCCATCATCCAGAACTCCATTTTCTAACTGCTTTATCCGATACAGGCGTAGGGAAGTCGGAGCCTATTCCCAGCAAGCAATGTGCACACCCAGGACAGGACGCCAGTCCATCCCAGAGCACCCATAGACACAGATATGCACACACTCACGGCAGGGACAGTTTTCTCAGAAGCCAATTAACCTACCGGTACATCTCTGGACTCGGGGAGGAATCCGGAGCACCTGAAGGAAACCCACACAAACTCCAGGAGAACATTCAGATTCCATGCAGAGAGCACTCCAGATCCGGAACTGAACCCAGGGCCCCAGCATTGGTTACCATTGTGGCACCATGCTGCTCTTGTTTTCTGATATTAGACATATTTAAAAACTGCACTGAATGTGCTGTGACTACTTGCATCCCTAAACTAAAACCAAAGTATTATAAAGTGCTTTGCTGGGCTGTAAAATTGAGCATCAATAAAATATTAAATAACTCGGTTATATAAAAAAAAACTTTGATAGAGGTCATATCTGAAACCCTGAAGGAACGTTCCACTGGGTAGTCATAGTAGAGTAAGCAGATCGCACAAATCGTGATGAAAACTCAGCCCCTTCACAATGCTATACCAACTGATCTCCAGCTGCCCTCCTTCCACCCCAACAAATGCACAGCGTGTTTCTGCAGCGCCCCGGTTTCTTCCCGCAGGGCTTTATTGATCGCGGTTGGGTTGCTGTGGGGCCGCGCGGCCCTCGAAAGGCCCGTCAGTCATCGAGCTGGCAGAGACAGGCCACGCCCCTGTTGATCCAGTGCTGCTGGGGCCGGTCAGAGGGCAGCTCGATGGGCAGCACGTAGTTAGTGGAGTGGCCGGTGGTGGACAGCGTGCCCCTGCGGGCGCTGGTCTTGTACACCGGGCAGAAGTACACGTTCTCGTGCAGGAATTTGGAGCTTTCCCCCGGCTTCAGCCAGATGATGGGCAGCGGGTCGAAGAGGATTTTGGGGAGGGACTCGCCGATCACCCTCTTTTCCCTGTCCCAGCGAGCGCCCTCCAGGAACAGGCCTTTAATGTAGGCACCATCCTCCGGCTTCGCCGGCATGTCCGTCTCCTGCGTGGTGACCTGAGGACAGTAGATGCCACATCATGACAGAGGTGGGGGCACATCGAGACAAAAATGCAGGTTGCGTCTCTTTCCTGTGTACAATGTTTGAACACGGCAACATAAACATTTGTCATATTCCGTAAAGATAACGTTTAAATAAGAGTGTACAACTAGGAAGAGGGCCCATGACCTGTTAAAGCTGAGAAGTAGTGAAACCAGGACTGCGGGTTCAGATATCCTGTGTCTGTGCCACAACTAGGATTTGAACCCAAAACGCAGTCACAAGCCTAGAGTCCTAATCTACTATTCTTCCTCTTCACTGTTGCCTGGCTCAGCTGGCCTCTTTTTAACACCTCCTACTCAAGCGCAATCTAAGCTCTAATGTCTAGAGGATCTCTCCAGGGTGGAACTGTCCTCCGTTTGTGATCACAATTTAGTTAATTTTTTTCCGGCTCATGGGTAATGCTAAAGACAGTAAGAACTTCTCAAGGTGAAGCAGCAGACCAGCTGTCTGAAGGCCCAGGAGACAGTGGCTGTGTGGATCTCCTGCACAAACAGCACAGGGGCCTCTTGATGGGATGAAAGCCCTCCCAGACGTGATACAGGACATCATTCAGGACCAAAAGATATTCACGAAGACAGTTTTGGACAACTAAACACATTCACAAGACTGAAAAAATATCACAAAGACTCCCAGTCCTACACTGAAGAAAGCAGGATATCAGGGTTAAGAAATAGAAATAGGGTGTTTTGCCACCTGGAGTTTTTCTGTGGCAATCTTACCTCAAATTCGAAGCCAACATGATCGATCGGTATAGTGTACTTCCTGGCAAAGTTCTGTGACACACCAGTGAGGAAGGACTGGGTGAAGTAGAACCCTGATATCCAGAACACATTGGGGGGTCCATTATCTATCCAGTCCTGTGGGGAGCAATGAGACTGTGTCAGTGGATACTGAGACAAAGAGCACGGCTATGAAGCGTCTGTGCTGTTATGTTTAGTTTCCACCTCCTCATCCTGCAAAAAAAGACGCAGGTTAATGTGTTGCTCCTTGAAAAACACAGTATTATATCAACATGGAACGTCTGGCAGTACCTGGAGAAAGTGCAGCCTGGCGAGGAAGTCGGCCACATAGCTCCCCAGGGGCTTCAGCGAGGGGTAAGATTTTGATGCCCACATGGCGGGCACCTTTCCCACCAGCATGCTGTTGAAGACATTCTCCAGCTCAGCCGACATCACCACCTGGCCTTTCAGAGCCTTGCGTATGTTCACCAGGCTGCTCCGCACAACCTGGGTCAGCCTGGCAGAGAGAAAGCAGGCACCGGGGCTTTAGGGAAGGGCGGGGGGGAGTTCTGCAGGGACCTGGGCTTTGGATGCTGCGCATCAGAGACGAGCTCCCTGCTGCTGCACTGTCTCGCAGAGAGGCAGGAGAGGCCGAGCCAGAGCGGCAAAAGATGGGCGTGGCGCTGCGAAAGCCACGTCTCTGAAGGTTTACTGTGGTGCCCCGGTAAGCAGCCAGGGGAAAGTGTTGCGAAACTGGGCAGAAACGCCGTGAGAGCAAAGCAGGCAGATGTACTGTGACGCATGATATAAACCGCGGGAAAAAATCGCACCGCAGATGAAGTAAACTCTGTACGCTGTCTTAAAGGAAAGGAAAGTTGCCGAAGCAAAACTGCGGAGACAGAAAAAGAGATGAGCCAAAAGAACCCGAGCTACACTGAGTACGCTCTTTTAGATGGATCACACGTTCAGACTGTGCAGTTACCAGAAAAAATCAGTTAGCTATTTGATTTGCATGACTGCTCCATGTTTGCAAGTTCATATAAAAATGTGCTTATATAAGTTTAACATTAACATCATTAACCTCTGAGCCACTAACAGCATATGTCTCACTGGTTAGCTGCCTTGCATCATTAATCAGGTGTCCCTTCTGCTCTCCTCCAGCTCAGCAGCGTGCCCAGTGCTGTACCTGTTGAAGCGAATGAGTTCCTGTCTCAGCACGGTGTTCATGGACTCCTCGTAGATCACTGGGTACTTCTCTATCACCTTCTCCAAGTCAAAGTCGGCAGGGAGTTTGGATAAGATGTCCACAGCCAGCTCTTCAACCACTTCCTGAAAACCATTAAACAAAAACTGGTGATGGGCTGTCACAGATGTGTGGTGCTTTTAGAGTCTCCATTTCTGCATTATTTGCCTCAGACCTGCTGAGAAGGAATCAAGCCTTCCACTCTTCAATGTCCCTAGGCACACTGTTCCAGAGGCGCTCTCATGAACACTAAGAGATCGGACACTTTGTGACCTGCAGTTCTTCATGCTGCCCTGAGAGCAGGAGCCTTACTTGATGCTGTCACACGAACCAGTTTTAGAGAAAAAAAACTTGACGCTGGCCCCAGAGAATCAAAATAATCCTGACCAGCGTTGGTACCATGTGCACTTGCGAAGAACTCTGGACGTTTGAAAGGTGTATGAATTTTGGGAATGACGCACAGGTGGACAGCTTGAAGGAAGAGCCCTAAACTAAACGGATGTGTGTAAGAAGGCTACACTGTCATGTTGCTGTCAGACATGTTGCAGTGTGTTGTGCTGATCAAACCCAGCCATCCCCCAGCACTGCCCTCCAGGGAGGGGCTCTCACCTGCGGAGATTTAGCCCCACCCACAGACTGCCTGGGCAAGGTGAGCAGCACCCCGTCGAGCAGCTGATTGGTCTCCTGGTTGTCCTTTGTGATGTCGGCATTTTCGTGCAGCCCGAACACCCCGGGGTCGGCGCTGATGGGCAGGTTCCGGACGTAATCGATGTAGCTCTAGAACGCAGCAGGCAGAAGCGCATGAGCAAACATCTCCAGATCCCAGTCAGACAACAGTCAGCAAGAGCACGGCTCCTCATTTAAAATCCCCGACTCGCTGGGCTTGTCGTGGTCACTCGTGCTCAGCCCGGTCTGTCTGTAACAGCTGAGGAACTGGTGCCATTGCACGTTGTGATTTGATAAGGATTGATAAGGGAAATGACCTCGTTATTTCCACATCTCTGGATGAGTGAAATATCCTTCAGTGCTCGCTCAGATACACACTGATGCCGCGTGCCCCTGCGGTCCCATTTGAGCGGCGCCCCCCCCCACCCCGGCCCACCTGGTAGGTGCCGTGAGCTGGCACGTAGTAGACGTCCCCGGGAGACAAGCGGTACTGCTCCTGCTCCACCAGCTCGCGGCTGTAGAAGATGGAGAGCAGGGACAGGAGCAGCCGTCTGTCCTTGTCGTCCGTCACGCGCCCCCCGTAGTTACACTCCCCTGTCGGGCAGAGAAGGCCACAGACAGCCAGAGCCAGTTAGAGCGTCGAGTTCTCCCGTGGGTGTAGCGGTTATTCCTGCTGTTCTGGCAGAGCCGGCCATAGGCAGTATTCGATGAAGTACTTCGGTGTGGTTTTTTAAAGTGTAAATGTGCCGCATCGAGCACCGGACTTCCTGCTTGACACAATCATCAAGCATCGTAAAGAAGGCAAAACAAAACTAAACCTGCCGCTGCAGCAGGCCTTGAAATTTTAGTCAAACGTATTTCCTTTTGGTTGGGCCGAAATGGAGACAATGTTGAAACACGGCGCATGGACTGCTCTGTGGCCGCTGCTGGTCTGAGACTGGTGCAGGGGCGGTGGTGGGGAGGATGACCTGCGCTCTGCTGCCCACAAAAAAAAAAAACTCTGCTCGCTACACAAAGCAATGCAGCAGCTGCTTCTGGGGATATGGGTTTTCTTTTGGACTCTCTGCAGCACATCTGAATCCGGAAGTCATTCCCAGACTGCGGGTAAAGCCACAGCCCTTACCTGTCAGGTATGTGAGGGCCTCCAGGGGAACTTCATCATACTCGTTCAGGAACATCTGGATCTGCCTCATGCTGATGCGCAGGTCTGACTCGTTAAATTCATAAGGGATATTCCAGCCTGGAGAAGAACAGAGCGCGCCGATCAACCTGGAACAGCTTGCAGAGGTTCTTTCAATATGCAGGTAGGAGGCTTTTTAACTTGCTCGCCTTTGTTTCATTTGAATACAAACACACAATACACACCAGCCGGGCCCCTGTGGAAACAACCACAGTGGACAGGCTCCTGAGGTGGAGGCACTCTGAGCTCTTCAAGACTCGCTCGAATCACATCCACTCCTTTAGAACACACTTTCCCAAACCACGTCTTCCTTTTCGCCTCCTATTCCTGTAAATACCTGTGGGAGTTTTACCTCCCACCCAGCAGATGGGGCCTGAGCTCTAATCCTGTGAGCTAAGACTGTAACAGCAGGCAGTGGATCTCCATGCTGAAGGTCTGGGATTTGGAACTGGCAGGATCTGTGTTTACAGGGCTGAAGTACTAAAGACTTCAATCCCCCGGCAAACTCGCAACTAAAGCAATTTCTGAATCTCTGCCTGTTCTTAGGCTCCACTCTTACATTCGGTAATTGCAAGGAAAACAGATATAAAACATTTATTTTCAAAATTACAACGTCTCTCTCCAAGGGCGATTGAAGAATGGTGAACACAATGAAGAACACAAGGAAAACACAGAAAGTGATTAGGGACCATTCTCAGCCGGCAAAATGTCTAAACTTCTCTAAGCAGTTTGTGTGCTTCCACAAAGCACCCAGTTAAGCTCTTCTGCATCTCCTATGCACAAAAACATGAAGCTACAGCTGTATATAAAACAAAGGATGTGGCTGTCATCTGGAAGTTGACTTAATCCATTCTTTCTAATTGCTTTATCCCCTTCAAGAACAGAGCAAAAACTCAGACACAGTATGGGATTTTTGTGGAACAAATGGAGTTCTCATCTCTATCCTTGGACACGCACGGAGAAACCTACAGGACAAGCACAAGCAGCTTGGATTGTAATGAGGGGAGAAACCATGCAGGCAGTGGGCAAGGGAAGCAATGCGGACCACAGCCGGGTCTCACCCAGGGGTCCAAAGTTCCTCCGCTCCTGGACGAGGGCGTGGAAGAAGCACAGGCCGAAGAGCAGCTTCTGCCACACTTCCTGCTTCCGGGAGCTGTTGAAGAAGGCGGGGTCCGAAATGGGGTCGTTGAGGTAGGAGCGCAACAGGTTCGCTCTCAGGCCCTTCGGGGGCTCGTTGGTCATCTTCACCCCGTTCTGCAGAATACTGACGGGGAACTTGTCCGAAGGGTAGCTGGTCAGCCACAACCTACGTGGGTCGAGGAGGAAGGTATAAAGCAGATTGATATTGTGCTCAGCTCAACAAGACTACCCTTGCCTTCATACTAACTAGACAACTGTAGGGATCTGGATTATCTGAGTTATATATATTTCTATATGGAAAAAATGCCATTACTATTATCTGACGTAAAACTATACATTTGCCAAAATAGCTTTTCTGATATTCTGAAATCCAAACTTGTCATAATACGCCACACAAAGAAAAACAAATATTTATGAATAAACTTATTTCACGCTCACCGTTCCAAACCCGTTGGCTCATACACTACCTGCCTACCTTCTCAGGCATGCAGAGGCTGTACGTGTGCAGGACATGTGCTGACCTGAAGGAGGGCTGGGTGTCCTCAGGTGTGATCACTTCCTCGCAGATCTTCTCAAGACTGGGCATCCAACTGGTGGCCAAGTGGCAATTCTGTAGGACGACCCAGGTGCCAGCTTTGATGGCACTGTCAATCATCTTGGCGGCTATGGGGCCCTGGCCCTGGCCCAGGGAGATGCTCTGGATCTTGGTGCCGCCCATTCCCAGGTCATCAGCAAACTTCAGGAGACCTGGGAGAAGAAAAAGAGATAATTAGCACACAAGACCATTGGAGGATATTAAACAGCAAAGCCTACAAACAAGTATGGGTGTAATGAATGAGACGAAACTGCTGTATATGGCTTTACCCATCAGGCAGATATTATTAACATTTGCATTTAATGCTGATTTTAGACAGTATATTCAAATTAGAACAATAAAAGATCATTGAAATTGAAGTTATTCCTCATTTCTTTAAAGACCTGCAAAACTTATACCGAGAGCAATCTGTGACAGACGGGATAAGCTTGCATTCCTTTCTGTGCTTCATCAAGTTTCAGGAGCTCTAGACACATATGGATCGGTTACCTACTTTATTTGTGGACTGAAAGTCCCACAAAGCCTCAAAGGCAAATCTGCCTGTGGTGATTTTTCCACCAAGTGTCTGACCTCGTTTTGCACACGAGTTACCTGCCATAGGGTCGGCACCAGGAGAGAGAACGAATATCAGAGGAGCGCAACAGCTGGAATCGTTGTAACTTCCTGCCAAGTCAAAGGTGGGAGGTTCAATGTAAGTCTTCCCCATGTTGTCAGTGATGAACTCCTGGACCGCGGGCACGATCTTGTCAGGCCTGAAGCACCGCAGCACAATCATGCGGTACATTCCCTCCAGGAGCTTCCACTCATCCGGGAGCTGCTCCTCGTGGGGTCTGGCGGAGTCGTAGATCTTCTTCCACTTGGGTAGGTTACACCTTACGTGCTCCATGAGCCCCTGCAGGTTGTCCAAGCCAGACGCCCGCACAATTTCAGACCAGGACTTCTCCGAGAGCCACTCGGGAGCCGGGTTGGGGTGAGGATTGTCGAGGGCCACGCCCCCCGTCAGGAGGAACCTCCAAACCGCGTCATTCACTTTGCCCTTGCCCTTCATGATCCCAACGGTGAGCAGGAGAGAGAAGAGGAGCTTGTCCTTCTCAAAGAGGGAGCGGCACACATTGTTATATATACTGACGGTGAAATGTTCAATGATGTTCTCTATTCTGGTCTGTAGATCCTCACTTTTTAGGCTCTGGGCAATGGACTGGACATAGAGATTGATAAACCAGGTCAGGGAGTACTGGTACATGGGCTCTATGTTGGCCAGATCGGAAATGCAGAAAAAGAGAATGGAGGAATGCTCGGCCACTGGACGGTAGCCCAAGCGGGTGTCATCAATCTCCTTCTCTGTGACGGATGCGATTTGCTGCTTCTCCGAAATCTCCATGGACAGCACCTTAGAAGAGGACAGGATTTTGATTGCAGTCTCATCTTCTAGGATGTTTCCTTCAGACGAAGACAGGACCTCCAGGATTTTATCCTCAATCTCCTTCAGCTGCTTGTTGTTAGCAGCGCTCTCCAAGATCAGCTTGTTCTTTTTCTCTTCCAGCTCCGGTTTTTCCTTGGCGGCCACAATTCCGAGAAGCTGGTCCTCCAGCCCCAAGGGGGTGATCATGAAGTTGAGCAGGCAGACTTTGACCGCAACCTCAGGCAGGTAGTGGGGGTTCCTGAGGCGAGTCGTGATGTAGAATCGAAAGTCCTTGGAATACTCAATGATGTTCTCCCCTAGCCTCATGTACTCCACACCCTGCTGCTTAAAGGTCTGCTTGAGAAGAATAGGCTCCAACACAGCATCTAGCTCTTCCCCAACGCTCTCCAGCAAGACAGGGGTTCCAAACTGTATGGAATTTTCCAGGATTCTCACATAATTGCTGTCTGACAGTTTGATCACAGAAAGCTTGCTGGCCTTCTCCATGTTCTTGATCCACTTGTTGGCCTGCCCCTGTGGGTCTATCATCAAGGGCCAGCGCCTCGAGTTGGACACGATGATCCCATTGTCCGTGGAGAAAGAGTCCACTGGCAGCCCCGCAATTTGCCAAGCTCGTATCATCACGGGGTTCCCCAGGGTGCTGCTGAGCAAGAACTCCTCTGAGCACGGAATCTTCTTTTCCTGGCAGAGGGTGTGCCACTGCTTCTGGCACTCTTGGCGGTAGTCAACAGTGAAAGCCCCCAGGTAAGCTACCATCCCAGAAGACAAGAGGACGTCCCCAGTGAGGTTAGCGTATCTGATCCCCAACAGCCTGGCCGCCTCTGTCCACCGGTCCTTCTCCCCGCCTAAGCCACCAATCAGCTTCTCGGCTCTCACCAGCTTCTGGGAGCAGAGCTCAATGTTGTCCTCCAGCTCTTTCTTCTTGTTGTTCATGGCCTCAAACTGGTCGTTCAGAGCCTGCAGACGGTCCTCCACTTCCTTCAGCTCGGCCCGCTTGATGCTGAGCTTCTCCATCTGGACCGAGAGCTCTGCCTCAGCCTCCTTCAGCCGCTCCTTCTTGGGTGCCACCACCTTGGCCACACGCTCGTACACCTCCATGGCTCGCACCCACTTGCACAGCCCCTCACAGGCCGAGGACACGTTTTTGATGATGGAGGGCAGGAAGTCCGGGTGATCGATGAACTTCTCCCTGATCTTCTTGATGTTGGCTGCTGGGATGTTGTCCTTGTCGAATGTCTTAAGGTTCTCCAGGAATTTCATGTCTCCAAGGAGTTTCTTGGAGGAGCCCCAGTAGTCTTCGATCATCTTGCCTGCAGGGAAATAAATGTTATTGAACATATTGGAGAATGGTGAGATGTGCTGAGTCTCAATATTTTAAGAATCTAATCCTTATTAAACAGGTAAAGCACATGCGTATTCATCACTAAAGGGGAGCTGAACTGGGAAAGGAAAACCTTTTTAGACTTGTAGCTTTACCGTCGCTAGTAGAATTAAACAATCTAAGTAGGTGAGCCTTTCCCATCTCTTTCATATTATTAGAGATTATCATGCAACTATCAATTCAGTGATTTTTAAAAACATGACTATCCCATGGAATGGGACTGCAGTTCGTCCTGTATTTTGGCCATTTCCTGTAGCCTTGCCTGAGCCTCCAGGGTCTGGTTTCCTCTCGGGCTTAATCCCCTTCATGACACAGATGCTCTCCATGACCAGCTTGACTGGGCCAGGTGGATTCTGCATGGACTTGACCACAGTGATATCGGCTGGTTTCAGGGTGTCCAGGGCGGACAGGGCAGCCTCCAGAGCAGGCATTGCCTCAGCCAGGTCCCCCTCACACTCATCCTGCAGAGGGACGCAAGAACATAACCACACGGACAAGCAAAAAGAGGCCAATCTGCCCTTAAGCCCTTTGATCCCAAGATCTCATCCAGCCCTTTCTTGAAAGATGTCAGGATATCGGCTTCAATAACAAGGCTGGGCCACTGGTTTCATACCCTTCAGGTAATGCTGTGGCTCGTAACGTCACATAATGGCAACGCTATCCATTTTTATAAACTAAGCAAATAAGTAAGAAATAAGTGAAATTGTTACTTTTAATGGATTTGTCAGTCTTGCCTGTTTTTTGTATTTTTGTACAATCTAGATTGAACTGATCAGCTTTATCATTATCCTGAGGCTCAAGTCCTGAGGCTTTAGTTTCCCTACTAAAGGCTTCTTCAGCCATACCTTGATAGCTTTGGCTGCAGCAGCTGCCTCATTGGCCACCTTCTCGTCAGCGGAGACCAGCTCTTTCTTGGCATCGACATCCACAGTCTCCTGCTCTATCTTCACCATCATCTTCTCCGTCTCGGCAGAGGTCTGGATGAGCTCCGGCTGTAGGGCGGTCAGCTCCTTCTGCATCACAGATACCTGGCGCCAGAGGACAGGGGATCACAGGACACTGGCCAGAGATCTTGGTCAACGAGCAAGGCAGGGAGGAGGGGGGCAATTTTATAGCAGATGTGTTGTCAATCTTTTTGGCCAGGTTTCAATTTCTGCTCAGCACAGCCAAGGTCCTGATGAAGTAACAGTGAAGTGGGAGACACCCACCTGCGAAGCAGCAAACTCCAGTTTCTCCAGACCGACCAAGTAGCGGCTCCTCATGGTGTCCACCTCCTGCCTCTTGGAGCCGAGTAACGCCTTGAAGGTCAGGATGAGCTCCAGATAAGAGGTGGGAGTGACGTAGTTGTGTCTCCTCAGAGTGGTGTAGTACCTCTCAGAGAGCTCTCTCACACTCTCCTGGAAGTATTTGCACAATGACACCACCCTGCAATTCAAGACAGGCCATGGGAAACTGTGGAAGTGCCATGCAAGTGGACTGTGGTAAACTTTCAGAAATGTAGATAAAGATTTTAGCCAATTTTTTTTTAGCTTTTCAACGAATGCCCTGAAAGCAGACATTCTGCTCTTAGCAGAACTCACGCCTTCCTGATGTTGTCCTCCAGTTCCACGTCTTCCAGGAACTTGTTGGCCACCATCTCCAGGGCGTCAGTGGGCCAGGCCTGGAACCAGTCGATGGTACAGCAGTTAATGAGGGAGGGGAACATGCGCAGGCGGTTACGGAAAGCATCTCCGATGGGGCTCATGGCTGCAAAACAGAAAGAAACCACAAAGAATAAACCTTGCTGACATCTGCAAAATTCCTACAAACGCATCCGCAAAGGATGCCACATCGCAACGCTGGTATGTCATTGGGTTTAAAAGCCTAGGCGATTCAACATCAAGCCCTAATTCATTTTACAATTCCAAGAGCGATAGGCAGCATGTGCATGAGAGCAATAGAGATGACAGGCTGAGACTCTTCGACCCTTAGAACAGAAGCTACGCTCATCAAGAATCCATTTGTTGACGTAAAAATGAAAGAGTGTAAAATCTCAGACCTAGGACGATGTGCAGATTGGCTTTCACCCTGTCGATGAAGAAGTTGTACATGGAGAGGGGGCTGGCGTCGATCTTCCTGCCCTCCACTCGTGCGACGGCCTGCATCTTCTCCATGATCTCGGCGCGCTCGTCGGAAGCAAAGATGTTGGGCACGTCGCCCGTGTTGAGCAGCATGTTGATGTCCTCCACGAAGGCCTCGTCCTTGATCTGACTGTCGCTGAACAGGAACACGGTGCTCTTGCCCTCCGCCCCAGCCTTCAGCATCACCCTCTTCAAGTCGTCCCTCCAGTCTGAGGTGCCGTAGTTCTTCGTCAGCTCGATCTGGAAGAGCTCAAAGTCGTTGATGAAGGTGGCCAGCTTGGTGGCGCTCTGCCGGCCTGACCCTCCGATGCCCACCAGCAGCAGGTGCCCATTGTCCTGCTTCAACACCCGACAGATGCGGGAAATGTGTTCAATGGCAAACTTGAACATGACCAGGGACATGGGCGCCTTGCTGACGTTGTTGAACTCCTCCAGGTAATACTCCATCACCCCCGTCAGCTGCTTCAGGTCTGTGATCTCATCGTAGGCCTTCGTGTCAGCGTCCGGCTTCAAGTAGTCCCCAAAGAACAGGCTGCGGATGTGATCGTCTGTTACCTTCCCCGAGGGCGTCAGGTGGCTCAGCAGCTGCACGGGGGTAAACATAGTGAAATAACTCATTCAGACTACTGCAGTCTCGAACCCTGGAGCATTGCAGATCCTGGAAGAGACCCCGATTCTGTGTAATTCTCAGGTCATAAAAAGAAAAGACCTTTTTTGTTGCGAGCGCCAATTTGATCACATATATTGACACACCGCCTTTAAGAATTTGCAAGGCTAGCTTGTGACTGGACTTTCTGACAGAGTTTCTCAGACCAGGTGTGTCGCCACCCTACCTTGTCGATGCTCTGTTTGAAGTAGCCTGACGTCCTCTCCTTGACAATGCCGAAGAAAGTCTGCCTGTCATCGTTATCAATGAGCCGGTCATAAAACACCCGGTACACCTCATGGATCCAGAGCCGGATGAGCTTGTCTCCTTCCTATCCGAACCAAAGGAAACCGTAAGGTTTACCTTTCCGGAAATGATTTCTAAAACAACTGAAGATAAACTGAATAGCGCAAGCTCAGACTTTGGGTTAGAAAAAAAATAAAAATTAATGTCTTTAAATGTGGCCTCCCACATAAAGAGAAGGAACGGCACACACAGCTTTCACATCTTCACCCTTGCGATGGTATTGGAAAGCAGAAACCCGTGGACCTGCTGAGCAACATTAAAGCAGGTAGACGCAGGTATTGGATTTCCTTTCCTGGCCGGGCCGGACGTGGCAGGAAGCAGGTGGGTACCTGCAGGTGGGTGTGTGGGCACAGCAGCACTCCCCGGATGACTCGGGCGAAGTCCCGCAGGTTGAAGATGTAGTGGGACTTGAAGGGCGTGGGCAGGAAGCTCTCCATGGTGTCCTTGTAGACCGCCATTGTGGCCTGCACCATGATCTTCCCCAGCCTGCGACACAGAGCACACCACCCCGGAGGGGCTCACTCAACACACGCTGAGACACCGCAGTGCGCACCCCCACCCCCGCCACCCACGGGCACGGTGCAGCATTAGAGCAGGACGGGGCAGTCCTGGTCCTGCAGGGCCGGTGTGCCTGTGGCTTTTACATTCCAACTCAGCCATTAACGGGCTACACCACCGGGCTACTGCCTTCACTGGACCAGCTCGGCAGGAGAGACCTGCAGACGGGACCGGCCCTCCTGGATCAGGACGGGACTCCCTCGCGTTCAAGGGGGCAGTCCGGGAAACTCACACTCTCAGGCTACGCTCTCACGTAGCCTTACTCCCACTGGGAGGAAGGAAGAAGAAGCCGGGACCTTACTCCATCTTCTCCAAAAAGAGTTTGGCATTGTTTTAAGATTGGGTCGGGTGGGCCCACACTTACTCCAAAACGAAACATAAAGAAGAAATGGTGAACTGTGCTCTAAATCTCCTGCGCAGTCATGAACGTTACATTTTCACAGCTTGAGTAGACATATAGTAAAGGAAAAGCTCTCTCTCGCTTTTTCAGTAAGCATTGCATTACCTCTGGTGCTGCAATTTCGACTACAGAGTTATTATTGCATTATGCCTGTTTGACTTCAGCAGCCCCTGCACGCATGTTTACAGACCTGGAGAAGGAGGCCTCAAAGCCCTTCCCAAAGTGCCAGTCAGCAATGGAGGTGAAAATCTTGCTCAACGTCTCGTCATCAAAGGAGTCGATGGAAACGATATTCAAATGTCTGGTAAAACGGCCTGCGGTTTTAAAAGAAAAAAAAAGAAAAAAAAGATTTTCCTTGTGTGTTTATTCAGTTCTCTAGCTACCCCCCACAAAAAAGTGGAAAGCTTTCAATGCATGAAAGAAAAAAGGTAAATCTGAAGCATAATTTCTTCCTTACCTGTAATGTCGTTTCTGCCACCACCAGGGGGCCCCATTGCTGAGACAAACAACACATCCACAATATCCAGTCTGGACGTGTCCTTCTTGTCATACCAGTGCCCGTGGTCTATCCATTGCCGGAGCAGCTCAATAGGGGGCTGGGCTCCATAGACTTCCTTAGCGGGCATGTTCAGGTCATCTAATGCAATTGCAATCATAACGAGAACAGTGATAAAGGCTTACTGAACAAAATGTAGCTGCCTGCACACAATTGTTCTCTGTCGATGCTCCAGTGTTGTGGAAGGACCTTCCTCAGACTTTACAAGAGACAACTTTTGTAACTGACTTCAAATCTAAACTTTAAACTCCCCTTTTTACCAAGGTCTATGTCTGATTGCCTACAGTCGTTTTGTAAAAACCTGTATGATTTGTTCTGTCTTTTGCATTCACTCTTATTGTACTTCTATTGTCTTTTTCTTTATTTCAAGATGTACAGCGTCCTTGGGTTTCAAAAGGCGATTTATAAATAAAAGTTATTATTCTTGATGTTGTTGCTTTTATGGTATTCTTGTTTTGTACAAGTGTTATGTAAAAATTGCATGACATATTCTTCTGTTTGCTTATGTGTGCCTAGCATGCTTTAATCTGTCTCTTGAAGGCCCTTCACTCGCCTTGATTTCTGTGAGAGTCTGAACTGCAGAGTGCACTCTGGGGGCATAAACTACAAAGGCACTCCCCCTCTGCCCACTCCTGACCCCCTCCTGCCATCCCAAAATTCGGGGTCCTCAGCCTGTTTTTCGGAAACCGGGGAAGCTGTTTTAAAGAAGTGAGGGGAGAAAGACAGGGAGGCTAGCCAGACGCGGCAGTTCGATCAGCGAACGAGCCCGGCCCTTACCGACGTACACCACACACTTCTTCCCCACGGGGGGGCCGAACACGCCCTTGCGGCGCCGGTCCAGCTTGGCCATGATGATGTCCTGGGTCTGGTTGGCGGAGGTGCGGGCGGAGAAGTTGATGCCGTTGGGGGTGTAGCTCTCCTTCGGCAGCCGCAGCAGGAAGCTGTTGTTGATGACGGACTTGCCCGTGCCCGTGGGGCCCACGAAGAGCACGGGCACCTCGTGGGACAGGTAGGTGCCGAGGAAGAAGGACTGGCGGGCCGTCTCCATGGTGGGAATGATGAGGTCGGACACCTGTAAAGAAGGCCCGGGAAGGGGGAAGGGAGGGGATTGGGATGTAGAAACATCTCTAACTTCGCTTGTTCAGCCATCACATCCTCACCGCAATCAGGAGTATGGGGGACCCCACCACGATCGTAACAGTCAACACGTAAAATTTATTAATAGAATTTGCATTACCTGAAAACAGAGGTTTTAGGTCTCATGGATGGATGGATGTTTGGTCGTTATGCCTTCCAGCATGTAGGGGCAGCAACATCCTGTTGCTGTTTCCATAACATTAGTTTTTTATGGGACAGGGTTGTTTTCCTTGTGCCCAACCTCCAACAGGGTGGACCTGGCGCCCGATGTGGGACACAAACCCACTACCCTGAGATTACGAGTCTCATGCTCTACCAACAGAGCTAGTCAGGGGCCCTTTTAGGTCTCATAAGAACTGCTTTTTCCCCCCCGGAGGAGCCCAGGTCTGACTCCCCGGGAGTCCTGTCTCATTCTGGGCTGCACTACTGGGGTGAGTGTGTATGTGTGGCTTTGTCACCTCCGAACCGGCACCCTGAGAGGCTCCCGAGGCCCCTGTGTTCATCACCCCTCCTTATCACTGACCTTCACCCCAGATGGGATGGTAGACTCTTCCTTCGAGATGGAGTCAGTCCAGATGTTCCACTGCCCAGACGCTTGCTTGTGGAAATAATAATCATACACACTCCCTGTGGGTTTTACGAAAAAAAGGCCAAATAAATAATGCAGGAGGGTGCAGGAAATACAGCGGTTTGAATCCTGAGTTTGCTCTATATGTTTGAAAATAAACTGTGCCGACTGTAATACAACAACGCCATTTCGTTATTAAACACAGTGTCGTCGGTGTGAGGGGTGTGCTCTTCAGTTCACTGCGTCTAATATGAAGGCATCACCCCGCTGCCTCGTGACATTTAGAGAGGACGGCGGCTGCAGGGGCCCTGTCGAGCGGCGGGCCGTTACCTCGCTCGGGGAAGACGTTGTTTTTAGTGAGCTTGACGCTCTTCGGCCGCGGGTGGCTGTCGTCCATGCCCATGATGAGGTTGCGGTAGAAGGCGTCGAACTTCCTGCGGCTCTCCCCGTTGATGGTGCCGCCGATGCTCCACACCACGGCGAACAGGAAGAGGCCCTGCAGCCACAGCGTGATCTGCTGGCTGGACATGGGCTCTCGGCCGTCCCTCCCTGACTCGGCGATCTCATCTGGAGAACCAGACACAGCCACCCTGCTGACTCATCATTACACCGACGCAGCCGCTGTTTATATGTAATGCTAATGAGAACAGGTATTCTTTTCTACTTCCTGAATTGCTTTGTTAACTCCCCAGTGCTTTCTCTCAGAAAATAAGCAACCACTTGCACTTGCACCAAGGCCTCAGTGGTCTCAGGTTTACTTGCATAAACAATAGCATAATTAACTGAGAATTAAATGCAGAATTAAAAGCTTAGACTATCCCAGGGTGCTCTCGGTGCCCATTATTCAAACATCCTGACTTGTTTAATTTTCACTTGCATGATCTGACTCTGATGCCCAGCTATACAAACCTGTACAGGGGTAATTTCAATGTGCTCTAAGCCAACAGTCAGGCTCTGGGGCTTCTTGTGTAAAAAATCAGAAAGTATGAATAGACAACAAGATTAGTCTAAGTACTGTTGCTTGAACACATCTAATGGGTTCACCATCGGGTTGCTTAACTAGGGTAACTTACTGACTTGTCACTTTCTCATTTAAGCATCAGAACATGAGCCACAGTCAAAGCTACTCAAGCTGTCCCTGAAGAACAGTCATTCACACCTACCACAGAGACCTACAGTTTCCTGCATACCTAGAAGACAGGTGTACAGCCGCATTAAGCTGTAGGCCAGGTGGATAGGAGATGTCTGCACCAGGAATCTGCACTCGTGACGAACGAAATCCAAACAGGGCTGGACCAGCCAGTTAAACATGTCATTGACCTGCAGAGACAGGCACATGTAAGCCTCACACACGTCAGGAGTAGGACCCCAAACACCAGCTTACACAACTTGGGGCTGTGCCTGCTGTTGGCTTTACCTCGTTATGCATCGTTATAACGATCACATTATAAAAATGACAATCTCAACAGATACACGTAATGAAGTTACAGGTTGTAATAAGAAACAGCTTAAGGGGCTCTGGGGGCTGCATTTGAAAGCTTTGAAAAAGCTGTAATTGGAACAGCTGCTGCTCTGCTTTATCTGTTTTTATAAAAAACGATATACCTGTCAACAAGATGGTTACAGCACCCCAGATCAGCTGTTCGTGTTAACTAGAACACCCACGTTTGAACCCGTGTTCTCACCAGCTCTATGTGCTCCTCACTCATCGTCTCTGGTAGGGTGTCCATATAGGAGTCTTTCAACGGGCTCCAGCCCAGCTGATGGGGCTCCATGTAGATCATGCCACAGCTGAAGAAGAGGAAACGAAGAAGAGAAAAAGGGGGCGCAATGTGTCTTTACAGTGAACGCATGCCTGCGTAGCTCAGACCCCCCACTGCACACTGACTGCACGCGTCTCACCGGCTCACTGTCGCCGGGGAAGCCTGCTCCAGGTCAGCCGGCTCAAAGATGAGGCTCATCTTGGAGCTCATCTGGATGATCTCTCCACTCATTAGGCACAGCTGAAAAGGACAGAAAGCAAAGGTGGCCGCTGTACAATCAGAGACAGCTAAAAAGTATTGTCATTCTGTTAAACCTGCATGCCAACAACCCACAGTGTCTTATTTTTTGCAGCGATGACATCTGCAAATTTGACACATAAACCAACCCACTAACCCATGAAGAAGGACCACAGAAATGGTGACAATCATCACTGAGCCCTAGCAACCAAACCTGGTTACAAAGTTTGCTGTCCGCTTGACATATGTTGCCAAGGGTACAGCCTTTGGAGAGATCAAAAGGAAGGGCACCTTCTTGTTGTCGTCCAGCACAGTGTTCATATTTTCAATCCATACGGCATCTACCGGCCCATCGAAAATGATCCACTGCCGGTCCTCGGAAATGGACACAGCCTGCTCGCGGAAGGTGGTGGCCAGGACGCCGTCGGTCCACTCGTGGCTGACCGGGTCGAAGCAGCCGTACAGCTGGCCCATGGTGATCGCCTTGGGGTTGATGATCCTGTAGTCCACTGCCGACTCGTCCATTAGCTTGGCTTGGGGGAAAGAGCCGGCACGTGGTCAGAGAACAAGGCTGGGCGCTTGTGCACTTCAAAGCCTGTGATTTACTTCATGAAACTTTAGCAGATATGTTGTTGTTGGTCAATCTAAACACGAGGTTCAGCAGAACATATGAACATTTCTGAGCCTATATGAACCTGTGAGACAACTGCTGCAAAATAACACTGAGAATGAGCTAGATTCCTGCAACAACTCTGTCCTAAGGGTAAGGTACTGTAGACAGAATAGCCTCCCCTACATTTGGCTGCAGGCAGGAGTCATAGGTCTTTAGACCATAGTGAACAATCTTTACTTTTGTGTTTTTCACATATATTCCAAACATAACAGCAGTACGATCAATAAGACAGGACAATTCCTGAGGTTTAAAATCACCAACCTGAATAAAGGTCGCTCAGGGCTCCGGCTAAAACTTTATAAGCACAGGTCTTTCCACCCAGCGGATCTCCGACAATCATGAAACCATGGCGAACCAGCATCATCTCGTAGATCTAACAGGACAGGAAAGGCAATTGCCCGGGACTGAGTTTTCAGAATATGCCAGGTCGACTGCTGACCATGTGAAGCTTATCTCTGCTTTTAAATGTACATTCCCAAGCATCTAGGAAGCTTTAAAATTTCCAGAGCATGTACAAAAATCGTTTGAGGCAGAAACAGTAATTGTGAGCTCAAGACAATTTAACTTGCAAATATTTTGTAGACACAATGGTCATTTTTCAATTATTACAAAACACAACACAAAACAGTTGTAAAAACAATGGACTGTTGTATTGATCACATCCCTTGCTTTTAGAAAGCTCTCTTGAAATACAGTTGCAGTATTCAAGGAGATTCAGACACCTATTTTACATGAACAATCAATTCATAATTGTCTTAACATAATTGCATCTTGCAGTTTATCTTATAATTAGTTATGCATGTATCATCAAGTCCCAAACACAGAAGAACAAACATCACAACGCCTTATATGTATCAGAACATTCACCCTTGAGAAAGTCATACAAATTGAACACAAATCATCAGTCATGCAAATTGTCCAACTGCAAGCCCGTGGATCACAAAGTCTGCTGATTTGTAAACGGTTACCTGGATAATCTTCCCAATAAACCAAGGCACAGGCTGTAGCTTCATCTTCTTGATGTTGTCATTGAGAGCCTGCAGGAAGAGCTCGTAGTCTGACTGAGGGAGCACGACTCCAGGGAACAGGTCAGAGATTATACCCTGCAGTGGGAGAGAACACCATTCTCTTTGGGACTGCTCCAAAAATGTCTGAAAGAGCTTCTTTGCTTTTCTTCGCACACACATTACCAATATTTCCACAATAACTCTTTGGGTGAGGTTTTACAGCAAGGTAAAAAGGAAAAATAGTGCGCTATGACTTGTTGATTAATCTCTGAGGCAGATGCAAGTGTGGACTGCTGGAGGGCAAAGGAAACAAGTCGAGGAGGTAAAACGGCCACTAGGCAGAGTTGATTGGAATGTACAAAATTCATATGCATACAGACCAGACACACAGGAGGCTTCCTCAGTAGTTTTGAAACGTGAAATGTTTGAAATATACTGTTTTTGCAGCACAGCTGCAAAGCGGAAAAGAGGAAATCCAGATGAAACTTTTCATCTTGGGAGCCACTGACTAAGGGCTGAACAGGCACGGTACATACACTCAGGAACAGTCCGAGCATCTGACCTGAAACAGAGGCACATCCTGAGCCAGGAACTTTGCCATGTTGACATCAAGCAGGGCTCGCAGGAGCAGCACACTCTCGTTTTCCTCTGGGTACTTTAGTTTCAGATTTCCTGCTGCTGTCAGGACCGATTTTACTGCGCGCATTCCGTAGTCGTAGTGGTGCTGGGAAGACAGCTGTTCGGAGCACAGACGATAAGTGGCCACAATCTTCTGGGCAAGGCTAGGGGGAAAGTTTACAAATTACATTTTAAAAATCCCAATGACGATTTTCCAGAATGGTTCTAGCATAACTATATATTTTTTTACGAGTAAAGGGCTATACCGTCGACCCCTGTAGCCTGATCTCATCAGATTTTTAAAAGCTCCCCAAGCCTGGGTCTGGTCAGTCGTGGGGTAGGAGACCCCTAAAAATAACAGGCTGCTGTTGTAAGTAGAGGTGCAAAAGGTTTCACTCTTTCCTGTGGTCCAAAATTCCCAGTTCACTGCCGCAGTATGGAAACTGGGGGAAACTGTGCTGTGGGAGATACTTTCCTTCAGATAAGAACTTAAATTAAGTCTTGACTAACTGAGTTATGAACACTTAACACGCTTTTTCAGAGTAGGGGGTCTTAACCTACAGTCCTAGTGCCCTGGATAATTCCATTATGGGCTGGGACAGTCTGACCTCCCTAAATTTCCACTTGAATTCAACTGATGATGCAATTTCTCCGTTTTCTCACTCCTGCCCCTGATGGCTGCTGCACGCCACTCAGAAAAGGGCTTTGGGACCCTTTGGAATGAATGAAAATTCCTCTACAAATACACAGCCTTATTATTGTTGTCATTGTTATTTCTTATTAATATTGGATTGTTTTTTCTCCACTCAGAACACACAAAATCAAATACAAATTAACGACAAGATAAAAAAAATGAATAGCAGAAAAGGTATCCCTGTAGAGTATTGTAATAATTGCCTGACCTTTGAAGTGGCTTTGCTTAGAAGAGGGAAAAAATATAAATTGAGGTCTCCATCAATTCAGAAGCAGAGCAACATTTTAATATCTGTAAATGGAAATTCAAGCAAGTTTAATATTTTCTGCTTTCTGCTTTTTCTTCCAACAGTGAAGTGTGAGGTGTAAAGGTGAAAACATATTTAAAAAAAAAACACAGTACGAAAAAAGGACACAGACAGAAGATAAGGCACCTTCGGGAATCGATGAATCCCATGGAATAGAGTGAAATCTCTCCAATCAGTGCATAGTCGGGCACCATCATAGCCACAGTGCGAAAAAGAGCCTGCCAAACAAAATCACACTCATCAGTATTTCTGTGACAAGTGATTAAATACTTTTTAAGTGACTGTATATGAAAAAAGGCTGGTTTTGGCACCTAGAACTAAGCACAGAGTACCTTGAGGTTGTCTGGAAGTTCGGCCCGGCCGGCGTAGCCAGGGTTCATGGTGATGAAAACACAGCAGGTGGGGTTCAGTGACAGCTCCGTGCCCTCAAACAGGAAGCGCTTCAGCTTGCGGGCGATGGCTTGCTGGATACTCAGGATCTGCTGCGCCACCACTGACAGCACCTCCACCTGTCCAGTGACATACGGCTCACTGCCCGATCACACACAGAGCAACATGTGCACACTGCCCTCTCGCACACCCAGCAACACGTGCACACTGCCCTCTCGCACACCCAGCAACACGTGCACACTGCCCTCTCGCACACCCAGCAACACGTGCACACTCTCCAGGTACTCCTGGGAAGCTGGGTCTCCAGTGATATTCCAGTTCAGCATGCAGGCAGCGGTGGAAGCACTCACCTCAATGCGGTTGAACTCGTCAAAGCAGGCCCAGGCCCCGGACTGCGCCAGGCCCTTGAAGAACTTACTCATGGCCTTGTAGTCCAGGCCGTCAGAGCAGTTGAACACCACGCACTGCAAACGAAGAAAAGAAGCGAAGGCAGGAGACAGCCCACGGTTACAAACCACATGGGCAGGTAGAGCAGGCGTCTCGTCAGGAAGGAAATGCACCAGATAAAGGCTGATTTTGTGTCAGAGGGGCGTTCCAATATCAGGATAACATAAAGGGGGGTCTTAATCACTAAAGAGAAACAAGACGCAGGATTTTATTTAAGAGCCTTTACTAAATGTTTTAACCTAAGCTCACAGCTTCTGCCCGTGTGGTGAGGGGGGCGCCAGTGGCAGTGAGTGAAGGAGGAAGAGTCTCAGTGTAAAGCCCCACCCCGGCGGCACTGTGCAGAGGAGGGGCGGGCGCGTACCTGCTTGGCCAGGGCCTTGGCCAGATCCTTGGTGGTCTCGGTTTTCCCCGTGCCCGCGGGACCCTCGGGGGCCCCGCCCAGGTTCAGCTTGAGGGCTCCCATCAGCGTTCTGCGTGCGTCCAGGCACAGCCACCCCCCCAGCCCCAGGGGGAAACCGTTGAACACAACATTTCAGCAAACAAGATCGGTCCATGTACAGTATATATATACGCCTTTGTAAGCATCCAAATATTTAATTTAAGCTTCATGGCACATCTGTGCTTTACGGAGTTAACAGCTGCTATCTAAGACAGGCGCATTGTTTCTTGTTTTGCTTTATTGTTCCAGCTTTTTGTTCCTTTCCTCCCCTTTTTCCTCTCACTGTACTCCCGCCGTGGGCTCTCTACAGCCAGGTTTAAGGTGGCTTTTCCACCTGAGTGCAATGCAGCACACAACTGAATATTTAATGGGTTCTCTCTCCTGCAGAAATTGTTTTATTCATTTCCCTGAAAAGCTCAATCATGAGTTAAGCCTGTTGGATCTTGGGTCTCCTAAACTGATAAATGTGAAGCTGCACAGAAAACAAAATCACAGTATTCCTTAAACTAATGGAATATCACGGGAACCCTTTGTAAAAAATCTAGGAAGACATTTCCGGCATGGCTATATTACTGTGCTGAGCACAAAAAAGACAGCTTGGGCCCTTCCTATTTTGTTGCTCTGTATGCATCCCTGGACAAAAATACTTTCAGGTAATTGAAGGAGGCCTCTGGCAAACATTTAACTTAGTTTAATAACAAATGTGCACAGAAGAGACCTTACACACCTGTGTATAAATAATTTTAATTAGCCTGTTACGCCCTGGGTTGTTTGTGAGCACCAGCTTCCAAGAGAGAAAACCCTCACTTAGGAACCGAATAAATCAAAACGTCAGCACACCTGCTAATTGCATATTTTTCAATGAATCATTTTGAATCAAATAGAGGCTTTTTGCTTCTATCCAATGCAAGACCCACCAAAAAGGAATGAATATATAATTTGTCGTTGTTGGGTGACATGATTTACAGACTTTAGGCTTTAATGCTGTGTATCTCAGAAATACAAAAAACATAATACTCCTTTCTAAAGTCACACCACACATGAAGAGAAATGCTTCATTTAAATAATGGATAACAAGTGATTTACAAAGCTTGTTTTATTACATCTTTCGCCCCTCTTGGAATTTTGCCAAATGGTAATTAAAAAAATATGCATATTGGTATAAGGGAACGGGAAAAACTGTCCAGAACATTTTCCCTCTGATGCAACTGTTCACAGGCTTTCCTTGTTAAAGCTGCAAGAGCCCATATAAACACTGCCTCTGCATTCAGTTACTGCCATCGCTGACACTGCGCAGGAGTGCTCTCACACAGGGCTGAACCGGCCGCACACACACGGATGTGACAGAGGGCAGACTCACCTGTAGCACCTGTCGGTGAGGGGGGTGATGACCAGGCGGGGGGAGTTCCCCAGGTACTCGTATCCGTACTTCACCTCTGTGGTGATCATGCGTACCAAGACATCGCTCTCTTCCCAGTAGTATCTCAGCTGGGAGATCCACTGGAAGTCGCTGAGGGAGGAGACTTTATCCTGCGCTATCTTGGCCACCACATCTCGGGCTGGAGAGGCAGGGAGAGCATTGCCATATACTGACAGGACTTAACGGTCCTTTGTATTACCAGACATATACTATTCAAAATAGCCATTATAATTTTAAGATACTAGGGCTATCTCTCGGTCTCTCATTGAATAAGGTTTTAAAGCAGTTTATCTTAGAATTTAATAACAAAAAATAAAGTTTCAGTTTAGTTGTCACATTAAATATAAATTAATGTTACAGTACATATTTTAGCCATTTCCAGAGAGCTGCACTATAGAGTGTTGTTATAATCTGAAACAGATCAAATCTTAATGGGAATTCCAGGACTTTATTTTCCTTTATATTTAACGTGCTGGTTTGTTAACTGCTCCGACTGCACTATACTTATTATATTTAATTATTTCCCTGCTTTTCTTTTTTAAAACACGTCTGTTGAGAGCACATGGTTTCGAACACGGGGGCACATGCTGTACATTCTGTTTCCTAAGAGCTCTTCACAGTTGTAACGTCATTACTGAAGGTCCTGAGGCTCCTTCATTCCCCTGGCTCCTGACATTGACATCTGCATCAATAATGAGCCTCTGGCATGGAGAGAGAAGCCAGTCTCTGTTCCACGCTGCTAATCAACACCGGGCTGTTACATTTAAGAAAAATCTCCTCCTGACCCTGAACTGGAAGCTCAATGCAATGACAGTGAGAAAGGCATCGACCTTAGTCTGATGTAAGAAGTCAGTGCATGAGGATGGGGATCGCTCGTTATTTCTCTTTTCAGCCAATGGGAGGGATAAAGCACATCCAGAGCGAGTTTTGGCAATCTGCATTTTTAATTTGCCTGCATGGGCAACATGCCCAAGGATACTGTGATTAGGCTCTAAGTCATTAAAGCCACAGGCATTTTATAGATTTCTGCCTGTACAGCATTCTATCCAACCACTGGCTTTACACAACTATTTAATAAGTGAAGTTCTTCCCTCAGCTCTAGCTGATCTCAGTGAAGATTTCAAAGCTCTGGATGAGGCTGGAGAAGGTGAAAGGGAAATGGCTGTCTTCGGGCCATTTCAACAGACTGAAGCCTCTCCGAATGAAAAGAGGTCGAGAGAACACAGAGTCGTGTGCGCTGGCCATGAGAGAACACTGAAGCCATTACCATGCACATCAATGACGGTGAGGGCCCCCAGCGTCATGCGCGCTCCGCCTGACAGCTTGCCTCGGACCAGTTCCACAATTTCACTGATCTGCTCGTTGCTCTTCACCAAGTATGCCTTTATTTTACAAAGAACAGAACAATGAGACACCTGAAATCCAGTGTTATCTCCTTATGGCAATTTTCGTGTCACTCCTAAGTTAAAAACGGCCTAGAACAGAAAGCTTCTAGGAAATGTTATATATTTCTTTTCACTTATATTGCAGTGTAACGTGTTCTGTAGGAAACACATGTCAAAATACTAGCTGCTTTCTAGTTTTGTTTAGATTCCTTAATCTTAATTCCTTACTTTACAGCAGGTCTTCTTGCGTTTTGCAGTGTCAAGACAGTGGAAAATTCGAAACCATAATTTGTCCGAAAGGCATAATAAAGTCGTAAAGAGACAGATTTGACCAATACAGTTACCTACTCACCAATCACAACCAGAAAAACATTGCCTGATGGTTAGCTCTGTGCACAGCACAGGCTTTTTCTTTTTAGTTTATAAAAATCCATCGCCATGTATTGGTTTGCAAATAGCAGGTGGGTCAAAGTTTCTATTTTATCTGCATCTTCATGAAAAGTGTTTTGAAGTGAGAGTCTTTTTTTTTATTAATAAGAACTCCCGTTACTAGCGAGAGGAGGCAACTATTCCTATCCAGCCCATTTTTACTACCACAACCCTTTAGGGTGAAGAAGTGCCTCCTGATCTGCGAAGTTTCCACTGTGTGCTCTGGTTCATGGTTTGCTGTTTATTCTGAAGAAGTCAGCTGAGTTGACTTTGTCAGTGCCAGAACGGCGACATGATTGATGCACATGGGGTTAAAGGCGTTGTGACATGCACACAAGGCACTGAGCCACGCATGCATGGTTGTGGCGTGTGCGCAGGCACAGGCGGAGCTCATACTCACGGGGAGCGTGTTCCGCTGAATGGCTTCTGACACCTCACTGGTCCAATAGATGGAAGATGCACAGATGACAACCTGCCCTGGCCACTGCAGAACCCATTTCCTCCGAGGCACCTGGAAAAGCAACGCCAGCTGAGAGAAACTCTTGCCGAACTTTCGCTTTAAACGCTGTCCTACACTTTACTCAGTGGTTGACAGACTAATTAGCTGTAGTACTTAATGGTACTATTCCAGCTAAGTTTAGGTCCAGGACTATTGCTAATCAAGGTCTGTGAAACCATGTTCTCATGTTGAGTATTAATGTCTCTCCACCAACAATTGGCTAATTTAACATTTCCCAGTACGGGAGTGTCAGTCTGTTCCCGCTGCAGCACTGCTAACTGATCGTAACGTGCCTTTATTTTACCTGGACATACTCCTTGACCCCCTCTTGTATGACTTGTCTCACACTGCCCAGCATCATCTCTTCCACTTGCAGGAGCCACTTCTCCACCATTCCCTGCGCACGCCGAGAAAGCGAACACGAGTTCCGTTATTAAAGACCGGGGAGAGCAGAATTCAGCTTGGGCCGCACTCCTAAAACCGCACATTTCTCCCTTGTTCTTGCGTGACTCGGACACACTGTGACAAAAAGCTAACAAGCTGGAAACCTTGCAGGCTCTACTCCTCTATTTAAACGGAAAGCTCCTCATCATCAAAATGAGGCAGATCAATGAACAAGGGGCAGAGCGGTGGCTCTGTGGCTCAGGATCCGCGCCTGTGGCTATAAAGTTGCCGGTTCAAATCCCGCGGCTGGCAGAGGAATCAGGTGGGATCCTGAGCAAGGCCCTTCACCCCGACTGCTCCAGGGGCGCTGTACAATGGCTGACCCTGCGCTCTGACCCCAGGCTTCTCTCTCCCTCTCTGTGTGTCTCATGGACAGCAAGCTGGGGTATGCGAAAAGACAAATTCTTTGTATAGGGCTAATAAAGTGATCTGATCTTTAGGTGACATCTGGAAGTGTGCTGCATCTCTGGCACCTTGGCTTTGGCTGGGTATATCTTCTGTATGAAGGGGACAGTCTCCTTCTCAGAGCTGATCATGCCGGTGATCTCCATCTCCTCGCTGAACTCCAGCTTGGCGATCCCTTCGAAACACTTCTTCAGGTGTGGCTGAACTCGCAGGGGGTCTTTGGTCTCCGACAGGATCTCCAGGAGTTCGTCATTGGAGAGGAAGAAAAACCTACCGGACCAAGACAGAGCTGATGACCAAAGACACCTTTCACATCACCACTCTGTGCGTCTCCCTTAAATGGAGCGTCGCTAGAATGTGCTTAAAAATGCAAAATGCAAAACTGCATAATTTATAACACTATCAAGACATAGCGCCTCAATGTACAAACAACAACAAGGTGTTTCTGTGGGAATCGAACACTCTTCACTCAAAATGAAGAGGTATTTGTTGCCTCTGCAAAAAAGTGCTTGATTATTTGTCAATTAATGTATTCTTCCTTTGGATATAAAACATCAGGATTTGTAGATTGTCAGAGATGACACAATTATCATTTTTAATGCTGCCCCTTGCCTTGTTTAATCCAAGAAAATACACTGAGGGAAGGTGTCCTAGAAGAAGGAGCTGTAGTCTAGTCACACCACAGCACTGACCTTAATTTTGCATCTAAATTATGATTTGGGCTTTATGCGGTGTTTCATAAAAGAAAAGTTAAAGCTGCAAGCCCTACATTCCTAATAATCAAATTGGATTTAATAATTAAAGAACAAAAGATGGAAATAAAATCAGTCTTGGAGAGCAGCAATTAATTGCATTCACAGATCTGCTGATTTTCCTGGCCTTTACAGGGGGGTCCATACAGCTATGGGTAGCCTTTAATTAAAGGGGTAAGAAAAGCACTTCCCTTGTAGATGCTTTTTGAAGATGTGCTGCCAAGACATCTTAAGCTCTTGTCTGGACAGTTGTGCACAATTACGCATTTAGCCTGGGTGCAGATCTCAACAAACAGATTATAAGCATTGGGAACACTGTTCATGAAGAAGACTTCCTTTTTGAAAATCAGTACTGTTTTCCTAAAAGAGTCTGCATTATAGTGCCACGTGATTTATGTTGATGTTCGTTCTCATTAAGAAAACAAACCCCTCAACGTACCGTTCTTCTAATATCTTCAGGTTTAATTTAATTGCTTCTGACTGATGCTGTAGTATCATGACATTTTCCCTAAATTCTACCACTTACCAGAAAGACAGATTATTGCTTTGAATGTGCAGAGTCATCCTTGGTAGTGCATTCAAAATGTCCTTCTTTCTGCATCAAGGCGTGATTAGACTTCAGATGAAAACACATCAGTACCTGCAGTTTAAACCAGCCCATCCGCATTGCTCACAGTACCTGGGGAAGTAGAGTCGTTTCATTTCAAGGTAAGTGTTTAGTCCCTTCTGAATGTCCTCCAAAAGGATGTTGGATTCCTGCAGCCTCCCCAGCATGTTGGGCTGTGCTGTAGCCACCAGCACTCTGGTGTCTTTCAGCTGGAAAAGCCAAGCAACAGCACAGGTATGTACATGGATGCATGATCAGACTCCTGTACAGCTTTGTAAGGCCTTTCTCCATTAGTTTAAGCAGTTTTAATTATGATGTTAGTTAAAAATGAAGCCATACAAAAACATGTAAAATTATAAAGCTAAGAAGACAAGTGCCTGCCTTAAGCTAAATTAGCCTAAGAAGGACTGCCCACAACTTGTCGTCTGTGGATTTAAAAGAGTTTCTTCAAATGTCTTCTGCAACAGCATGGATGCTAACAGTAGTAACGGACAAATGTCCTTAAGACTAAAGCCCTGGGTCACTGTTCAATGGCCATTCAACCCAGGGAGTAGGTGTGCTGGGAAGGGCTGTGCTACAATGATCATGGTACGATGTGTGTGACACATTGCTAGGACTATATCTGAGATCTTTCCTTCTTTACCGATTCTGCAATGATGTCCTTCCAGTAGCTGTCCACAATGCCAAATTTCCTGCCCTCCTCTGGCATCTGTGCAATGATGTCCTCAGAGCTGAAGATGGGCTCCAGGTACAGCCAGGTAGCCTGGCACTTCAGCATGGCATCCAGTATGTCCTGCATCAAGAGCAGCTTCTCCTCCCATTGCTGGAAAAAGGCAGAAGAGTCACACTTGTAAATTTAGCCAAGTATTTTGCACTCCACCGGATAACCTGTCTTTCTCAGTTATCAAGTCAAGGTCCTTTGAGTATATGGTAGGTTTCAAAGTAAGTTTACATAATACAAACAATCTGAGCATTTCTATAACTTTCTTCTTTTTTTTTTAGACAGGCTGGCCTACAATGACTCAGTTCTCTAAGGATTGCTTTTTAGCTAAGCTTCCATGAGAAAGCTTCACATCAATAGAGCAGCAAATTGTATTGCCCTTCTGTGGCTAACCAGGGGTGACTGACCCTTACCATTATCAAGCCTGAATTATTTCATGAGATTGAATACCTTGCAATGGAATGACTTATTTTACCTTGCACTCTGCCTCAATGGGCTTGATGAATGGAGACCCACGCATTGTCTGTGCTTTGATAATGTGATCGTCTAGCAGTACTTGGATGTCATCAACTGCAGACAGGATGCTTGTACCCTACCAATATAAGTGCGGGAGAATGTGTCTAGGCATTAGAAAACTGCATTACAGTTTGTTCATATACACAGAGGCAGACACACACATCTTAACCTTTTGTGAGAACCAGGACAAGTCAAAACTTGTCCTGCATGTTTGTCCTGCAAAACGTTTATCCATGATAAAAAATAAAAGCACACATAAATAATGCCTGAATTGATGTTTGTTTGGAAAAGTGACAAATACCGCCCCAACATTATCTTCCACAATTTTGCATTAGCCTCAGCAACCCAGGTTAACATCTCTAAATATCTCTTGTATAACAGAATGGAAAGCTACACACATATTCCCTGTCAAAACTTGATTTAAAGAAATGAATCGTTATCTTCACTCCCCATAATACAGGTCAAATTAATACATTTACTCAATAAACTAAGAAAATACATATAGTAATATAGTAAAAACGGAACTTCAAAAAAGAACAATTATTTGTAGAAATGATTTTATGAAGCAGCTTTGATGAAATTGCAGAGACCTGCAACCTGAAACTGCCACAAGCTTTCACAGAGAAAAAAAATAAGTGGGACAACAAAGCTGTCGTGGCCACAATACAAAGAACAGACAAGAGCCCTTGAAGTAAAGTGCTTGATTAATCACTCTGAGGTTTGGAGTTTGAATGAAAGAAGTGTGAGTCTTTTAAGGAGTAGCGGTGCCAACAGCTCTGGTAGAGTGGGCTGTTATAATGTTCAGCTGACGTGCAGTGTTGTTTAGTTAAGGAGAATTAATAAGAGAGAGAACCGAAGAGCTTGTTTGTTGTTCGTTCCATTAAGACAGAATAAGTGGTAAAGGGCTTGTTCACTGGCAAAGAGACAGCAGGATATATTTCCTGACATTTCATTTCCTTCAGCGCCATGGGAGTTTGCCTGGATTCAAATCCAGACACTGGGAGAAATTTATTAGAAAAGAGCAGTGATTTGGTCATTTAATCCCAAAGCCACAAGCACAATAACCTAACTTCTTTGCTGAGGTCTCCCTCCCAATGCAGTGGAACACGAAAATAAATAACCTAAGTCTAAAACTTCCCAGAAGTTTTATATTCAACCTTTCTTAAAACACAATGGGGATATTTATATAGTGGGGGTCCATTTTTTTCTCAAATTGAGTTTTGGATGGCAAGTGTTCCTCCTTTCCATTTAATAAGATAATACAGTATATGTGTATACAGTTTTATACACACATAAGCTGTGTATAGTCCATATTAATATGTTTACATTTCTCAGTGAGGACTATGGCAATATCTGCATTGAAATACTGTATATTTATGTAGAGTTATTGCAAATGCACAAAACCTTTTTTTCTATTTAAAAGGCAGGATCAGTATACCATAAAGTATATATATACACTTTTCTGACCGTATGTGAAATTGGATTTAATTCAGTTTATGTACGTTTACCTTGTTTTCTGCATAACTAATCCATAACTCTGATTGTAAAATATGAAAAGACCGTACACTATCATTTAACAAACATATAAATAGCATTATCTAAACGCAATTCACAGCTCCATTTGAACTTGCTGCAGTTCCAGGCCAGTCCCCTGCAGTTCAGCAATGGGGCTGCAGGTGCAGAATGGCTGCTGTGTGTCACCCAGGCAGGGGGCATGAACGTGGGCCTCCTCCTATATGTAATGCTTTTTGGTTTCCACATAAAAGCACTACAGAAATGCAATTCATTTCAAACAGACAATTGCCATATCGACATACTGGGGAGGAGCAGAAGAGAAAACGAGATAAAAGCAAAGGAGGAATGAGCAGGGTGTTGAGCTGCTGTACCGTGTCTCTGTATAAACTGAAAGCAAAACGAGCTTCTGCCCATTCAATTTTCATCTTCTCCATTGCTTTCTCCAAGGAGTACTCCTTACTCGCAGTCGCTCCTATTTCTTCCAGCCTAAGAACATGAACAACGAGATGGGTCAAGCAAAACAACATTTATAATAAATAACAAGTAATAAATAATAAAACATCCGTCCATCAATTTTCAATAACTGCTTAGTCCAGACAGTGGGCTAGGATCCGTTGAATTGAATTCATAGGGACACAGACAATAAATGCAAGGGAATATGCACCCATGCATCACAGAGCACATTCACACAGGACACAATCAAAAGACGACACCCTAGACATCTGTCCAGGAAAGCAGCACCTAGTAAAAACCGCACAGCCCCAGGGAGAAGTCATTCAAAACACACTGCCATGGGCTTTTAGAAGAATCCATCCAGGTGAGTCAATATGGTGTAAAATCCATGAATGATTGGAAAGGCAAAAAATGTATGCAGTATACCTTTCTGGTGGTCCTACTGTAGCATATTATATATTTCAACTATGCAATCATTGGGTATTTTTGCCTCCATTACAGGTTTTCGACGTCATTAAAGAGTCTTTTGAGGGCTTTCAATTATGTCTCTTTTAAAAGGGCAATGCCCTAACGAGAGTCCCTGGTTACAGTTCAAGAGCAAAAGAACTGAAGCACAACAGAACTACAGTGTTACAGGCCAACTACTTAGATTACCATTAGTTGACTGGGTGTTCTAGGATTACCAGATCACCTCATTTGAACCACCTCCAAATCTCTCCCTAATCCAAATGACATCAGATAAAAACTGGATACAGAAGTGCTGAGCCTATTTTGGATAAGATTTAGAATGCTGAATGCATTGCACATAACAGGTTGTTTAAGAGATTTCTGTCTAGATGTCACACTGACTACACACAACGATTGTGATAAGAATCATTACCTTCAATGCAGAAAATGTTCATTTGTTGTTGTACATAATCTTCTTAATTGAACAGAGGTTTCCTGAACAGATCCATGCAAAAAAAAGGTGAATCTAAGATGCCAATGAGCTGTGATAGATTCTTACTTGTCAATATACTTGTTCAGCCCAAGCTCCACCATGTTCAGTAATGATGTTTCGGCCTCAGGTTTCACATCAAACCCCACGATGGCACTGATCTGAAAGGAAAATTGCCCATTGATTACTCAGCGGTCACTCCAGAATACCAGACTTGCCGAACTTCTGCATGCTCTTGCGGCTTCAAACCACAAAAGTTAAACACCCTTCAGAGGAGAGGGGAGGAAAACAGAGCTCACAGACAGAACTGTAACAGAACTGTTGAACACTTAAATTATTTCAGAACCCATTGCCAAATAATGTGGGGCCCAACACAAAAACAAACTACGGTGCACTTCAAAACATGACTAAAAACATGATTATTAGGAGGAATCAGTACAGATCGCTGTTGAATTGACCTTCTCCCAGTGCCTTTCTTTAATCCCAGGGTTGCATATTGTGGAGACGATGGGGAGGTGTTGCTTGAACTTGTCTATCTTTATCTTGAGGCTGTCTGCCACGCGGCGTGGGCCGGGCAGGTCTGAGAAGGTTTTGGTCAGCTTGTACACCGTCCTCCACATGTTCCCAATCTCCTCTGTGATCTGCTCTGCGTTCAGAGGCAGGAACGGGCCTAGAAAGATGGGTCACACAGGCAGTGATTACACCCTCAGGAAGCATCCCCACCTGGGATTCTCACAGCAGCTGTTCTGCTTTGAAGACAGTGGTAAAGAGGAAAATAAACCACAGTGACACTGAGCTACACTGACAAATCAAAGACCTTCCATTTCAAATTTAATTTAAAGGAAGACAATATTAATTACTTTAAGAAGATTAATAGAGAGCGTGGGAGCTGGAGAGGTAGGTAAATTTAATTAAAAATTCTAATATGGTTTCATATAAAAATTGGATTAAAAGATATTTCCGCTTTACAAAACATACATGAGTCAACAAGATTTTTTATTTAAAAATTAAAAAAATTACAGCGGGTATTAATGACAACAGGAATTAAAGCAGGAATAATTAAGTTTTTTTTTCCAGAGTTTCACAAAAATCACAGGCAAATCAAAAAAGCCACTAATCATGGCGAAGTGACATCTGGTCAGTGGACAGATGTATGATCCTCTCAGAGGAGAAATTCTCACCATTCATCCAGATCTCCGACTTGTTGTGGAAGTTGAAGAATGTTGTCCAGAGCTGGTCAAAGGGCTGTTTGTTGGTCATCAAAGTCTGAAGCAGAGGGAACTGACTCTGCTGTCTCTCCAGGAGACTCTCTTCCTTATTAATCGCCTTCAAAAATGCACACAGAAAAACTGCAACATGACAGACTGCATTTGCAATTATACATTTTGAGCAATTATTTTGTTCTGCATCGTTGCAATATGTGCAAAGAATATTGCTCCCTCACACAGTAGTGCATATCCACTGTAAATGGACCTTTCCATAGCCAAATATCCAACATCTAGTGTGGGAAAACAGAAACTAACAAAAATAAAAAGATTTTAAATTCCATGGGATAAAGGTGACAGCTGATGATTCTGATCTTCAGGATACCTACATACATACATAATTCTACCTCTGGAGCCCCGTAGCGTGGAAAGAGCTTTGTGATAAAATCTTGATGTCGGCATGATGAAGCATGATCTGCCTGCTTCTCATGGGATCCCGCTCCATGACACAAGCACAAGCCAAGCTCTACCTCCAGCTCCCCAAGGGCAGCCTCCAGGCTGGCCGCCAGCTCGGTCAGCTTCTCCACATTGTTCTTCGTCTCCTCTAGGCTCATGAGGTCGCGCTTCTTGAAGCCCTCCACTTCCTTGTTATAGCCTTGCAGCTTCTGTTCGAACTCCGAAATCCTGTGACAGGAAAGTTGGAGGATGGCATGCGGTCAAACAAAACATGACACAGGAAGAACTTGTTTCTTGAATAAATGGCCTGGTGTTGCTTCAAAACTCAAATCTGCATAGACAGAGATATGAGAAACAACACAATCTAAGATATACTGCAAATAGGCATTTACATGCAAATTCAACGCGGTCCAGCCTAAGATTTGGTCTATAGCAGGTATTCTAATTATAGTTGTCAGAATGTTTCCCATTTGTTTTCCCATCAGCTGGGATGCAGCAGGGTGACAAACAGGCCCACTGCCCTTACTTCTTCTGAAGGCTGTCCTCGGCATGCTCTCTCCTCATGGCCAGCCGGCTCCTGCTCAGCTCAAACATGGCCTGGATCTGCTCCGGCCAGTGGAACACACTGCTGTTCAACTTCACATCCTCCTCTGGAGGGAAGGGATAGAAGATTACTAACCTGGATGCCCACTGCATTATCACTTAATACATGGCATTACTGTGACGTGTCCTAAATGTTATTTTTTAAACAACGTTATCATGATACACGCAATAGGCAGAACCTAGACGCCCTGTAGGCTGAGAAAATGAAGCGTGAAGAGCAAAAGACAGAAGAAAAGGAGAACCTGGGAGGTTAGAAGCATACCAGTGAAGTAAAGCCCCTGTTGCTTAGAAACTGTGAACGCCAAACAACAGAAATAACAGAAGCAAGGCACAAAAAAGTAAACATTCAAACACGCTGAAAGGTTTTGGCAAAAGGGATTTCTCAGCACATCTTCACGGACCCTTTCCAGTTCAACGACAGGCTGCCCAGCCATGTTTTAAAGTCAATACCTTGGCTTCTTCCATGTACTGTAATAGCAGGAGGAGAGCTTTGGATCACTTAGCAACTAACGATACTGCTAACTGGCATAGATGGCTGAATAGTCTCCTCTTGCTGGTCAACCTTCTTGTATTCTTATGACTTTTTTATCACGTTCCCTGATTAACTGGAGGGATTAACTTAGCAAACTCCTGCAACTGGAATGGAGGGAAAAGAGTGGAGAACGGAACTTTCTCTGCTGTCTCCACGTACGAGGCAAGGTGGCGTAGTCGAGCAGGAACTGGAGCCGGCTGCCTGCCTCCGAGATTTCATCCTTCAGCTTGTGCACGGTCACCTCGCTGGTGCGTCTCAGGAAGTCATTGAGGGACACCAGCTCCTCCGTGGTGCTCGGCACGCTGCTGACGGTCTCCGCTATCTCGTCATACCGCTGACAAATGCTGAGATACAGCAGGGTGTGAGTCTGACCCTCTCCAAAGAAAATCACATTTTGTAACAAAATAATCTGGCAACCTTTCATTGGCATTCTTGATAACAGGACTTAACATTCAGCTAATGCATTCAACTATACTTCTTAAATACATTGATAATATTTTCAATAATGCACAAAATTAATCCCTTAATTTTAGAAGAGATATCTTATCTTATTTGCCGTTCTTAATCCTTAAAGCTGTTAGATATTTTGTCTGAGCTTTCTCTACACTCTCACTTGTACTTGCAACTGGGGGGGGCTAGTTAGGCACCCACCTCTTGTTAAGCTCTCTGTTTTCCTCCACCTCGAACAAGATCAATCTTTCCTTCAGCTCCTCTGCTCGGCCACACAGCTCCTCGTTTAATCTCACAGCATCCAGACAGAACACTGCCAGGGGCACAGTGATGTGCAGAGAGGCAATTTCTTTCCACACTTGCTGGATGCCTTCGATTTTCTGTTAAATGAGATTGAAAGGGAAATTCCTACGGGCAACAGTGGCACCTACCCACCCCCTCAGCCTTCACATGTCAGGTTGCAAATCCTTGGTTTACAGCCGGCAACTCACAAACATTTTTTTTTTCATAAAAAAAAAATTCTGTTTAACAGAAGACTTTGCACATAGTTAATTTTGTACAAAAAGTGGGCTTTAGCAATTTGTTGTTTCATTCGAAGAATGAGCATAACGTGACATTACGGCTTCAAAAATGTATAACATACATTCCATTTGTGCAAAGCTCTGATACAATGTTGCTTTGCCAAAATGATCTCTCACTCTACATTACCCACCAGCAGGGTCATAGCCAGGGGTGGCATGAGTTGGTAGTTACCACCCCTCAATGTGGCTTCGAAACCCCAGGTGCTGGTCCGTTTAGGCTAAAAAACCCACATTGTCCCAAACTGACCAGCTAAAGAAAACATAAATGTAGGATACGATTATTAGGTCTGCACAAATCCACTCTGCTGTGCGTCAGCTGCACCTCACCAGTGGTTAAAACAGGGGTCACCAGTGTAACTGGTGCACTGAATAGTAGGACACCTTTTAGTACAGCATCCTATTTTAGAAGGCAAATAATATCACTTAAAAAGCCACCCTCATAGGTGTCCCTGCCACCCCAAATATAAAATCCTGCCTATGTCACAGTCCACTAGGTTTTGTATCTAAAAGCATAGAAATAAAAATACAACTCAAGTATGAGGCATGTGGTAGGTGTGAAATATGAACTAAGGATGACCTTGGTTACTTTGTGAAGTACCTTGGTAAAAGCTTGTAATGAGTGCTTTTCTTTCAGGAATGCGTTAATGTCCTGCGCTGCTTTGTTGTTCAAGAGGTCGCTGAATTTCTTGTATGTATTCAGATACCTGAAAGAAAAAAGTGAGCTGAAAAAATACAAGGCTGTAAAAAAAAATCTCATTTCAACCCGATAGAATTTTCTATATAATGGAACTCACACACTCTGCAGAAATTATGACTCCTATTATGTATTAATTAATAGAGTGGCACAGCCCTCCTGTGCAAGATAAGAAAATGGGCAGAGGAGGCAGAGGCAGTGTTTGAACTAGGAACGATCTTGCATTTCCTCAGAAGAAATTACCTCTGAGGGCCAACCGTGTTCTTCTTGAAAACCTCCATGGCCGTGTTGACCAAGTCAGTGACAAGAGTCTCGTCCGGCCTCACTGTGAGAAGGGTCAGTCCCTCACTCTGGATCTCTGGAAACAGGTCACACTCAACCTGGGCAAAAGAAGGTTAGGAGGTTGCGTTCTCTCTGTGTGCTTGTTTTATGATAACCCGATCTTCCTACCCTTCGGGGAGTCCAGAGAAAACCCACAGGCATGCCCATCCAGATTAAGCCTTTCACATCCTCATTGCTGCAGCTGCTCCTAGCCTTATTCCACATATCCGAGGACGTTTCCATGGCCTTGTCCCCAGGAACAGGCGGACATTCCCCAAGCCCAGCAGGCTAAAACCCGGCTAAACTGTTCGCCCGCTCAATGTGATGTGTTGGTGTGAAGCTACTGGATTCTCCAATATCCTGAAAGGGGAGACACACCCGTCGTAGCCCTTCAGAGCTCCGGATGACCGTCATGAATCCACGGTGGATGAGGTCCCAGCACTCCCTCAGGCTGGGCTCGAACACGATCCGGGGCTCCTCCACCTTCAGCTTCAGGATCAGGACCTGAGGCTGGACAAACTGCATCTCCTGGTACACCTCTCCAAAATCATTCCCGTCCTGGAATACAAACTCAGTCGCTACAAAGCTAACAGCGCAACAGCAGACGTTTAATTTACGTGCCCTCTTATGAGTGATCATAATATAGTGCTGTATAAACCTGAATGTTTTTCATGCTTTCATGGCAGTCAGGCTGACAGCAGATACTGTACAGGAGTAGATTGATATTAGACAGAAATGTCACTAAATACGCATTTCAGGGTCATGGGGTCTTTTTAAGTGCATACAGTTGGCTTTGAATTATGAGAATGTGAATATTGATTAGTTCCGGCCATTTCACAACACTTGACAGCAGAACCATCTATAATGATTTCTAATGATATGATAAATACTTATAAAAAATACTGGGTACCAATTAGGATATAACTCTAACACATCCTAATAAATCCCACTTCTAAACGCCCAAATCAAGATATTAGTTGTGGCTGAAGCAGAACATGCGTGAATCAGAACTAGAAGTCTCATTAGCTGCTTCTGTTTTCCAGCACTGCGAGACTGTCAGGGCTAATTAATATTCATACACCCCTATGACTGACAGGGGGACGGGCAGAGAGGCACACAGGCGAGGAAAGACAGACAGTACCTGGTGCACCATGAAGAAGGCCAGCAGGTCCTGCAGGGAGGCAGTGACCAGGCCCCGGAGCTGCAGAGACATCAGGGCCGCAGCACACGAGAAGAACTCCTGCACGCGGCAGGGCACGTCCTCGTCACTCTGCGGCACCAGGGGCAGCCAGCAGTCCTTGTGCGTGATGAACAGGGACGCACACTTGGGAATCCATCTACAGTGGAACAGCGGACAGTGGAACACGCCTGGTCAGGCTACTGGTATGTGGAAACTTCAAGACACGGGGTGACAGCATCATGCAGCAAACACAAAACACAAAAAAATGACATAAAAAAGTTGTCGGTGTAAACAGCTCTGTTTGTCGATGCCAGAAAATTGAGCAAGACAGCCTCTCTATGTCTGACTCACAGTTTATTATGTCAGTGGTGTATCTAGACATTCCTAAGACAAAGCTATTCCTAGTATAACTTTTTTAATTCCATAGGCTATATTAAGGAGTTATTGCAGTTGTAATGTATTTTTTGGTTACTGTGGCTACTTGTAGAACCATCTGCTTATCTGATATAAAATGGCAAGTGGAAGTCAATGCACTCCTTTCGAACACAAGCTATTGGCTCTTGTGTAATGAAGAGCTTTGCAAATTTTCAGAAAAAGGGACACTCTTTAAAGGTGAACAGAAATGCATTAAGCATGAAAGTTTTTCAGCATCAAAGAGAATTCCCGAATCCCTCAATAGCTCACCAGCAAGAGCAGCTCCTGCAGCTTTGGAGATACTGGGATATATTTACCACTGTGAGCAAACACAATCTAAATTTCCACTTCATAGCAAAGGCACGTTGTCGGCATCATGCCTGGGATGGACTTGGGTCAATAAACTGCATGATGGCATACAAACCCAAAGGTATTTGACGCTCAGAATGGAAAAGAAGAGCAGGGCTTGAAAGGAATAAAATGAGAACACAGTCTCTGATTATGATGCCTGTTATCATGCCCTTCACAATAAGGGCAGGACTGCAGTACACCAAAACAGTCTGCAATCAGCACATTATTCTTCTTCTCACAGGTGTGTCACTTAAAAATGTAAAAAAAAACTATTTTTGTATCGCAGAGCTGGACATTTCCCAGTAAGAACTGTCTCTTTAATGATAACAATGAGTGATGACGTACTGGAATACTGAGTTCTGAGTTTCATGTGAAGTTCAGCCTGGTAATCAGCAAGCCACAGGGTTTTCACTGAACAATGGAAAATGGTTGGTGCCAAAAGTGTATTTCAGGATTTACACAGTCAGTCACAAAACAGAAGAGAGAAGGGGAGCCTGACAATTGCCTACCTGTTGCACAGAATAGCCTGGGTTTCCTGACATTGCTTCTGAAGCAAATCTTCAAACTCCGCGGGCAGAAGAGGCAGATTTGCAGAAAACAGTGCCTGTAGTCTGACAAACCTGAGGCTGGCAAACCTGAGGAGACACAGGGGGGGCTTTATATTGTGAGAGCTTTGCCAGACTGGCAAAGGCACATAGTTGTCATCAGCAAAGTTCAGCATTTTTTGCACATTTACTTCACTTACCTGCAAATTGCTGTAGAAGTTTGAACATAAACAATCACAGCAGAAGTACAACAATTTCTTTTTGCTGTGGCAGGTCAAGATTTCCTCAGTATTGCTGGAAAGGTAATTTGACGTGCTAGAGAATGTTGCTTTAGGTATAGAAGAGGAATGGAGTTTCTTATTCATATTTTAGTTTCTTGTTATATTTATATTTCTCAAATGTCTAGCATTTACAGACCAACCAAGTGAGCAAACGGGGCTTAATGTCATCCTCCAATATATTCTTTTGTTTTGCCCTATGCAAGTAAATTTCCCTTTATTAATGTTACAAAACACCACAGAAAACCAAACTTATGTTTGCACGTAAAAGCAAAACAGACATTTCACTATGAGACTCTGAGACTGTGAACTATCCACATGATGTTTTTGCAGTATAATCTCTGTAACTTGCAAGCCCACGGGAGGAGTCCTTACTCAGTGTACCACAGCTGCTGCAGCTGTAGCATCATGGGGTTGACGGTAAAGAGGTGCTCGGTGATCCAGGAGTGTGCCTCTCTGTAGCCGCTGCTCCACGGCACCGGGGCACGGATTGTTCTCGGACTAAACGGGCACGGGGTGCTCGCAATAAACAGCCGCTGTTTCTCCGAGGGGTCTCTCAGAATGTAGTCCACTGACACCCAGGATGAAAAGGAAGGAGAGGAGGAGAGAGAGAGAGAGAGAGGAGGGAGATCAGAACAGAAAAACATACTTTTACAGTGCTTCTGACAAATCCAACACAAAACTTCATTACAGCACAGAAGAGAGGTATTTAAAATTTTAGATCTCTGGAAATATTTATTCAGGGACTAAAATGAGGTTTCGCAATGCAATGAGCTACACTTCACGATATCTCATAAAATATACTGACATATATATATATATTATTTATAGGCTTCATATGAGGACTATGTGTCCTCTTAAAGCAGAATAGAATGGAACATTGTGGGTTTGAGAATACAAAGAATATGAATGGTATAATAATAATCCCTTCTATTTATACAGCACTTTTCATCTTATAGGATCTCTTCCAGTTGACACACGGGGGGGACCCACATCATCCCCCACCAGCAGCCCCGCTGCACTGCCGTTCAGGCAGAGAAGTGAGAAATGGATTCACTCATTGAATTATGGGGGAGATTTGGGGGGGGGGGCGGATTAGTCCGGCCCGGAGGGGAATTTAGCCGTGACACTGCAGACACTGCAGTTAACATCCCTAATTTTACGGTCTGTGACGCGGGATCTGTCATGATCCCGGTTTAACGTCTCATGCAAGAGAACGGCACCTCCTACAGTGTCCCCAGTCAACAATACTGGAGCAGAGGTATGAAAATCCAGGTCCAGAGGAAAGAGCACCACTTACTCGTCCATCTAAGCAGTAATCTGCTGCTTGCAGGTCTCCCACCCCAGTATTGACCACGTATGTAGTTTTACTTAGATTCTGAGCTCTGACCATTGTCTACAGGGAGGTACCGCTGCTGACACTTAAGGTAACCGTGTCATTTGGGCTTGCAATGATGAAAAAAGGAAATCATCTGGTACAGTTTTCAGCCTAAATATTAATATAATTTAAACAGCATAAAACTAGAACAACAGATTAGCCTTTTCTGACATCACAACCCTCTTTGGTTATGGCTGCAAAGCACAGCATCTGCAGACGAATTGCCTTCGTTTGAACTGCAGGGCACGTCAAATCTCTTAGCTCAGGCAACAGTTTTAAGCAGCTGCAGTAAACACCTTCGATAGAGGGTTCATGGCAAGGAAATGCATAGCACAAGGGCTACGCATAGCGTGACCAGTCAGAACTGAGATACGGCAAACAGTATCCTGTAACTTATCCCTGTGAATTAATTACCACAGCTTACAAAACAAGGCTAGCATAAAAATCGATCTCTCTGTCTTGTCTGTAAGCTGAATCATGCCAGTTGTCATTCAGATAAAAAAAAACATGCAGTTTTTCTGACAAACTATTTTTTTTTTAATTTGTACCTCGACAATTACAGTGAGAAAAAATGATAAAAGAGAAAATACATATGACTTTCAGGAAATAAAAAGCCTATCAGAGCCACCCCTTAAATAAAAATCAAAATGAATAAATACATGATTCACAATTATTTAAAAAATCTGTTTATATGAATGATCAAACTGAATGAGCAGTAATTTGTTTAATATCTAATATTAATACTAATAATTATTATTCATTAGAATTACTAATATTCTCTACTTTTGTCTTCAACGTCCATCCACTGTGAGATTGGTACTGGAAATTATCCACAGCTGAACAATTTTCATCTAGTTATGAGATTTCATTTCTGTATTAATGCTAAATTAAAGCTAATGCTACTGCCACTACTACTACTATTAACAGTACGACTCATACTGCTACTACTAATAATAAAATACAGAGCCTGTCTCACCAATGGCTTTCCTCAGACTGAAATCATAGTCTTTGCGAATCTCCTCAGTAAGCCTTGCTTGTAAATGTTCCAGCTCAGGATTGGTTTCTAGTTGACTTGGCAAAAGCTGCAGAATGCGCATCATCTGTTGTGGGTCTTGGGCAGCCAACATGTGACTGTGCACACCATGGTGGATATAGTAGAGATACCGCTGGGGACAGAATGAAGAAAACAATAACAGCCGCATTCAATTACTGTTACAATAAACGCTGGGCAAGGCATTCAAATCACCACTGACTTACACATTGAAGAGAAATCTTCCGATCTGCACCTTTATCTTTCAAATAACATAATACCACATATATGTACACCTTATACTGCACAAAGCTTTCAGAAGAATTTCTGAAGATAAGCCATATAGTTCTTTTTACTGGACTCAGAAAAGGGTGAATATAAATGTTCATGGGAAATATGTTTAATTAAAAATGAACACTTGGAAACCTGCCTCTTGGAATCCAACATTTTTTTTGCCGGCAGAAGACGGAAACAGTAGCTCCGTTTGGGTGAAGAAAAGGGTGTTTTGTCAGGACAGGTACACAGTGTGTGTGACAACATTGCAACTGAAAAATGGTCAAAAAAGCAGGCCGTTCACCTCATATGGCATCAGACCACCGGGGAATTAGTACAGTAACTTTCTCTTTTGAGTCTTTCAGAAATGCTGTAACATTTGCTGTTACAGAGGTGAATTTTATTTTCTAGCCTTGTATAAACAGTTGCTCTTTCTATATTCATGGTACAATGTCCCTTTCAATTGTAGAACATGATCATTTAAAGATGTCTGTGTCTTGCTAGGGTGTGCTTCCACCAGAAGGCAAAACTATGGATTAATCAGCAAAGTCAAAGTCAAAGCCAAGACAGAAAAGGTATTGGCAGGTTTTATGGTTTATGATTTGGAGCATACATCATGCCAGCTGCAGATTAAGCTCTGGACCATCTTCTGGCATTACTATGAATTAACATACACAAAGCGACACAGATTGGACTTCTGTCACGGGAAGCTGGAAGAGTTTTACTATTGCAACATGAGCCAGACAGACATAATTAGGTAAATGATTTTCCTAAAGAGATTTGCACAGATCTTATATGCTGCTGCTGAAAGATACTAAAAAATAATAATAATGGCGATGGCCCTGAAAAATTAGGCTGATGAGCAACGCACAATCATTATTCTGCATCTCCCTGAAGAACAGTTTGCATTAAAGCCAAAAATACTTTCACATTACCCTTGTGCACTGCTATTATTTGCATAGCAATGGCAAAGCATTAATTTATCAATAATTTCAGTTAGAAAAAATGCTTGATCTCTGCATGAAAATCAGCCTGTGGAGTTTTTCCTTGCTTGCTTATAGAGGGGGAAAAAAGCCATTTAGGAAAGTCAGATCTTCTCAACATCAAATGACTTCTCTCTTCGCAGAGCCCTTAAGAGTATAGCAAATTGAAACAATGCCAAAAATGGAAGATTTAAGCATTAGGTACACAGCATGATCCTCAGGATTTGTCCCACACTGACCTGCATGACAATTTGTGTGTGATTAGTAACCCCCAATCCCTAATATAATCAAAATCAAAATATAAATTTCACTGCTCCTTTCTGCTATAGCACAACACATGAAGACCCATAATTTAATTAGATAAAACTCTTGTGACAAGGTTTTATGTCCCAGTGCAAAATGGGTGGCAAAAAGATCTGGATCACATCTGGAACAAACACCAAGATTTTTAGATTTAAACCCAGGAAAAAGAAGAAAAAAATCTGTGCTTTTGAAAACTGCCCACAACTAACAGCATAAGCAGAATGAAACAAGGTGAAGGTCTGTTAAAGCAGTAATCTTTTTGTCCACTCAAAATAAATTTAAAATAAAAATGTTAAGAAATAATATATAAAAAAAGATATGACTCATGCAAGGAAGAAAATATTGTAAAAAGAAAAGAGCGGTTTTTGACAAAGCAACAAAAAATCTTCAACAGACTGACATGACATTTGCTGTGATATGGAACGCTTCTGATATATGAAAAGTAACACTCAGTAAGACTGCGGGTCATCTGGCATCTTGTATTTTCTAAACCAATCATGCTGCCATAGATGGAATAGCCTTTAAACACAGGCATCCACATTAAAGAGAAACATACACCTCCAAAAGCCAGCATATCAAACATACTTTCAGATTTTTTAACACAAAGCACGGGCTTTATCTAACAGCTGGTCCAACTTTTTCATTTGAACTTCTTAAGTAAACTCCAACTGTCTAACTAATCTAATGTACGCAGGGATACTGAAGCACGCTGCCGGAATACAGCAGCAGAAAAGAATGACCATGAATTCCTAAGCCGAGACAGGAGCTGACGTGACTGCTGCATGATCACCATGAATCATTCAGCAGATCGGAATCATGAGATTTTTATTGGGTGTGATATTAAAAAAATGCATGACTTATTTCTGCCTTAAGAACTATGTACGGTCCAGTAGGAAATGTATTAATTAAGCGGATGAAGAAGAACATACTTCTAGGTCCCTCTGTGACGGCTCTCCTTCCTTCTGGGACGTCTCCACCTCCCGACCTCGTATGATGTGGAGCTGCTGGGTGGGAGTGAGGGGGCGGCTCCCGGGAGGAGCAGGAGACCTGGGTTGAAGCCTCTGCCTTGCAGAATCGCGCACGAGGGAGACCCTCTTCTCGCTGGATTCCCTGTGAAGTTGCAAAGGGGCAGAGGTACAGTACCAGGACAGGGCTGCCCAAAAACCGCCATGTGAAGTTACACATATGTCATGATCACAAAGCAACCAAGATCGATGCCCAACACGTGCCCCACCCCTCCACCACCAGCAGCAGCAGAAGCTTGCTTTCATACTCTGGGTTCGATGAAAATACTTTTATATCCAAATTCAACAATGCATGCAGTGAAACAGCACTTCCATGCCACCAAGAAGTGGTGCCGGACGACGCACTGTCAGAGGAAAGTGATGGGATTTGAGAGTAATGACTACTGCTGTTTTAAATGCAGCTCAGCCACCTGCAGAACCTCTACCTGCCAGCTGAAGCCCTGCATCGTGACGTAAGCTTCAGTTTCTTCTCCACGGGTGGAGACACTTTTGAAGCTAGAATGGGCACATTAAGGAGCAAAAATGACTGCAGCAAATGCACATAAATACACTCAATTGGATTTAACTGCTCTCTTCCCTTGTGAACAATCTTCAGCTCCCACTCTTTGGCAGGGGGGAAAACCAGCAAAAGTTAATTTTGATTGCAAATGGGTTTCTGAATCCAAATGCATGTCTGTATTTTCTTCTCAGTGATAATCAGTGTTATAAACACAGCTATACAGAGCGTAAGCAAAGCACCGAGTATTACAGTCAAGGACAAAGACTAGTGATAATTTATGGAAGGATGGAACGGGCTTGATACAATTCTCAAGCTTGTTTCCACATAGAAAGAACTTTGCCAAATATGCTGCTTTCAGTGCATGATAATTTTGATATGCTGTTAATGCGCACGATATCTGCTCAGAGTAAAGAATCTCTAAAGAGGTTCCTATGCCCGACAAGCATTCTGCTTTATAAAGCTGGATCAGAAGGATACGTGACAAGGGTCTGGCCCTGGGAGAGCTCTGCGAGGTGCTGCGAGGGGAACTGGGGGGTCTCTTATGCAGCTTTCTGATCTTAAGGTGGCAGGCTGTGGGGGTGTAGTTGCTCCCTATCGATTCACTGGGCGTCCTGTGGTGCCATTGCTCCTTGAAAGGAACAGCCAGGGTCCAGGATGTGTTCTGGAGGATCGGAGGATGGTGGCTGTGCCTGAGAACAATCTGAGGAAGAGAAGAAAGAAACGGTCAACCACCAACGTAAAAAAACTGCACTGTAACATCTGTGTGCAATCATATTTGGTGTAAATCTGCAGCAGGCAAGACTGCAGTCATGGAATTTGTAGGTGTATTACTTTCCCTAGAATTCTTACATGCAAACTGATGGCTATCTTTCATGTGGCAGATTGTCATCTTAAATTCTGAAATTTGTCATCAGATTCTGACACTGTATTATATATATTATTTATATTTACATTATATTTGTATTAAAGGGCGTAGACAGTGTACAAAGAGTGGTGCTGTTTCTATTGCCCCCATTGCTTAAAGTAATTAATTGATTGCAGTTTTCCGTCCATCAATTTTCCAATAATTGCTTAATCCAAAACCGGATCACGGAGATCCAGAGCCTATCCTGGCAAACAATAGGTACGCGGCAGGTTATACTAGCGTACACTCAGGACACGCCACCTCTCACTCAGCCACAATCCGTTACACACAATCTGGAAGGTCTAGACTCTCTGTCAAGGATCTGTACATTTTCTTTTGGTTCAGTATTCACTACCACAAAACATTTGATAATGTGCTATTAGTAGCTACAATCACAGTGGTCATTGGAGGTTATGCCTAGTCTCACAGCTTCCAGAACTACTTTCATATTCATAGTCTGTTTCGGAATAATTACAACATGCTACACTAATAAATACTACTTTAAGCTTTGGTGGTGTGGAAAATGACTTATTAATAATATGGGACATCATTTCCATTTAATTGATCATAATTCAGTACCAGAGTGGAGCTAAAGTGCCCTAGTAATGAAGTACTTCTATCAGTATGCACCAGAGCTTGCTAGAAGAAAGTTTGCTGTGTATATTATTCAGATTTCAACTCTTCATTCACTGAACTTTAAAACAAACAAATCTGCAGTCACAGAACGAACAGAGGCTGATACTGCGGTGCTGGCAGGAGTACTAAACTCACAGCTTTTTCACATGCCATAGATGGACTGAGGGGCACAATTAAGCCTAACTCAAATTATTGCTGTATGGAAAGCATGGCAATTTGTGTATCTAACATTAACTACCCCATTTCGGTAGAGAAAGACAAAAAATACCTAAAGCCATAAAGGACACAGGAGAAAATTAGCTAAGTTTAATTAAATGGGTTATCTCTTTAGTCGACCACAACACTTTTTTCATCCCAATGCGGTTTTTTTTTCACTAATGACTCTACAACAATATCTGCAGAATGACAAAATACCATCAGCAGACAAAGTGTGGGGGCTGTATTTACCTTTTGTACACAGTGAAAACACCTAATGCAATACACAATGCATAATACGGTCTGCTGACCTTCCAAAATGAGCCTCTCTGAAGATAATTCTCGGGTTTATGTTTTCACTGCTGCAAATCTGTTCCTTCAGGTATCCAATGGAGTACAGGAAGTGACCAGTGTAGGCTATTATTTTTAGTGTTTCCTGAGAAACAAATTAAGACCACCTACAAATGTTGCACCACCATGCCAGTGTGATTTAGAGGGCTCACTTGCTTACAGAATCACTTCCAAGCTAAATTTGTCTCTTTAAAGAAAAGCTCAATGCCAGTTTCACATCACGATGGAGGTTGATAACAAAGACATTGCTGTAGGTTTGTCTTTATTTACTACTGCATGTTCATTTCCCTTCATACACAGTACAAGACTGTATTTCCGTTGTTTTCTGATTGGATGCCTGTATCTCTCCTCATTTATCTTTGTGCATTTCCAAAAAATACTGTAAAACGTGCTGTCAGAAATGCTCTTTCTTGCCATAACCTTTTATCCGGTTTGGAATCCCAAATCAACTCAGTTTAAAATTTCAGGAATTTTCTTCCGGAAAGCAGACTTTGTAGGATTCAGACAGCCAAAGAGAAACAGAAGAGGGCAGAAGGGGTGGAGGCTGTTTTACAGGTACACACAAATTGGAGCATGTTTTAGGATACTGCCTTCATAATTTCTCTTCCAGGGCTTCTTCCCGCCTGCAACGAGCTTCCTGATACGATTTACTGGCAAGTCAGAACAAAGGGAACAAATGAAACAGGGCCTGATAACAGCCTGCTTCCAATGCAGATTGCTCCTGCTTGGCGTAAGCCCGCTTACAAAGGCAAATTAAGTTGGGCATTCAGCCTAAGCTCACAGAGTCGAGTGTTAATTAATTTCTTTGAAAATGTGGAAGACATGGCCCTCCAGTGTCTGCAATTCAGTGCACGGAAATGCACATCCAGTCGACTAATTAATTAAAAGTTAGCAATTACAAAAATTAACAGCAACAAAAGAGAACTAAGACAGAGGGGTGGAGGCAGGGCTGTCAGGCTTTACATCTAGGAACTATTCCAATTTCTTTATCATATAATTCCTTCTTTTGAAGCATATAAATTACCATCTGACGCACCCACCATGCTACTATTCAGCACATTAAAGTCCCATTAATGTGATTCCTCCTTTGCAGCACCCAATACCGTGCTGCCACATTTCACATAAAAAGGCTTAGCACATCTGAAAAGATGGCTTATTATTAACATTCTCAGGCTATTCTACAGCGCGAGAGTCACACTGGAGCTCCTACAGCCTGCTAAAACGCTTATTTTGAATTACAAAAAGAGTTTTGCACAGATTTTATTTGAACCGTTTTTTTTTTTCCATTCATCAAAGATGCACCTCTTCTTTGAAGCGCACATCACCGAATGCTCACCCCCTTGAATGCAACGAAGGCTTATGTTGTGGTAGAGCCATCGTTACCAACATTTCTGGCAGTGTTACACACCTCTATTTTCATACTTTTGACTATTTTATGCTATGTAAAGGATGGCAGAAGCCAGGGCTGTCCGAATAAAGTTACCAATTACTGCTGCAAACATAATGATTCGCTAAAATAAATGTTATTCAGTGTTTTACGGTGTACTGTGCACGCTCCAACAATCACGTGGGTTAGCGTTAGAATAGTTTAAAGTGCATCATGTCAATTGACGTCATTCAGCTGGCGTTTACTCCTCTTTCTGCACATTTCGGAGTGAAAGTGCCTAGGGCCTACGCACACCACAATCCGGCCCTGGCACCATGAGCTGGCCAGCTCCTGCAGCTCACCTGGTAGAGCTCAGAGGGCTCTGCGGGAGAGGACACGGGCAGCGGGGGCAGTCCAGGTAATCCCCGCGAATGGCTCATGTTGTGGATGGAGTCATCTTCCATCTGTAATCAAACGAGAAGGTCGCTGAAACACAGTGGGGTCTGTTTTTCTCCCGAGCGGGAATGGAAGTTTGGGGAACATGAACGCAGAATGGTTGCAACCTGGGTGAGGGTGTTCTCGGTCCCTAGTTAGAATAATGCATTAAGTTATCATTTTATCAAGCTGCATTGGTTTACCCCTGCATATATAGGGGACCCTTCTGGAACCATAGGCATCATACATTATAAAGACTTGTGTTGTTGTTTTGCATATTACGGCCTTGCAATTTCAGGATATTTGCAAGGGCAAAATTGTCAGAATCAAAGACTGAATCTCGAGAGCCAGTCTTGAAGAGCCTGGTTTTGGAAAAGTGTTTCACATAAAATTGCTTTCTGCACAAATTTACATGAGTGGCACAGCTGTATTCATTTCAATGGTCTTCTTCATTTCCCGCTTGTTCCTCCACAAACTAATTTTTGAGGTGGGCCTGAGTGTCGGTGCCTGCAGTACCGCAGATCCTTAAAACCTTTCATGAAAAGAAAAACACCAACAAACAAACAGAAGTGTCATCTGGTTCTTTGTCATACTGGAATTGTAATAGTGGTCACCCTCTCTTGGGAAGTGCTTACGAGACACCACTTCAGAATCACAGAATATTGATCAGTACCAACACTTTTCAGTGACTTTTTCTAATTTTTTGGAGTGATCTTGAGATTTCTGTTTAGCAATATTGTGTATAGAGTCACGACATATTGTATATTGAATCAAATAACAAAATTGTATTCCAGAGAGCAACCTCTTCATGGCTGACTGAACACCATCTCTGCTGTAAAATCATGGTAAAGTAATAGAAGGTGGCACATAAAGTACAAAACAAGTAAACATAATGCTTATAAATGTGGTTGGACAGACAGCAGATGCAAAAATGGAATAAGGAAGGACAGCAAAAGAGGAATTAAAATCCATACTGATCTGAAAAGGGCACTCATATCAGAGGAAAACAGATATGACAGTGGCCTGTACAGATGTACGTGAACATGAAAAATATACAGAGAGAACAAACTGGCTTCACTCTAAATCCTGACATTAAGGTTATCAGGACATTAAACCTGATGGCCTCCTTTCAAATCCAGATCTTAGGATTTTTAGTTTAGTTTCAGCTCCAAATACAATGGTTTGTGGCACAGGATGTTGTTAACAGCTCAAATGCAGCATGTGTCTTAAACACCACGCCAAACCTCCCAACTTGGAAACCTCAACTCTGAAATAAAAATGTCATCACGCTTTTAAATAAATCCTTACGTGCTTCAAACGAGTTAATTCCATTACTGAAGATGGAAACTTTAAAAACAAACTTAATGTTGTCAATTCTTTCGGACCATTCTTTAAAAAAATAGATCACTTCCTTGAATCCTACCTGCTTTAAGCGCTCCATTTGGTAAGGCAATCCAGAAGGATAAACAGAAATTACATTTGTTAACTTATTTCAGGAACTTGAAGTTTGATTCCTCGACGCTAAGACCGTTCTCTTGAAAACCGAGATCGGCTGCCCTCACAAAGGTGAGTTTACCTGTAACTCGTAGCGCCGTGGCGACAGTGACATCTCCATTGTGCGCTGTCCTGTTTCAGGAGTAGTATTCCAGGTCAGGTTTAAAATATTAACAATCACACTTTTGGCAGGAAACAACTGTTTTTGCGGTTACCGCTTTTAAAGAATCGATCCATACTTGTATATTCAGAACCTACTGTCGTGTAACATTCTTAGACAACGGCAAAATTTTACAGCAAAAGTTTTTTTTTAACTTTTAAGACAATATTATAGCAAGAAAATAATACTAGGTATTATTGATAGTAGTATTTTTTTTTACTTTTCAAAAGAAATATCCGTCCCCCCAAAAATATATTGAAATGCGTCTGTATAAAATAAAACTTTCTACCTGTCATACATGTAAAGGCTGTATTAAGAATTTAAACCTACAGTTTCAATTTATAGGAGCCCACCTAGCTCGAATAGTACTTTGTACTAGAAAGAAAATATTGCTCATTATTAAGAATTTCAAAGTTTATTAATAGTCTGCATGCCTTAACTCAGAGCTGTAAAAGTTACCTACAGCTATCTGTTGAACTTCACTGTAAACATCCGGGACCAAGGTTGCCCGTGGTTACTGCATACTAGTTGCCGGGATACAGATTCTCAGGCCTTCCTGTTTTGAGATTGTTTAAGCACCACCGAAACCCATAAGACTAAAGGTATATTAAATATACATATGATTAATTTGGAAGAAGAGGCATATTTTAACACAATGTTCGTACAGAGCCGTCATCATCGTTCCTTATTCTCAATTAAATCCTACAATATTTCTCGATGGGAAAAACAGACGGTTAATAAATCACACACAAATTGGTACTTTGTAAGTCTCGTCCCCTTAAAAAGGCATAATTATGCTTAATTGATTACTAATATGCTTAATTGTGCATCAACTTAATAATAAAAACATCATTACTACTACTTGCAAAAGCTGAAATCAACAATAGATCCAGATGTTGAGGGTTTTTGCAGATATGACAGGAATACATTAAGTAGGTTTTGTCAAAGTTGTGCACAGCCTAGGCACATTTTCGCTGCTTTAGCTGCTATGACCCCTGTTGTAGATCATATCGTGTGTTTTTAAAATGCATTTTGAAAAGCCAAATCTGTTCGTTATTTTGCCCTTGTGTTAAAGGCAGGTGTGGAGTGGATTGGCAGATCCTTAAAACAGGCAGAATCCGTTCAAATCAAGGCTTCCTTTAAGATGGACACACCGGTTATCTTTGATCTAAAAACCCAATTCACTTCAATATCTCCGCGTGTTCTACTGTGACACAGCAGAAAGTACGTCTGAGACTATAATATAGCACAAAGGACGTGGATCACAATCTTCTTAGGGTTTTGACAACAGTGAAATCACCAAAGGTATGTGCCAGTAAAGATCCGCTCCACTAATTGAAGACTCGTCATTTAGTTCTCCGTTACCGTCCCGAATCAATAAAGGCTAATCAATAAGACTCGGAATCCACACAAGTTGCATTATGTATTAATAATTCGTATCCTATCCAGACACCACATAAATCACAGACGACGTCTGATTGGATGTGCAGTACATTACATATAACAACCAGCTATACGGACTATTTACTTGTTAGTAGTAACTAGTAACTGCGCCAAATGAGCAAGAATTTAAATTAGTTTTTTTTTCAAAACATTAAAAACCTATGCCACTTTTCTTTACAGCTTTCTTGATCTTTTCTTTAGCTGCTATACGAGCTAAATGCCTTTGCTTAAACTGCTGCTCGTAACGATCACATTTAATCTTTTAGTTAAGTGAGCATTTCTGCACTGATGTATTATTACAATCATTATTCGTTTTAGTCAATACGGTGGAGCAGGCGTGCCCCCTCGAAGGACGTTGCAATATAAATGATTATTTGCCGACCTCCAGAAACGAAGAGGTTAAAAAGGATCTGCCTTGGTCTCCTGTTTAAATTATGCGGTAGCTCTAGTTTCAGGGAGGCGGAAACTATGACGTTTAGACACAAAATAGACATTTAAAGCGGATACATGGGAGGTGTGTAGGTCTTAATTGCAGCAGAAATACGGTGGGAAACGGGAGGAAATAGGGTTTATGTTAAAGTCGGGGTAAGTCAAAAATTCATTCGGCTTTGAATAAATCTAGTTCGGTTGTAGAATGACAGACAGGCAGCTAACTGCGGTAGTCTGGGTTAATGACTCAAGGAACCGGAAATATCCGACAAACCGAGGACCCGAATGGCGAATTGGTACAGAGTAACCCTTCGCATACAGCGATGAATTGGGAAAACACGTTTTATCGATCTCCTCTGAACGGTGATAAAGGCATCTGCCGCAAGATGATAGGGGCCTTCGCTCTCTTAATATACATTTCGCGCTTCTGAGCTGCGTTTGGAGGAGGCCCCGTTCTGGTGTAAAATCTGCAAAGCAGTAAAAGGTTTTTTTAAAAGCACTTTAATTAGCTAGGTACTTTAGATTTATTATACCTCTCGTGGAAGATCAAGGGCGGCTTGTAGTTTCGGGTGTACGCCGTAATGAGTGTTTTTTTTTTCCAAATCAATGTCAGATTTAATTAACTGTCCAGTGGTCAAAACTGGGCAAGTGGACATCAAAGATGTATCTCTCTAAACTACAAGAATATTTTTTTGCCTGAACAGAAGTAGTGGCACAGCACTGCACCATACGTACTGTAATTTATACTGTGATATAAAGGGAATAACTATAGGATGTTGTCAGTGTCCATATGCGATGGCTGAGCCGTGCTTGGCCGGTTTTTTGAGGCGGCATGGTGAAAGCTGATCTTTTTGTTTTCAATTTATTTTCACGGTTAAAACAACAATAGGTTCTAACATATTACAGTATGACATATAATTGTCTTATAAGTGTCCCTTTTTCTTCACTTTGCTTCAGGTAATCCAGAAAGTTGGGGAAATCCTTTTCTCAGCAGGCAGCTGTGTCTTTCTCCTGCAGCAGATAACTCTAACAGATAAATGTGGCCAAGCCAGGGCGTTTCACTACCGAAGGAGATGCAGCTGCTACAGAACCGTTTTAGTGCCATTTTGTACACCCTGAACAGCAACCCCAAGGTAAGGCTCTGTGTTAAGCTGGGGTGAAATAAGAGCACACCTGATTTCAGCAGGAGTAATAAAGGTTCCTGTGCACCAGGGCTGCCCAGCTCTGGTTCTGGAGGGGCTGGGTTCTTGGCAGGTTTGAGCTGATTTAACTGGCCGACAGCTGAACTGGAATGCAGTTCAACTGTCGACCAGTTAAATCAGCTCATTCCTGCCTTAACTGGACAGATTTAGCAGCTTCTCCCAGCTCTCCAGGTGCCGGAGCTTCGGGCATCTGGAAAACCCGGAGGCACATGGTCCATCCAGGATTAGGACCGGCCAGGCCTGCTTTGCACTGCACTTTCAAGACCCTGTGAAAGAGATGATTGTACTGTGCGATTTTCACAGTCTCGGGCAGTTAGCGCTGTGATGGGCCACATTTTGCCTACTTTCTCCCCTTATGAGAAGTTAATTGTGTAGAGATGTGGACTTGGACAGGTCTCGTGGTGCAGTTTGCGCTACATGCCTCTTTGAATTTGATACAGACGTGGTTTCTGATGAATGTGTGCGTCTGAACCGTATCGATTTGTTCACGGCCTCTCAGAAGCTCAAGTGCGTTTTTTGTTTGCAGCCTGAAACCGATTTAGAGCTACACTAACTAGTGGGAGTCTAGATGTTTTTCTATCATATGAACTTGAAAGAAAATTTAGGTTGGCAGCCTTCAATGTGCTTTATCGTGTTACCGTCTGTAACAAATTTGGCTAATTATGCTGCTGCAGAGGAATTTTATTTACATTTATTTACAAAAAGTTTCCACTTTGGTAGATGGTCTATCACCCCCCCCAGAAAGAAAGTACTTCTTAGTTGGGGGGGTAGTTGAAACTGAATTGTTGTCCAGCTGGGACCTTTTAATAGGTTTAAGCCTCCTTCGCTCTCCTTATATCTGAAGTGTCGCATTAACTCCTGCTCTCCTGTTGTTACTTCTTATTTTTGCTTTCTGTGGGCTCTGTCTTACTAGAACCCGGCACGTGACCTCATTATCCCTCCTCAGGTGGCACAGTTCATGGAGACCCCTGTGGGCCGGTATCTGGACGGCCACCCTTTCTTCGTCCTGGTGCTGCTGGTGTTTGGTGCCATGGCGACGGTGCCCATTGGCCTCTTCATGACATTTGCCATCACCACCTTCATTACCGCGTCCATCGGCTTCGTCTTCTTGGAAGGTGAGTCGCTGACCTCAACCGTACAGCTCGACACCTGGCCGTTCTGGTCCATTCAGTGTGATTTACAGGCCTGTATCAAAATCACACTCTTGCATTGAGGACTCGGATCTTATGGTGCAATGCACCCATTACAAGGCTAATGCACATCAGCCGGAGTATTGAGCAAAACGGAAATGAACTTAGGAATGTCAGGGCACAAACGGTTCTGTGCTTACCTGTCTATGTAAAGTTTTTCAACTGTTGAGCAAAATAGCAACCCATGTTTTTAATGCAGCATCATAAGAACAAAATCTTTTTGTTTTTGTTTTGCTGTAGTAACCCTGGATCTCTTTGCACATGGCTATGAGGAACACAGTTGACATGAGTCTTGCTTAGTGTTCCATAGACTGCAAAACCTTTTAACGTGTCTGCTGCAGTACAAAAGGTTGGATTGGATTGCAGTGGAATTAGGTGCATGGCACTGGAACTGCACTGTACATATCATTCAATAAGTAATAGCATGTACTTGTGCAGTAAAACAGACCAAAGTTCAAGTCCTTTCTTGAGTAAATTGACATCGTTTTCTTTGGGTTGTGTTTTTGCCTTTTTAATGGAATGTCGGTGCAAGTGCAATATTTTGTTGTTAACATTTGGTCTTTGTTTTATGCATGTTTGAAATGCAGAGAAGGAATGGATACCTACAAGGCATTATGGCTCCCCAGGACTGGAGATGTGCACCCCTATATTAGGCGATAGTTTAACGATAGTGTGTTTCACGGTGACTGAACAGGGGAAATAAGAATGACCGACTAGTGCAGCACCTGTAGTAACCTGTGCATTGTTCCTGCCAGGGTTCCTGCTGTCTCTCGGGGGAATTGCACTGCTGTGTGTCCTCTGTGGCCTGGCTATCATTGCCTTTGCTGTGTCTGCCATCCTCGGTGCCTTCTACATCACTGCCACCAATGTGCTCAACTACTACTACAGCCAACGGTACGATACCCCTTAGGCACTGCCAGCTGTCTGCATGAGGACAGCTCTCCCTGTTCTTTACAGGTCTGTCGGGCGAGAGAGCATAAAAGCTCCATTTCTGTCTGCCAACAAGTGCAAAAGGCTAAAGATGTGCTGGAGCTCGAAATTAAAATGGTTTCTGCTTATTTATTTGTAGTTGCTAATTATGTTAATGGTTTATGCTGGCGGCTGTCCGATCTTGGTCCTGCATGGCCGGTGTTAAGTTATCTAATGGATGTCCATCTCTTTAAAGCGGCAGCACCTGAAGATCTGGGAGAAGCTGTTAAAACTGTCCAGTTGAGCCAGCAGCTCATTGATTTAGCTTGTTAAGAGTTGGAATGAAAACCTGCCGATACACGGTTCTACCAGGACCAGGGTTAGACAGTCATGGTATTACATGCAAACATAGTTGGCAAGTGCAAATAAAAAAAAACAAAACATTTTTATTTACAAGGCTTGCTAAGTGAGTCCTTACTTCCGCGGAAGAAAGACTAAGAGCACAAAGTGTGCTTTCACTTCTACGTTTAAATGTGCTTCATCATGCCCATGCTATTCTCCGTACTCCTGATTCTGCAGCTCGATGTACTTCTTGACATCTACTGACATTTCCTCAAGCACTATTCCATCACCTGGGAATAATCCCTGCTCATTCTTCTGTCGGCAACAGTAATGTCGCACAGCTGCGATTCCACTAATGCCTTTAAGTGTGCTGTACAGATGTTTCCCGCAGACCCCCAACGCTAATTGAAAGGGCAGCAATTACACTCGTTTTCTGACGGATCACAGAGGCTGTTTGAAGCCTCTCAGAACACACAATTTTAGAGATGAAGCTCGGTAGTATGACAGATTATAAATTCAGCATGATTTTAATTGCTTTTCTTTTTTGTTCTGTGTAATCTATAGAGAATTTTCAAGAGATCAGAGAACTTTAAGGAGATAAGTAGTTGCAAATAAGAGGAGGCCATGTGGCCTGTCTGACTCTCTTGGGCTGCTCGTGACTAATTGATCCAAGCATATCTGCTTCAGTGAGTGATCCTTGTGCTTCTCCACTATTCCATCATCCCAGCTGGAGTATTCGGAAAGACACTGAGCCCCTCATTGTATGAGTTGCATGGGTGGAGGGAAAAAATATCTGGAAGTGTATCGTAATTGCTGATTACATAGAAATTCAATGATCACGTTGAAAAACTAAGAATTAATAACGGGGTGACTCAAATTGTTTGTCTTCCAGTCCATTCCATTTAATTTCTTTTGCATTTTGAGCCGCTTCCTTATTTTATCATTTATGAATTCTATTAAGCAAAAGAAGGAGTCGTAAGAGTAAACCTGTCGACCTCGTATGCAGAGCTTAAGTGTCGGTTTATTGAGTGTGGCCCTGTGGCAGATTGAACCTGTGGCTGCTGGAGAGGCGCGCTGCGATTGCTGTCGGCGTTTCTTTTCCTCCCGATATGCCCACTGAGTGAGATTGGGAAAACTCACAAGCACAGAGAGGTAAATAGATGCAGCCTCACTTAGCTGGCGCAGACGTTTCATTGCAAAACAAAAGTCAATGAGGCGGGAGGTGGTGAAGAATCTCTTTGGGAGAATTAATTTCTCCCTGTCTGGAAAGGAAAATTACACTTCCCACACACAAACAGGCTGCCTTTCGGCTGCAGCAGGGGTGCATAACCCTGTCTTGGAGTGTCGGGAGGTTTGTGGTTCTTCTTCCAGCTGATGCCTGACTGAATTTTTTTTATCTGCTTAATTGGACAAGTTGAAGCCTTTCCTTGTTCTTGAAAAGCTGGAGATTGAAAGAGACCTATAAACCATCCTGGGCAGCAGCCCCTAAGGAGCTGGTCTGGGCTCCCCTGCTCTGCAGTATCATTGTTCTTTGGCCAGCTTGAATATGCCTAACGTACTTTTTCTGACTCTGAGGGGACAGGAGCACACAAGATATCATCTTGGGTTCTGACAGTGCCTTTGTTTGATGAGCCACCCCTGTAATTTAAAGCCGACATCTGGGGGAAAAAAAAACGTTTAAGCCCACGTTTCTGTGGATTTTGCTCAAGACAAATAAACAGCTCATGTGTGCTGCTGATTTCGGTAAGGGGAAGGTACGGCAAGCGATCCGTTTGTCTGGGCGTGTTACCAAAACGGAGTACGAGAGTTCGACACCCCTGCGCTAGAGGATGGAAGAGATTCATTGGTGCATTTTTGTTTGTTTGTTTCTTCTCGTGAAGCTCTTCCCCCACGAAGCAGGACCCTGCGGGCAGTCCCTCAAGGCCAGACCCGGACTCCTCACCCGTAAGCCCCGAGCCCCAGAAACCGAAGGGGCAGTAGACCAGCGAAGGAGAGCGGAACCACCAAGCCTGCTACCCCAACACCGGCCCACGCCCGGTCTCCGGCCCCGTCCTCCATGCGCCCGCGGAGTCCGCCCCCAAAACGTTCCAGCTCGCAGCTCTCGCACTTTCCCTTCCCCTTCCAGCTCTGAGAAAATGAGACTAATACTGTCCTAGCGTCTCGCTTATAACCTGGTTGGAGTGAGCCCAAGTAGGAGTGGTATTCCCTGTGAGGACAAATGGAAAAACGAGCTCCAGTAGCGGGAAAGGGAGTCTTACCCCTGCGCGCCGCGGGAGACATGGACGAGCATGTTGTTGAAAGCTCTGTAGTATGTTTCTGGAGATGTTGTTTTTTTTTTCCCTCCTTTCATAGGCAGTCTTTATTTATCAGAGCAACTGACTTTCTATTTTATTTGTAATCTACTGCAAGGAAGTGCCCCTGTTTCTTGGGTTGCTCTATGTTATTTACACTTACGCAAGCATAGTACTTAATGTTCATTTACCCATTAGTACACATGATTTCACATTAGAAGTGGAAATAATTTCACTTCCAGTTTTAATTGAATGTTTTGTCCTTGACGAAATGGTACTAATGCAGATCTAACATCATTAATCAACAGCACTTTATAACTCTCTAAAATGAAAACTTCTATATTGTTACTGCTGAATCAGTATTTTTGTACGGTTTTTATTCACCAGCATACTATGAGTATAAATTGAGAAAATATTATTGTAACTCTCCAGTGACTGTGGGGGAAAAAATATATTTCACATTTAATGAAGTGAACATTTGTCATGCACAAACCTAGTATTCATCACTACACGCATAGAATGAAATGCCTCTTTTTAACTCCTGCACAGCAAGACTATAATGTACGTGTTCACCTAAAAAAAAACTGCTCTTGCCTTCAAGGATACTCTTAATTGTTTATCGCAGTATTCCAACTACTTCAGTACACATAAGGCGAGGTTTTTCTCAACTTGCTAATTAAGAATTTGCTCCCTTATTCCTGACTAAACTGCTTTTTAATAGGTGGTCATTTGCTGATGAAGAAACACAGGTGGGAAGGATACTGAATCAAATATTTCCCAGAGCGCATCAGTGCATTTTGTTAAGGTATCTTTTACTTTTACTTAAGTCCATTTTGTTAAGGTATCTGTTCGCGAGGTGTGCTGTCAGCTTGCATACCTGAATGAGGGCAGTCCTGCAGCTCCCTAATTACCACTAGGCTACTTTTTCTCTTTAACCTCTCTCCTATCTAAATAAAAGAAAGCAATCTTGCACAATCACAGTTTTCTCTTTTTGTGCGAACTGAACATATATATTTACATGTAGTACGAGTGTGGCTCTGTCACAGACTTCATTTTGTTTCCATTGCAAATTGTTTCCACTCTTTTTTTTTACAAAGGGTGAAAGCTAATTTAAAAAAAGGTCCCCCAGTAAAAAATTGATATAAATAAGAGCCAAACTTACACAAAAACTAGAAGAAAGAGGTTTACTGCAGCACTTAAATCAACGATTCTGGAGTAAATACCAGATTACATATTCTGCAGAAAACTAGTAGTTTTTATGTTGGAAAACAGACTGCCCCTGCAGAGTTTAATACATCCCTACTTGTGTCAGAAAGCCCCTTGATCTCTAGAGATGCTCAGAGAGAAATTTGTTTCCAAATGCCAGCTGTAATAATACAACTAAAAATAAAACATTATTCGCGTTTTCAATTGTTTTTTGTCTTCACTGTTTGGTCAGTTATTTCTGATTCCCTTCTGCTAAGGAAGAGAACCTCACCTGGATGAAAGCTTTTCTACTATTCCGTGTGATTCACAGCCATGATAGCTGGTTTGTAGTCTCTCAGCATTCTGTCCAGCTTGTGCTCATGATACAAGAAGGTCAAATTAAATATGTGACCTGCCTGTATATGCTGGTGTGTCTGGGCATAGGGCACAGACTTCAAGGAGTGCTCAGTGTGGTCTGGCACATTCTCTCAAGTAACGAATGTATTCTGCAGTCCTTACCTTTATTCCTGGATCTTTCTTTTTAAGAATTCTCTTGGTTGATCACTAAAACTGCTAACTGTACAACACTCTCACCTTGCTGTAGTCTTCCCAATGCTGGTTTATGATTTATGAAGAGTCACCGACAGCAAAGGACAATAGAACAAGCAAAAAAATTGTGATTTGGCAAGCTGACATTACTATGTGAATTTTCTTTATCTGTACTTTTTGTCCTGTGCTATGAGCAAACAAAAAGACTTCACGTTGAATTGCTGGTTTTCACTCTTCCGGAAGATATGAGTCACCGTATAGCTTGTAATTTATTTCTAAGGAAATACTTATCGCAAAACATGTCTTTGAAGTAATATTTAAAGGGACACCGATTCCAAGTTTTTTTAGAAGGTTACAATTGACATTGCAGGCCAGTACAGAAGTTCTATTTACCAGTGTTGGTATCTCACTGGAGCAAAGCTGTCCAAGAAATACTATCCCAGACACACACATTGGCATATCAAGAAGGCTTCAAAACTGAGCTGTTGGATATACAGTATACACGACAAACCACAGACTCACTGCCTTCCTTATTTGACAGGTACAATACCAAGATCAGTCATAAGCAGTTAAGGTGGGCAGCTGCGTCAGCATGTGTAGGCTGCAAAGGAACAGGTAACTGCTGAAAAGAGAAGAAGGGAAACGCAACGTTTGGGCTGTGGAGCCTTCTTCAGGTGTACAGAATGGAATAAACCTACTGTTCCATGATCAGAGATGGTATTTTTGAAGAGTGTATATATATATATTGTTTAACACAGAGAAGTGCATTTAAAGAATATTCTTGCTTGACATTGTTGCTTGTAGTGCAACAAACTTTCATATCACTGGTTTGTAATGAAAATGATAGGGGCTCCATTGGAAATATCTGTAATATGTTGCACATGCTTCTTGCATAGTATATAGGTTTTTCAATTCAAAACCAAGTCGTGTTTATAGAGAAGGAATCGGATTACTGCAAAATAAATACCTGTTTAAATCTTCTTGAGGTTTTTCTGTGGGCCTTTCCTGTTCAAAGACAAGGCGGTGTATCCCCACTGGAACCTGCACTTCAGTCCTCAGATCGGCGGCTCCAAAATACTTCCCTATTACTGTATCCTCAGTTTCATTTCTTAGCGGGTATACTGTGCTGCTTGAAACATGTACTAAGGAACTGCACGCAGGTGACATCATCATACGGGAGATAAGCATCGCCTGATCTCTGTTACTTTAACATTAAACACAAAAGGCTAATAAAGACAGGCAGCCCTTTGAGTGAGCTGTGAGATAGTGATGAAACTTAGCGCTTTCGAATGCAGTGGCTTGATCAAATGTGATCGCGCAGTCGCTAGTGAACTAGAGCCTGTTTCTTGGGACACCCGCTTATTGGTTCCTTAAACGTGCGATTACAGGCTCAAAACTCGCCATTCGAAGAAGGAATGTACCTATACGGATCACTTCTATTCAGACAGGAATTGTCTTACCAATGGCACGGCCGAAATCGTCACCGCATTGTTTTCCTTCGATCGCATAGTAAGACACGAATAAAGGCGCCATGTATTGTTACACTACAAACCATTCAAGTGCGGTCTATTCTCGTTCTCTATTCCATTCCACTCATCCTACTGATCGGCTCTAGGAGTGAATCACAGTCATTGATTATATCTGTATTAACCCAGAGTGTAGTAGTCTTTAACTCAAGCGAATCCAGCGGTGGTGTTTAATAACGCATTTCGTTGCCAGAATGTGTCACTGGTATGCTTGGAAATGGAGCTGGAGAAGGCTGTTCTGTTTTGTTTGAAGAGCAGGTCCCAGGGATCTCACGCACTCTATTACGCGGTGTGACATAAATGCTTCGCTCCTCACCAAGTTTGCTGGAGCTGCTGGAGGTGCTCTTCCAGTGAAGAGCTGCAGACGCCCAGCCCCGCCGAGCGAGCGGGCTGGTTAGGGACAGTTCCACCGCCGAGCACAGCGACCAGTGTTGTTCCGGCAGAAGGATTTCTGATTTGCACTGGGGAGGAAAAGACATTTACTGCAGTTATGGATTTCACCGATAGTTTGAATGACACCGAGAACAACACTTCATTCGTCACACAGAATATGTCAAATCCAGGTGATTTACAGTAATCTTTAAAATATAAAGAATGTTATTATTCTTATTCTTATTCTTATTAAAATTATAAAGTATTATTTATGCTTGAATTATGTAATTATAAATGTTAATTATTTGCACCATTACTAGCTAGCATTGCAAAGTTTTATGTGCAGTGCTCTGTGTATGTTTTTAAATTTGAGATGGGCTTCTCCATATTAGATCATTTAAGATTCAGTGCTGGATATTTTGCCTGACAACCTGTTGAAATACATTAGTACTGAATATTTTTCCATCTTTGATATATTTTTATCTTTCAAATGAGGTATAGTTATATATTTGTGTTGCTGCAGACACCTGTGCTCATAACGGCTGCTGTGCATTGTTTTTTAAATGCATGGTTATCCAAACAGATTTCTAAGCTTATCTAATGTCTTACAGATGCAATTAAATATGTCGCTTACAGCAGTGTGTTCATGCCCACGGTATTTGGCATCATCTGCCTGCTGGGCACTGCAGGCAACATCGTCGTGATCGTCACGGTCTTTAAGAAGTCCAAGTTCCGGTGCCGGAGCAGCGTGCCGGACATCTTCATCGTCAACCTGTCGGTGGTGGACCTGCTCTTCCTGCTGGGCATGCCGCTGCTCATCCACCAGCTGCTGGGCAACGGAGTGTGGCGCTTCGGCGAGTCCCTGTGCACCATCATCACCGCGCTGGACTCCAACAGCCAGTTCACCAGCACCTACATCCTGACCGCCATGACGCTGGACCGCTACCTGGCCACCGTCTACCCGCTGGCCTCCGCCCGTTTCCGCACCCCGGCCGTGGCCGTGCGGGTCATCTGCCTGGTGTGGCTCCTGTCCTTCCTGAGCATCACCCCCGTGTGGATGTACGCCCGGCTCATCCCCTTGCCGGGGGGCGTGCTGGGCTGCGGCATCCGCCTGCCGCGGCCGGAGACGGACATCTACTGGTACACCCTGTACCAGTTCTTCCTGGCCTTCGCCGTGCCCTTCGCCATCATCTCCGTGGCCTACCGGAGGATCCTGCTGCGGATGTCATCCTCGGAGGCGCTGACCACCCAGAGGAGCGCCAGGCGGAAGACCAAGAGAGTCACCCGGATCGCCATAACCATCTGCCTGGTCTTCTTCTGCTGCTGGGCGCCCTTCTACGTGCTGCAGCTCGTCCAGCTGGCCCTGGAGCAGCCCACCCTCCCCTTCTACTACGCCTACCGGTTCGTCATCAGCCTGGGCTACGCCAACAGCTGCCTCAACCCCTTCATCTACATCGTGCTGTGCGAGTCCTTCAGGAGGAGGCTGATCGTGTCCGTCCGGCCCGTGGACGAGGAGCCGCGGAGCCCGGCCAGAGGCCGGAGGCAGCACTCCTCGGGCAACCACCCGCAGCTGCTGCACCTGGTGTCGGTGACCGGGCGGTAGCCGCAGCTCTGCCGGAGGAACCGAGAGCTCTGGAGGGTCGGCCAGGGCACTCTCAGCCTGGGGGGAAGATGAACTCACGCCTAAGCAGACACCTGATTATGCAAAGTCCGAGAGCATCGCTGCACGTTTTCGTTTTGGACGCCAACCATTGCTGGTGCATTGCTTTGAAAGCATCTTATACTGTCTAATGTATTTTCCTCTGTTATATTCTTCTCACTGCAAGGTTTTTCCAATCTTTATGCCGCTACAGTTTTACAGCAGTCTAACCATCTATCCATTTTCTAACTGCTTTAGAAAATGCAGTTGGGGGAGGAGCTGGAGTCTGTTCCAGCAAGCTACAGGCCCGTGGCAGGGTACACCCTGGACAGGACACCAATCCTGTGTGGCAGGGCACACACAGACACCAACAAGCACACCTTGTTGTTTAATATCGGAGAATCAAGAGTGAAGGCTTTAGATACATTATCAATACTCAAAAAATACATCTGTTTTGTAATATTGTGTCTGTAATGCCTAATACTGTTCCATAGTCAGGACCTTAAAGTAACAATTATTATAGTAACAGTTAAAAGATTAAGTCTCTGTTTAAACGTAAGTGTTCTGTGACTCTTTTCTGCAGTATTCCATTTGAAAGCTTTTTATGCCCTATGTAAAGGTGTACACAGTGTCTTTGATGTTTCCGCTGTGAAATGTACCGTCTCAGAAATGTAATTATCCTTAAGGATGTTGCATGCTTTGTGCTGTAGTGTGACCAGCGAAACTGGACTAGATTTCCTTAAAACACTTCAACAAAATGAATAAGTTCTTTATTTCAGCAAATGATTGTTTCTAAAGCAAGGAAAGGTTATTTATTATCTTAACTGTTAAAGGGATTTTTAAAACATTGTTATCTTATCCTGCTTAATCTGAATTTCAGTCTTAAATCATTCACGCCACTCACCCCTCTGTACTGTATTCTTGCTTTATGAAACAGGTGTGAATTCATTATGCAAATAAAAAAATGAAACAGCTCTGTGAAGTAGCATTGTACTGACAGTAAGCGGGGACGTTTTACAAGGCAAACATCAGCACCACGGACAGCATTGCCCGGCAGGGATTGAGCTGCCTCCTTGCCAAGAGCAGGCCATGAAATATGTGATTCAAAACAGTTTCTCCTTCTGCAGATCTTTAATGAGAACTTCTGTCTTTGCAGCGCAGGAATAGACAAGAACAGTCAGGGAGAGCCCAGCTTGTGGCAAATCAATAACAGGGAGTCATGGAAATCAAAGAAGGCAACAGTGTCTGAGGGGGTGGTGTGGGGTGCTCCGAAGAAAGCTGGTCATGATAAAAATAGTCTGATTGAAAGGAAACTGACTTTTTGCTGAGAAGATCCTTCCCACCAGCTGTTTCTGAGGAGAGCAGGCAGATGTGCGTCTGTTAGTTACTGGGGCTAACCAATGAAGAAGAGAATTAAGATGGGGTGTTTGCCCAGCAGGGAACTGCAGCTCTCTTTCTCTCTTTTATTACACAGACAGGCATCACAAACAGTGCAAAGGCTTCAAATCCATCACTGGAGGCTGAGATAATCCATCCATCTATTTTCAGCCTGCTTGTTCTGATCCTGTTACCATCCAAGAAGCTGGAGGCAACAGGATCAGTTCACTTTTCTCTTCATGTGCTGCTTGTTATTAGCAGTTGTAGTAGTGGCCAAACAGACTTATCAAAATGTGCTAAAATACGGTCAGAAACAATCTAGGTCTGTAGGAGTTCACTACATTTCAATGCACGGACAATGCATTTCTTTTGTCCTTTTGCTAAGACATAGGAAATGTGTCTTTCTAATTTACAAGCTCAGAAAGTGTCCAGAAATAGTTAATGGCAGGGAGCAGCTCTCAGTGTTAAACTATGGGTTTAACAAAACACTGGTTATAGAGCTACTGGCTGATTCGCACACTCGAAGGTTTCTCCTTAATTAACTCCACCCTTTGAAATTCTAATAGTCCCTTTCTTTCCTTTTCTATACTGTGTTAACCCAAGACACCTGCAGTGACCTCATTCATAAAGGAAAGCCATCTGATTGTTTGTTCAGCTCCTGAAATAAACGTGCGGCTCATGAAAATGCATTCCTCGGACCGAACTCTGTGTGCCTGTAGCTCTCATACAGGGGGAAGGTCTTCCATCCTCGAGCTTTGAAATGCATTTTTATTATGCTAAAATCCAAGGGCTGAATGTGGTCATGTGTAGCAAAGAGAAATTAGGAGAACAATAGCAGACCTAAAAACCTCTTGCAGGTAGTTGAATGCGTGCTAGAACTCAATTCATCAATTAAATCCAACAGAGGGGCTCGTAGTGGGGTTTTTCATTCACAAAACTGTGACACAGAACTGCCAATCAAAGCACTGCAATTGTGTGAAAAGATATCAGGCTGTTATGCAAACTACTACTAAAAAAAGCTACAGCCAACATTATTACCATTGAAGATAACAGTAGCAGGTGAAGAAGCATTTTATGCAGTTTATTCTAACAGCTAGAAAGAGAAATATGCCAAAGCTTTTCATTTTATTGCTGATTTAATCACTTTCAATAAAATGCTTTCTGCTATCTTTATTATTATCATTACAGCATTGCCACCTCATGGCCTGATCCAAAGAGGGGATAAGATTTAATTGAAGTCAATTTTGTTCAATTTGAAAATATTTGCAGGTGGGGAAGGCAAACCACACAGTTAAATTAATTTTCTAAATAGTATTTCTGTACATCATTTGTAATTAAATAGTATGCCCTGTGCTTGCCGCAGAGAGGATGAGAGAGCATTTTTCTGGATCATTTAGAAATGTCCGGAGTCACTCTGCTGCGGCTAACGAGACTCGCCGTGCATCCGCTGGTGACGCTGGTGGAGGCCGGGGAAGGAGTCGACCGGCGCACAGAGCAGGCTGATTTGAGATGTAGCACCGCAGCGCCGAGGTGAGTCATGCCCTTCTAGATCCCCACTCAGGCTGAGGCTGTCTGCCTCATGACTCAGTGTGTCCCTTACCGTCCCTTACAGCTCAGACTCGTTATACCAGGAATCTGAGGGGGGGGGGGTTGGTGAGGTGCTGCTAAAATCCAGCCATATAGATGAGCCATGACCTCTCTTATTCATTGTCACAGCACCACTTATTCCCAAAGGCTTAACCAACATAAGATTAGATGGGAGGTCAGCCCATCATAGACCACAAGCCCAAGGACAGTTTACAAATACCAATGGTCCTAGTCACTGTAAGTCGGGGGGGGGGGCTCATACAGGCCTGAGGAGAGCATGCAAACTCCACACAGAAGGTGCTCCAGTCTGAACTCGACCCCAGCTTGCAGGAGCTATGAGGCGGGAGTGCCCCCCTCCACACACACACACACAATGCCACACTGGTTCGGCGGATCAAACACAAAGCCAATATTTCAGTCCCGTCTTGACTGAATCCGTTCTTTGCAACCTGGATCACTTATCGGACAGCTGCTCGTTATGACTTCACCCACCAACATCGTTCTAGTTGCGGTCCCTTCACTCTTATTTAGAATAGCGGCGTTATATCACAAGGTATTGTGGGGGACATTCTCTATAGGCGGAATGGGGTCATTAAAAGGTCAAGTCAGTCACAAGCAAAACCTGTAACAGCAGCTCACTTACTTGTTTGAGAGGACCTGCTGTCTGCAGCTTTTTGAAAGGGGTGTGGGAATTGTACCCCTGCGCCAGAGCTGTGGTCCTGACAGCCAGGGCTGAAACTGCTGTAGGGGTTATCCATTCCTGCTTTCAAAAACAGCACGAAAAAATACATGCAAATCTAAAAATCCTGTTGTGAATGTGGTTCTACAGATAGGGAGACCATACAATTATTTTTGAATGGATCCAATTTTGTCCATAATGCTGACTGATTCTATGCAAGCATGAGGTTATTGTTAAAAGTCTCTGACTTATTCATGAAATCCCAGGTGTGTAGAAAGGTTCCAGTCAAGAGCAACCTCTCTCTGAAAAGCAGTTAATCATAGTTATTCATTATGGCCCCTAGAGCATCCTGCTATTCATTAAAACAGCCTGCATCAATGACTACGTGAAAAAAAAAACCTTTAATAACGCCTATCATCTGCCACTTACGGGAGCGCATTGATGCCACCAAGGGGGAAAAAATCGCCCCCTTGTCTCGAAATTTCGAGAAATATCTCGTAATTACGAGACAGCAATGATTACTTCAGTGTTTGTACAACCTGTTACGCTGTGCGCTGAACGCATCTAGAAGCCTCCGTGAGCTTGGCAGGCACTTTCGGTTTAATGACCGTGTCAGTGTCCACCGCTGCAGAATTTGTGCGGATTTACTTTCTACCGGGGTTTAGTCATAATGAAATCTGGCAATTATGAACCGAATCATTGTAAGCATGAGGGCCCGTTTTGTGGGATTTAGAGATCAAAGCAATGATGGTGCCGTTATGAACAGTTATCAGTTGCACTGCTTAAAACTGTAGTCCGCACGTAGCGATATAGGTATCACTTGACAACTGTGCTCTAAGCGTGATCACCTGAAGTAGGCGAGAACTCATTTTCTCGTAATTACGAGATAAGGCCAGGGCTTTTTTTTCCCTTGGTGGCTGGTAGCAATGCGCTTCCGTAGTGACTTTATTGCGACGGGGACAAATTCTGTTGAGGCCGCTTGTCTCCCTTACAGGTTTGACAGTTACAGCCGTCAGTCCTGGGAACCGTGTCTTCAGAGAAGCGATCGATGAACGGGCTTTGAAAACCACAGCTTTCGGGAGTGACTACGCAGGGTCAGATCTCTCCTTACCTAGGACATACTTTCAGCTTTTGTAGCTGAGGGTTGGGCTTAAGGCTACAGAACCCCGGGGGACCCCTTGGCCCACTGAGCCGCTGTGGTTCCGGCATGGAGTCCGTCATCGCCACACTGTAGTGTCGCCGTTCTGGGGAGCTTTGAAGCACCACGTTCTGTAGCCCTTTTCGGTGAAAGCGTTTCCAGCAGTTTCGTTATTCAATTCAATTGAATTCAGAATACTTTATTCACCACGAGAGGCCGGGGGCAATTTGAGCAGCGAGCGGTGCCACATACAACACAAGACAAATACAAACAAAAACACGCTAAGAAGAAGTATACACGGGTACTGTATAATAACAAACGGACCATAGAAGTGATTGGAAGTAGCAGTGTGTCGCATTAGGAAGGAACAAGTAAACTTTATTCCATGCTGAAAAGAGAAGAGGAAACACAACGTTTCGCCTGTGGAGCCTTCGGGTGTATTAGTACCTGCAGATTTGTGGGGGTAGGTTTTCGTGGGCTCTGTCCAACAGACTCCGTTTACAGTCGCCGTTTGCAAGGCTGATGGCTTCGGGAACGAAGCTAAAATTTCCTTTTATTTGTCGGGGTTGCTGCGGAAGCCAGTATCGCGAAAGACAGTAAAATAAAAGCACATCCCGTTCAGCCCAGGTTAAGTAAGACACGTGGGGGGCGGCGACGACGACAAGTAAAGCCTTCTGTTTTGGCGGAGACGAAACAGCTTTATTGAAGCAGGGGAGGATAAGAAAAGACTTGGAGGCGCGCAGCAGTAAGCAGCATTGTGCACTGCAAGGGGGGGGGGTCGGCTCGTGTTAAGACGGCGATGCCCGGCGGTTGTGCTATCGGCAGCCCCAGGGTGAGCAAACACACGAGCGGGTGGGTGCCGGAGACAATTTCATGCCTGAGAGCACATTCCGATCTGTTCAAATCCGAGGCTCACCGGCACAAGCCACGCTGCAGATACGGGTGGAAGATAAATTATTGGAGGTAATTCTTAGATGAAATCCCCAAAATACACAATACAACGGCAGCCGCCTGCAAACTGACACGGACCTGTCGGGGGGGAGGGGTGTGTGTAAGAGAAATACAAACTAGAAAATATCTAACAGGGACGCGAGGGAGAAGCGTTTTCTGAGTAATATAGGTTAGAGGGAAGAGATTAAATAGCTCCTCTTTTCATCCTGCATAGGGTATACAGTTTTCAACAACACGAGAGGGCGTCGAATCTGAGGTTGAAGTCAGATCCAGCCCGCTTCCACAATGTGATCTTTTACAACAAGAAAAAACAAACAAACAGACAACGCAGATCCCTTATTTTTTGTTGAATGGCTTCAACAAAAAATCGGAAGGCAGGACTGCCTGGCTCAAACGAGAAAGCAACAGCAGAAGACATCCAGTAGGAAGAAACAAAAAAAAACTCCGGGTAGAAAAGCAGTCCTAAGCAGTCAGCAATGAACGTCGAGGTCATTTCACACAGCGAGGGGAATCGATTTCGTCCCGATCGCTTTTGAGTGCGTCACTTGCGCTGGTGTGGTTGCGTCCCGGGCGGTTGAACTTCTCCGAGGGGGTAGCTGTGTAGATCGACGACGGGAGCTGGGGTCTGGCTGACAGGCGTGACTGTCCTACAGTTCCACTCGGGGAGGAAAGCGCATCGCGCGTGTGGGGCACTGACAGCACAGACAGCAGCCCGGCTGAGCTCCCGGGGAACACCTGCGAGTCGGACTCGCTCGCTGGGTCTTCAGAGGAGCCGTTGTGTTTTCACACGTGAAACCAGCCCCTCTCATCTCCAAATGGGGGGGTCGGAGCGCCCCCTGGAGAGAAAAGAGAATCATGTCAATTTGTATCAATGTTGCAATCGGATAACAACCAGCACAGGCGAATGAAACTACGTGCCAGTTTTTTTTTTAGTTTAAACTCTTTGAAGAGGCGTTACTGCATTTTTATTCAAGGCTGATTTCATTGGGGGAAAAAAAGATCTAAACGGTACGGTGGCCGGTATCAGAGCGAATGGTAGTTGTTAAAAAGAGCCAATGAAGTGTCTTTGACGCAGGTGAAGACAACTTTGAGTTAATTAAGGCTTGTAGTAGCCGATTGGTGGATAAACTGATCTGGCAACCTAACGGCCATAAAGACTGCGGAGACTTCCCCCTATCAACAGGTGTTCGTGTTATCAAGCAGTTTTCCGAGGAAGGAATTAGGCTTGATTCCGGCACAGCTCTTGTGTTTGTCAGGATGAGGTAAGACGTAATTGCATAAAGTGGCTATAAACCGTTATCTTCCTTCTGATCCCTTTGCGGCAGTCGCTCGGTGTTGTGTGTTTTTACAGGTGCATCCAGGTGGTCTGGTTGATGATGACCGTTTTCCGGCGGATGGGTTTGGGCGTCAAGCCAGGTGAACCTGCGCTCAAGGACGTGCGCGGCGGTCTGCGTTCTGCGTGCTCCTTTCCCCACGTGTCGTGTTTTTGTTTTCGTGTGTCACAGGTCCCTCTGCTGTACCGGCAGAAGCCGGCCATTCTCGCTGTACCGAAGAGTACATGGAGGTATCGATGCACGATGCGTCACGTAGCGCTTATTGATTTGTAGGTTTGGGATAACTGCGCTGTTCTTTCTTTCACTCAGGTGTCCGTTTCCCAGAAACTTCCCCTTGATCAAGTAAGTTCTGTTTTCTAAATCTTTAAGGTGAGCCTGCCCGTTAGCTCGGTTTTCGCCTGCAGTGAGCCCCGGCCTTGCCCGCAGGTCGCGAACAGCTCGCAGTGGTCGCTTGAAGTCCACGACGGCCGCCGCACCCGGACTCTGACCCTCAGCCAGGCCCGAGCGCAGGGCTACGAGCTGAGCACGGGGAAGAGGCAGACCGTGATCAGAGCTTATTACAGCGCAAAGGGCCTTCGCATCTTCTCGGTGAGTTTGTGTGTATCTTGCAGTTGACGGGCTACTCTATCGGCCCGTAGGCCTATGCTCTTTATTTTTTCTTCCCAAACTAGAGACCCCAGAAAAAGAAGAGCTTGTATCTTGCGGATTTGCTGCTAAGATGTGATCTTGGTTATACAAAACTTCAAATGCCCATCTTGTTTCTCTGCGTACCAGGTTGGCAATTATTTTAAAAACCTAGTTGCTAATGGTCAGAAGCTTTAGGTCTTTCCTGATCGCTTGGAAGCTATTTTGTTTTAAATCTCTTCCAGAGCCAGTGACCTGCCGAGAGACTGATATCAGGATTGAAGTTCCAGCCTTCAATGGGACGTTCCTCAGCATGGCTGTTGAGGACCGGACCTACTTGGCCACTCGGAAGCATCTGGATGTTCAAGTACAGCGTCTATGGGACACCCTGCGCCTGACCGTTCCAGCCTCCAGTCCGCTGGTACGGAGGAGGGTAAGGTCAAGTGGTCTGGCCCGTCGGACAACGGATTTTCAGCTGCAGGTCTAGATGGTGGCAACCCAATGCTCAAGTCTCTTGAGATTAACGCCTTTTAATCTTTTCTGGGGTCAGAAAGAATCGGCATTGATTGCGTTTCAAACTATAATAAAAGTAAAATGTACACAGTGACTTGTAAATTTTGGAGGTTTTGCATTCCAAAAAAACGACTGCATTTCCGGGTACGCACGGCACCATATTCTCCAATTCGGAACAAGGCAGTGAACGGCCGTTGGCGTGTTGTGACCCTGTAAACAAGCAGGCTTGTGAGGACATCTCTTTTAAACCAATTGAAATATTGCTATCAACTTTGAGATGGTTTTGCAGACATACCACTGATATATGAGCTCTACATGCAAATCACGTTGGAAGGTTTGTGGTGGAATGTCTGCTGCACAACCTGCACTTATGTAATGCAAACTTACTCGGTGCAGTGACTAGTGAGCAGGAAGGGCTGCTTCACATCCCATTCTTGTGAACCCTTGCTCTCGCCCGTGGTGAGACCAGTGGTTTGAGACAACATGGGGGATTTGCAGTACTTCCACAAAGCTCGTGATTTTGTGCAGCTTTCCTTTAAGAGCTGGGAGGTGGAGAGGGTTAAGCTGGTCAGCTGAGGCCCCAGCCGACTCCTGCACTGTTTCCTTGGTGCTTCGGACGATCCTGTTAGTGTGGTGTGGTCCAAGAGACACACCCCCTCCTGCTGCCCGTCTTGCAGGACTGTGTGGATGCTACCAGAAGAGGACAGCAGGTCTTTCTGCCAGCCGTCCAGCTTTCCTTTGCAGTGAGAGAGGAGGAGGCCACCATGATGGTCGAGCCTGTCTGCCCATGCAAGAGGAAAGAGCCCTGTCCTGCAGGTAGCCGATGGCAGAAGATGGGCTGACCTTGCGGTCCATCAGGGCTTCCGGAGTTGGGTTGGGCTGAACTTGGCAATGGTGCTGTAACTAATGATCAGGGTTGCTACAGGCCTGCTCTGCACGGATGGCCACAGGGTCCAGGAAGTGTCTGCTAATGGGAGTGATCTTGCTCTGGACCTGCCTGCTGCTGCTGCTGCCCCCCCTGGTGATCACCTTCGGGACAATGCCACAGTTGGCAGCTCTGGAGACTCTATACAAGTAACGTATTCACCTTTTTAGATGCCATTTTGCCTTGTGGGCCTGCAGTGCATTGTTTTTCTGTCCCTAGATGGTGAAGGTCCAGCTTTTCTTCTGGACTCTTCCTTTGGAGTTGGTCCTGGTGGGCACAATCTGCATGGTGCACCTCCTGTTGCATCTGTGGGTAGGAAGGTGATGTGACTGTCCAGTTGCATCCTGCAACACTGATCTTCATCGCGGAAGGGAGCCAGCTGAGAAACCCGGTAAGTTCTTGAGATGAGCTTTCTGCCTGTGTGTTGCAAACACACCAGTCTGATTCCTCCTCCTCTGTGACTGCCAGCCCCAGATGATGCTGTGATCCAGGAGGATCTGGGGCAGGATGAGGTGAGACTGGGCAGTGCACAGTGGTCATGGAGTTCTGACCTCCGCCTCCTCGCCTGGAGGGCAGTGTTTTAAATTAAGTACTGTAGATTCCCAGCTATTAAATCTGAGCTGCATACTGTACCCAGTCCATTTTTATTTAATCCCCCCCTGCCAAGATCCTTCACTGGAATATCTAGGTGAAGCCATTATAGGTACTCTTTTGGGTAGGTGGGTTGTGCACTTGGACCAAAAGATTCCCAGTTTGTCTGGATTTAATGATCTAGTTGCCAGGCTTAAGTCTATCACTGTATTCTTGACTTACCCTCCTACACGACGGTCACCTGGTGTGACTACAGAGATGTATAGCACACTGACCTTGGCCACAGCCCTCATCTGTGGCATGATGGTTGTAGCCATGAGTCAAATAATTCCCAGCTTTAGGAAAAGCCAAGCAAGACTCCAAAAACAAACTGTCTTCTCCTTGCCTGCCCCTGTGTGAGTGGCTCATCCTTTTCATAATCCTGTGTTATTTAATGTTTTGTCTCTTAGATTTGGAAACTGTTCACTGCTCTGATTGCTGCAAAGGTGGAGAGTACAGACTGCTGCTATGCTGTATGTAAAGTATAATGTATAATAAAGTGTTTTTATAATTTTCTCTTTGTGTAAGGTGTTTTTTTTTTTAATCTCCCTTCTAACCATTCAGTTTTTGTCATGCACAAGTACAACGAAATGCTTATTTACATCTATGCTCCATTACAACTACATAAAACCAGAACAGCAACAATGAACTTAAATAAAAGTCACCACAGGGGGGGCATTCCCTACTGGAAGCTGAGAAGATGTGTGAAACTCAAAAGTCTAGCTTGCTGCTTATTGGGTAAGGCAGGGCTGTCCTGACTGAAAATCTGTGACTCCCTTCTAGAACAACAGGCTCTGTGCTATGTCAACTCTGTTCTGACAAGTGGGCTTTAATGCATTAACCTATTTTCCAACAGATTTGCTTTGCTAAATGAGAACCTGAAAAAAGAATGTTCTGATACAAGATGTAATCCTATACTTCATGCCACATTTTTAAAGACCCCCCCACACCCTTTTCTGAATTGATTTTTAATTTAATTCTATACAAACAGTAGAAGCCTTTGATGCAAGCTTTCCAAGTGGTGGTGTGCACCATGCTTGGCCTCAGTTATGGCTTGATGTGATCATCCTGTGAGCAGGACCACTGGTGTTGGAGGTAAAACTGTATTTGTAAGTATGTTCCCTTCCTGCCAGCAGCTGTATCATCCTATAACTTGCACCTGCCAGCCCACTGCAGTGTGGCAGGTATGAGCCTGGCCAGTAGCTGGAGGGGAGATTCCTGGGAGAGATGGTAGTGGGGGCAGTAATAAGGTGCCGTCTTCTGGATGAGATGTAAAAGTGAGGACCTGACTCTGTGTGGTCATTAAACTTCCCAGGGCATTTCTCAAAAAGAGTAGGGGTGTAATGCTGGTGTCCTGGCCAAATTTCCCATTGGCCTTTACCAATCCTGGCCTCCTAATAACCCCCATTTCTGAACTGGCTTCATCACTCTGCTCTCCCCACTGAGAGCTGGTGTGTGGGGAGCATACTGGTGCACACTGGCTGCTGTCACATCATCCAGGTGGGGCTGCACACTAGTGGTGGTGAAGGGGATTACCTGTACAGTAAGCTTTGAGTGGGGTGTCCAGAAAAGTGTATATATAGTTGTAAGCAATTATTCCAAAAGCACCTGTGTTGAATAAGGTATAGCAAATATTCTTGTTCATTGTCTAGTGTAATATGCACAGAAGGAGTTCTCATTCTTAACTATCTGAATAAAACTAAAGGTATCCAGCTGCTATGATGACAAAAGGAGTGGAAGTTGTTTTTTACTGTATGGCTTAACCATGAGCAAACTTACTTTGTGTAGTGTCTTGAGCATAAAATGTCAAACTGTTCAAAAACTAAACCCATTACCATTAAAACCAAATTGAAAAGCTGGATGGGCCAGTAAGGGGGTTGTATGAGTTTGAGCTGTAGTGTGAAAGCAATTAAGCTGTCATGGGCTCCATTAAATGTAAGGTCAGGCTATTGCCTCTTAAATGCAGAAGGCAAAGCCCCAGAAATGTACACTTAGCATAATGGTCACAAATGAGAGGAAGCAACATTTGTACACTAGTACCTTACTGACCTCAGACTTTTGTGCAGCTGCTGCATGAAAGAGATCAGGGGACCTTTGACCAGTTGTCTGGGCAGCTTGCTATAATGTGTAAAATAAGGCCACTGGTTCTCAGGGTTAAATGCACTTGCCGGTAGTTTCCTCTCCTGCTTTTGACCTGGAGTGTAGAAATGGTCAGATCTCACTCTCTCCCTTTAAAATTTCTCTTGCATCCCAGAAACCAGATCAGCTTAACTCCTGGTAAAAGATAAGTAGAGGGTAGACCATATACCTAATGGGATGTTTTGGTCACATGTAGTTTGGGCTGCAACAGCTGTTCAGCTCCTGCACTAAAAGGGAATTTTTAGATGAGTACTTACGGTATAGGCAATAGATGCAACAGAGTGATTGGAGAGTAAATTAAACTGATTAAGGCCACCCTGTAGTGCAAGTTTTGTCACTCACTGTATAATGAGGACCTTGCCTGGATTGGTGGTTTGGCTTCACTAGAGATCTTTAAAGAAAAACTACCTACAGAACTGGATACAGAGAAAAAGCAGACATGCAAATGACATGGAGATGAAGATACAGGCTCTTGGTGCAAATGATTGAAAACTGAAGGAGAGTTGGACTGGAACAGTCACTTCTGATCCCATACCCAGGGAAGTGGAGCACACTGTGTTGCACATAACCAGCACTACACTGTGGAAGGCAATTAAGTAAGTGCAGGGAGCAGTTAATTTAGCCCTTACCCAAAGGGGCATGAAGACAAAAACTTTCCCTTCTGGGCAGCATTAACACTAGAAGTAATCTAATGGCATAACTTAGACACACAGTGTAAAAAACTCTTGTCCTAGACAAAAGCAGGACAAACATTCCGCATGAATAAAACCTCACTCTGAGCCCATGTAAAAGAGCAGGAAAACTCAGACCCAGGCAAAGATTTCTTTAGCATCTCCAGCAGCTGTATTTAGCATCGGCCATTTCAAAAGGAAGGGAAAGGCCTTCTTGTGGCCCAGGAAGGAAGACCAAGTCCTAACCTATAGCTTATCTTGTACAGGGGAGACATGCTGTACTGAGCTCACCTGGGGTTAGGCAAGTTGCAATGATGCCCCCTATGCCACAATCAATTCTACATCTAAAAATGGAGATAGTGCAGTTTAGCAGACAATCCAATGCCCTTCTGGATAACTTACAGTCCTGCTGCCATTTAAGTGTGGACTCATCACCAAACTTTTAGAGAAGAGAAGTTCTAGCAACCTCTAGTTTCTATCAAAAGGTGACCAAGAAGCCATATTGCAATACACTTAAAATGCAGATGGGTATTTCCATCTAGGAAACTACAGAGACCCCATTGTAACTCAGCTCTTATGCTGATCTGTCCAGCTCCTGCCATGCTTGAAATGCCAAGAACCTTTAAACAGGATCAAGATGGTGTTTAAAGAAAGAGACCAAAGAATGATTTTTCCCTCAATTTATTATTCCAAAACAATAAGTATTTCAGCAATTGCAAGAGCATTCAACTTCAGTTGAGACAAAGGCACTGCTGGATTCAACCTACAGTGAGGGGAAAAAAAAAAAAACACATCTAAATGTGGTAACAAGAGACCAAGGCAATTGTCGATTTAAGCAATGTCACATTAAGTTTTTATAGCCTCCACATTGCAAGACAACCGGACAGTTTGAGATCTTGTAAAGTTCAGGGAATACATTAGTCTGAGACAGTCCTTTAGTTAGGGCTACTGTAAGACTTGAACTTTGCCACAAAGTAAAGGAAGCCGATACATCCAACTCTTATTCTGAAGCAATCACTACCTTCTGAAAGTGAAGCAAAAAAAAAACCTTTATAAGCCTAGAAAAGGAAGATTGAAAACTTGATTAGGGAAATGTAATAAATTCAGGATCTTACCAGTCTAGTGGAGAGTCTTCTGAACAGCTACAGCTCCTGGCAAACTGGTTACTGGGGGTGTAGTAATGTATTGAGAGGGAACCCTGTTCAGGCCTATAGGGAGACAAACCAGTTTAAAAGTCACGTTGAGGGGCAGATGCTGGGTTTCCATCACCCCACAGAAGAGCCTCACCTCGTCTCCTCCTCCCTTGAAATCCACTGGGGCAGCTTCTGGAGCACAAGGCAGAGTCCGGCCTCTGGGAGGCACAGATCAAGGTGCTGCAGTGGAAGTACACCTGCAGAGGAATAGGGGGAGTCAGGGGGGTCCAGACAGCTCTCCAGTGTCCAGTCCAACAGCCCTTCTCAAAGCCTACCGAGTCCGTCAGCTGGTGGCCCTCGGAGACAAAGGTGAACATCTTCACCTCAAACCTCCTGTAGTGGTTTAGGAACTGGACAGTCGGGAAGCGAGACATGGGGTGCTGCACAGTCTTGTAGTTGTCCTCCTCATACTCACAGCTGGAAGACAGGCAGCCTGTGAGACACTGGATGATGGGTAGAGGAGTTTTGGTCATTGTAGGATTTCTCACCCATCCACAATGATGTCCCAGCGAGGAGCAGTGCTGGGATCAGGGGACGCAGTAGCCCAGCAGTCATTCAGAGCCAGCTTGATGTTGGGGTCCTGTCTGTTGAGCACCTGCACCTCCAGGTACACTGGCTCCTGCAGGTATTTCAGGATGGGGTAGTCCCGGGTGCCATAGGGCCTGCTGTACTGAACATCTAGGAGAGATGTTAGTAAAACTCTGCACTACTGACCTTCCAGCTAGATCTTCCCCTCTAATCTGCTAAAGGGGAAATTGAAACATTTACCTGGATAAGCAAGAAGAACCACAACAATGTTGCCTTGTTCTCGCACAGGCAGAGGTGGGGCCTTTGTATTCACATTGACACCCAATGATGTGTCAACACTTCCATTGTAGTAGCACCTCAGGGTCAGCCTGGAATAAAAACCCTTGGCATGAGATGGACGGGTAGACGGGGTGGGTGTAGGTTAATACCTCATAGAACTTACTTGAATTCACTGTCTCTCGTGATTATACCCATAGTCCGATCTCTCAGCAGGGAGCGGACCTCATTTTCATAAATGAGTTTGCCACCTACCACCTGAAAGCAGAAGAGGTGCCATCACCATCCAGTTCAGCAACATGGACTAGTCTGGAATTGGGGAAGACAATAGAGTGGAGATCCCCTTACTGTTAGGGTTGTGCCACAGCTCAGGAGAGGGATGCTGTACACAAGGCGGCCTGCAGAGGAGGAAGTTGGCCCACATGAGGAATCCCTCAGCCTCACAGTAGACAGGTCCAAGGGAGGCACAGTAATAGTGCTGAGGACTTCAAAGTTCATTTTGCCACCTATGCATAATGCCGTAGGGCCTAAATGAGAAGAGTCCAAAGTACAGAAGTTGAAAGAGCAGCCTTTACAAGGAGGCATTTGGGACTGGAGCACAATCCCTGCGAGAGAAGGGATTCTTTACCTCCTGTGGTGTTCCGACAGGGGCATGTAGGATTGAGCAACATCGTGACTGGTTTTCCCCCCATATTGAAGGAGAGGCTGGTCTCTGGCAGGAAGGACTGTATGCCAGACCCATCTGGGCCACAGCGCTACAAAGGGAGGAGAGTGCCAGGTGTGCATTCATTCATGCTGGAGGCATATCATTCCAGCAGAAGCTTTGGCTACCTACCTTGGTACCAACTACAGAGAGACGTCTCGACACCGTTATTTGTAAAGCACCTTTTGTCGAGATGGAAATATCAGGGACTGCTCTAGATGAGGTGTACCAGGCTGTTCCAATGGCCATACCCAAAAAAGTACCAGAGAATTTAGGGACAGAGATGTTCATGCTGGTGGCATCACAAGTGACTGGATCTAAAGGACAGAAGAATGGTTTTGTCATTGACCTTTGCATTCACCCCCCCCACACCAAAAAAAAAAAAAAACAAACTCACCAGGCACACAGATCATCAATATGTTAATTCTAAAGCCAGGCGTGTAGATCAAGGTGAGACGTGCAAGATAGAGTCTCCTCTCAGGTGCACCCAGCTGGAACGGACGTTATAGGAAACAAGTCAACATGGAGTTCACACTGGGCACTTTGACCCATGTTGCAATGCAATCTCCACTTACCCCAAACACCTGGATTGCATCAGCGGTGAATGAAGCACCAATGATCATGTTGCCCCGGACGTTCGTGAAGGAGTAGCCTTTCTGCATGGCAGCGGCCAGGGTCATGGGCCAGCTTCCAGCAATGGACACGGACCACACTGAAGCTACAGAAGGCTACCAGGACAGAGAGCACTTAGGCCAAGAGCCTTTCCAATCAAAAAGGGGAAAGAAAAAAAGACTTACCTCATCAAGGGGCGGAAGAGTTTGCATGATAGGTACCTGTGGGAGAGGAAGGGGCTATAGTGAAGCTGCTATGGTCTTTTCTGCAGCCTCCTGAAAATGCAAGGAGGTTCCAAGTTGAGTTCAAGCTATTATCTCAGCTCTCAGTGGCCAAATGCTGGGCAACCCCTGCCGACTCCCCCCCCCCCCAAACTGAGTCATGCAGCACCAGATCACATATCATGCACACTAGGAGCAATTCCCTCCCCAAGAAACCAAATATATTACTAGGGCATCTTCAGACTGGAGGAGGAAATCCATTAACACTGAGAAACTCCGCATCCCAGAAATTGAACCCAGGACCCAGCAAGGATAACCATTGTACTACCCCAAGGGGGAGCTTTTGACTTGGGATTAGTCATCCATGGCATTTGGCATCACTTGTTGCCATATACAAGCCAAATGGCAAGTTAGGGTAGTGCTGTGGTTTTAAACAGCACCCTTTTAGATCATAGGTTCACCCAATGAAAGCACTCCAGCAGCAGGAGTATCATTCCAGAGCCAGGCTGGGGTAGAAGACCCAGAAGTTTGGATCGAGTCTATTCTAGAAGAAACATGAAGGAAAATGCAGCAAGGCAATACAACTTTCCAAGTCTTAATAGCAAAGGCTCTTAACTAGACAGCTGAAGCACAGTTGGCTTTTTACCTCCATTCCAGTTTGTGTGCATTTAGTGGCTCCTACTTGGATTCCAGGAACATTATCTGACTGGGGCTGCTCACACACCATCATGTAGGTTTCGCCTGCAGGAGCCCCCTCAGAAGTATAGTTGAGCTGCACAGCCAGGGAGAAGCTGCCATTCTGAAACAAGAGTGATCATTAACCCACCAGGTCTCCTGGACACAGGAGTGCTCATTTAAGTAACTCACCTCTGCCTTCACTTCACAGGCCTTATAGGCAGCATAGAAGTACTGGCCATCATCTCCCAGAGTGTAGTGACACTTCTCCGCGTAGTCTTTATCAATCACATGAACACCAAAGCCATCTGAGAAAAAGTTCAAGTGACCTCCTAGTCAGTACAGCTTCATGAAGAGGCTACTTGAGGTTCAGGGACAAAAACCAGCATATTCCATTACCTGTTGTCAGTAGTTTAGCACCTTCTCTGGCTTCAGAAGGCAGATAAAGAGTCATCCCCTCATCTCCACATAGAACACCCCCTAGAATAAGAAATAAGAGCTTAGAAACATCAAGTTGATCTGCAATAAGACTTAAGACAATCAACACATTTCTTACCTTCCTGCAGCACAGAACAGAAGGACTCACTGAAGAACCTCAACAGCCACACCATTAGACACGGGATACTGAAGAACCACCTGCAGAAAGATCATCATCAAGTAAGAGGCATAGACAGAGCCTTAAAAGAGTGATAAAAAAAACTAGCCTTATTTACCCCATGGCCTATGCTTGATAGAGATATTCCAGGAAAGAGAAAGGCTACTCAAGTCCAACACCAACTCTAACTGTTTCTCCAAGAACAACTAGATAGCCTTGTAGGCATCCACTGCGGCTTAAATAGCTGGTCTCCAACAGGTGCGGCCACCGCCGCCTCCTGCGCTCAATAATGCGCTGATCACAGGTGGGAGGAGCACTTCAATCAGGCAAGCCTGGCGTCGGGGGTCCGGAATACAGGTGTGGTCGTTGACGCGACCTATAAAGTACTTCGATGTGTCGATTGATATTATAGTTACTTTGCTCTTTGAAATCATTTTGGTATGTTAAGCGCGTGAAACATTTGTTGGTTTATGAAAGTATGGCTCAACTCCGACACAATTTTAGCGCACATACTACTGTATAACTGCAAACCATAACGCAATAATTGATTACTAATTGCAAATTGTCTGCATTTCGGTAATATTGTCAATAACGAAATTAAGCACTTCAGTAATATGGAAAATAATTATTATTTTGTTCTCGGATGGTCATCCGCTCTCCTGTTTTTAATCTGGCGCTGAAGCAGCACAGGAAGAAAACGCGTGAGAATATCCCCGATTTGGGATCAACTGGAACGGATTCACGGTCGTTCGCGATTTAGGAATAAACTCTGTGCAGCCGACAGTGAGCTGGTTGGCTACACGCAGTATCTATCACGATGTGATTGCTTTGCGCGTCTCATTGGCCCGTGGGGAAAATAAAGTAACTTGTGACACGCTATATATACATCAGCCTACCGGTGGCTTGGTTATAAGACTTTTTTCGTGCTTTTATTTTTTAGGCGTGGAGGTGGTTAAGACAAACAGTTTCAATGGGGTAAGCGTTTTCACCCGAGCACACTTTATAAATTTTTTTTGTTACGTGGTATTAAATTCTTTTTTTTTGTTTGTTTTTGTGAAGGTGGTGTGATATGTTATCGCCTTCGTCGTCGTTGATTCTTCGCCTTATGGCTATGTACGTCTTGGCCAGTGCTCAAACGGGTAAAGGCTTCTGAGCAAACGGCTTTCGTTTTTTTTACTGAAGCGTGTGAACTGCCGTTTGTATTCACGGTCTCGTTGGTCTTTAGGCCCCGGGTCCGTCATACCTATAGAAGTGGACAATACCAACTGTGGGAAAACATACATGGAGGTACAGACTCGATAAAAGAACAGAGCCACTAAAATGCTTCTTGTCTTTGCAAACTTGACTTTTTTTTTGCCTTTCCACAGGCTTTGGTTCCTCAAATATTTCCAGACTTTGGCAGAGTAAGTTCAGCTTATTACCAATAAACCATCCTTTCTGCAGATCTTCATGGGTCTGTGTTGGATATTTAATTCACAAAGCATTATGTTGATCTCCTGGAATCACTGGTGTACTAAAACATCTCCTCTCCTTGATTTTCTTCACCATCTTTGTGTGTTTTCAAACTGGCTGGGTGGGGCTGTTTTCTTTCAGGCCATGATGAAGGGACCTCAGTGGTCTTTTGTGGTGAATGACGGGGGGGAGCAAATCTCTATGGCTCTTGACCAGGCCAGTGAAAATGGCTACGAACTGAGAAAAGTGGATGGCAAGCTGGTGATCAGAGCCTACTTCACTGCGAAGGGACTTCAGATCTTTGAGGCCAGTGGTGTTTGTCGTTTCTGCTTTCTTTGGCTGGTGGACTAGAATTCTGACTCTGTAGTTTTCTCACCAGAAGCCCTTGAAAACGCAGTCCCTCTACCTGGCAGATCTCCAGCTGAAGAATGACCTTTCGAGCGTGGCGATTTTAATCCACGTCGTAATGATCTGTGTGCCCGGTAAGCATCTTGTTCTCGCTTTCTAGCCGACATATCAAAAGTCCCATCATGCCATGCAGGTGATGGCAGACCGCTTCTTGCGCCTCCAACTGCAGATCCGGTGGTGTGCAGCAAGACCGAACTGGTCATCCACATCCCGAAGTTCACTGGCAGCCTTGTCCGCATGACTGTCGGAACACGGACCTATCTGCCCTCCCGGCACTACCCCGATCTGGAAATCCAGCAAGGTTTTGATGAGACTCGGATTTCAGTCTTGTTCTCGAGCCCCCTGGTGGAGGAGAAGGTAAGACAACAGCTGTTACACAAGAGAGATCCACGTCCTTCCACTCGGTTTGGATTTTTTTTTTTAAATCCAATGTTTGGTCAATGCTAGTGCGAGATGAATGTGAGATCTAAAGACGTTGAAGTGAAATCTTGTCTTCCTCTTGCAGTACTGTGAGGATGTCCACAATGCATCTTCCAGGCAGAATGCCTTGCCAGAAACTAAGATGACTTTTGATGTGAGGGGAGCAGAGTTCTCTATGACTATTGAACCTGTCTGCCAGTGCAACATGGGTATTTTCTCCTCTAAGCAAATCCTACAGTTGTTGCTTGTTTGTACTCTCTACACTCTCTTGGCCACTCCTGTGCTCTTCTCTGCAGTGCCGCTGTGCAAGGATGGCTACATGGATGTAGACGTATCGGCGGGATCCACCGTTCCTGTGCTGAACCTGTCCACTGTCCAGCTGAGGGATCCCTCCTGCAGGCCGGCCGGTGTGTCTGCAGGGGGCCTCCAGTATCGCATCCCCCTGGACAGCTGTGGGACCACAGTCAAGGTGGAGTCCTGCTCCCGACTGACCTGCTGTTCCTCCCGTCTTGCACTGTAGCACTTCAACTTGTCGCTGTTCTGCAGATGCTGAATGGCCAACTCGTTTATGAAAATGAGATTGTTGCTGTGAAGAGAATTCAAGGGGGAATCACAAGAGATGCTGAATTCAGGCAAGTCTGCTTTCCCATATGGGGTTTGTGGACCTTGTTTTAAACATGTGGCCTAAAGGACCATTGTTTGTGGTTTACTAACACAAATGACCAAGTAACTCCCCTTTATAGTGTTCACTCATCTGAGTACAGGCATGTTCAAACCTGGTCCTGCCAGTGTGTCTGCAGGTAATTAAGGTCTCTTTTAAAGATGTAGTGCCTGAAGACCTGGGAGATGGGCATAACCAGCTGATTATTGTCTTAAGAGTGGAGTTGAAATTCAAACCTGCCAACACTGACCCTCCAGGAGAAGGTTAAGACACCAGTGTACTAATAAATTGTCTGAGGCTTTATTATTCCTGCATTTCTTGGGGGGGCAAGGGGAACCATCCCACCTTTCTACAAATAGGGGCCCTCCGTTTGGAAATGTAAATTATGCTATACATGCGTTGTCCTGACAAACTTTGTGAGACATCTAAAGTTAGGAATAGGTGTATAAACATTGCTACAACTAATAAAATGTGATGCATTTTGAAATTGTACATATCCCTCTTTCATAAGTAGAAATTGAATGCCTACAGGTATATAGAAATATACTGCAGTAAGTATATTTGCATCCACTTTAAAGGTCTTGATTAAGCCAAACAAGTGAAATTCTTTTTGGCAGAGCAAGGCTCCTACAGATTGTTCATTCTATTGACTGGAGAATGTAATGTGCAGTTTGTGGACATTTACAAACCTGTATGTGGTCTCTTCCGTTACTTCCTGAAAGTGGATCCATCAGCTCTGCTCACAGTCCTCTCTTGCAGGTTGACAGTGGTGTGCTACTTCAATGGCAGTGCTGATCCCTTGCTAACTGTCCAGATGAATACCAAAGCCCCACCTCCTCCTGTTCTGGAGCAGGGAGAGATTCAGGTGGTGCTTCTTGCCTATCCAGGTATACTGCAGTCACAGAGCTGTCTGTGAGGCTGCTCGTACTGGGCTGGTTTCAATGCTCCTGGTTTCCTGTATTGTAGATGTTCAGTACAGCAGGCCCTATGGCACCCGGGACTACCCCATCCTGAAATACCTGCAGGAGCCAGTGTACCTGGAGGTGCAGGTGCTCAACAGACAGGACCCCAACATCAAGCTGGCTCTGAATGACTGCTGGGCTACTGCGTCCCCTGATCCCAGCACTGCTCCTCGCTGGGACATCATTGTGGATGGGTGAGAAATCCTACAATGACCAAAACTCCTCTACCCATCATCCAGTGTCTCACAGGCCGCCTGTCTTCCAGCTGTGAGTATGAGGAGGACAACTACAAGACTGTGCAGCACCCCATGTCTCGCTTCCCGACTGTCCAGTTCCTAAACCACTACAGGAGGTTTGAGGTGAAGATGTTCACCTTTGTCTCCGAGGGCAACCAGCTGACGGACTCGGTAGGCTTTGAGAAGGGCTGTTGGACTGGACACTGGAGAGCTGTCTGGACCCGCCTGACTCTCCCTGTTCCTCTGCAGGTGTACTTCCACTGCAGCACCTTGATCTGTGCCTCCCAGAGGCCGGACTCTGCCTTGTGCTCCAGGAGCTGCCCCAGTGGATTTCAAGGGAGGAGGAGACGAGGTGAGGCTTTTCTGTGGGGTGATGGACAAGCACTGTCCATCTTGCAGAGCAACTCTAAACACTTCTCCCTGTGTAGGTCTGAGGGATCAGTCCTCCCCCTTTGTGAGTGAGGTGTTAATGAGCTTGCCAGGACCAGTAACTGTTCAGAATGCTCTCCACTGAACTGGTAAGAGTCCTGACAATTGGCTTTGTGTATTTCAATCATGAAAAGCGGACTTGCGCTTCTGGTTTCCTGAAAAATAATTCTAATTTCTGTTCTCCTTAGGTTTGAAACTTAACACCCCTGCCTATTGGACTTGCAGAAGTTAAGACTTATTGCCACTGTAATCTTGGTGCAGCAATAAAGGTTGTTTTGCAAACTGATTTTAATTCCCTTTATTGCTCTTAACTCCCAGTGACCCAGGAATGACTACTAGTCTAATTGTATGAAATGTTTCCTTATGTGCCACATGGGCTTACATGCTCATTATATCCTCAGTCATATGCAGCACATTAAGCCCACAGGGTGGGGAGTCTTCCAAAGCACACAAATCATGACCACATGGATGGAAAGTGACGCGCTCCACAGGTCAGTCATGAGCTGGAGATCTGTCGGGTACAGACAGCTTTGTTTAGGGTTTCTAAAGAGAAGTAGAACACGCACGCCAGTAGCTGCCAGGAGGCAGGAAGTGGAGAAAATGGGCACCAGACCTGAAGCCCCACTGCGGTGTGGTACGCTCGGATGACCAGGCTGCCCACCACACTGCTCAGCCTGTAGCCATTTTGCTCGGCTTGGTCGAGCATCATGGTGACTCGCTCCCTCCCATCATTCATCGCCACTGACCACTCAGGAGCACTTTTCAAGACCTAGAGGGGAGGAAACGGGAAGCACCGCCCCCACTGGCATCAAGGATGAGCCAATCGGGACCCTACAGAGACTACACCGAACTGGAGCTCCCAGGAACACTTCTCAACCTTGGCTCCAGTCCCGGACTGTTCTGCACAGATGGCAGCGATGGCAAATACTGCAGCCGTTTCTCTTTCATGCCCATTATGGAAAAGTACAGGGTTTACCTTGCCAGAAATGGGGCACTTGAAACAGGATCATGGCACTGATGTAACCATACACTGTCCATGTTGAAACCCCTTCCCATGCCCCAAGACCTCCCCTGCTTGCCATCTGAAGGCCAACAGCAGCACAGAAATCGATATTAAAACCACCAACAAACAAAAAAAAAACCCACTCAAGAAAGTCTATCCTCTCACCTCCTAAAACCGCTTCAGTGTGATTTGAACACTCACCCCCGTGACAGACACTGCCTCTGCGATGGGGAGACTGCAGCAGCAGCAGCAATTAAGTATTTTTTTTTTTAAATCAGTGTTGAAATACATAACAGCTCAATCTGTTCTTAGACCAATAGGAGCCAGAGACCAATTAACTTAACCTGGAAATCGTGGGATGATGTCGTGGAGGCTATTGGCGTGAGCTAACCCGAACATCTGCGGTACTAATGGCCAAAAACACTCAACAGTCATTACTCTTGATGGTAAAAAAACATTTGTCATTTTTTCATGACACTTCTCATGTATGTAATTTTTTTTTTGAGGTCTCTTGAGGAAGAGTATTGTCTTCTGGCGGTGGGTGCTGGCAGCTCAGTCTGAATTTGAAACGGCTTGGTCTTCGCTATCCTCTAGAGTGAAAGCTCTGACAGCCACGGGCACCTTTTCCTAGTGTTGCAAACGGTTTTAGTTTGTAACAAAGTTTTATTTCACGTTCCATTAAGTTTCAGTGTTATTTTGTTTGCCCAATAACATGAGGCTCTATCTAGGATTAACAGGCAATGTTGGTATTTTTCCTATTCCGCTGCAGTGATTGGAATCGGCACTCTCTGAAGAGCACTTTCCGAGTTGGCTTTTCCATACCTAACCCATGCCGTCCAACTGTCTGAAGATGAGCAAAGAAAGGTGTTGGTCTTGCCGAGGAGGAGAACACATGGGCTGTGCAGCATGCAGAGATGCAGTCAGGATGGAGACAGTGCGAAGCATACAGTACATCACTTTAATTTAAGCAGCATTTAAATCATAATCAAATTTAGATAAGACATACACATAAGGTTACATAATTAACTCTGTGCAGTACCAAATTAATTCAAACAGACAACCATGTCCTCTGCCTCTTCCCAGATGGATGTGAAACAGGATGCGTTTGTGTCTCCATTAAGGGAACGTGGTTTTCACGTGTCTGCAAACCGGAGCAACGTTCCTGATGTAGTAGGTATGCTGGAGGGGAGGAATAGGGTATAATTACTTCAAGATTAAAGACCAACATTTCCCGTTATATGACAGGTTATTGAGCATAAATGTTTTTTCATGCCGTCAGTCCACCGCTGTCTTACCATTCCACCAGCTCTGCGCCGATGATGTCATGGATGTGGTACTGAATCCCAAACTTCACCTGGGAGGTGACCTTCCTGTTCTCCAGGCTGGACTGCAGGACTTCGCCGTACCTGGATTTTTTAATCATGCCAAGCACAGCTTTGCGACCTGTGGAAGCCACCCAAGGACATCGGCTTTACAAAGCAGGGACATCTCACTTGATCTCTGCTGTAGTGAGCTTGCGTAGTTTAGATCATTCTTACAGTGTTCTGAGCACGCTTCTAAGAATGAGTTACACCTGCACCGCAACACCCTTCTCCCCAAGAGGGTACAGCGGTGCTGCCCTGTCTTCACCCACCTTGAAGGAAATACTTGGTGAAGCGGCCAGTGTTGGGGATGGACAGCCACCAGCTTCCTGCGTCTCGGACCGTCAGGACTCCAGCCTTCACAAGTTGTCTGTTTTTTTTTAAAAAAAAGGTATGACAAGTGAAAGAGGTCTGAAACCCGAACCATACCCCCCTCATCCATCTATCTTCTAACTGCTTGATCCAGTTCGGGGGGGCGGCGGAGCCAGAGCCCATCCTGCAAGCAAAGAGCACAAGGTGGGATACACTCTGGACGGGATGCCTGTCCATCGCAGGGCAAACACAAACACACAGACACACACGCACACAATCACTCACACCAGGGACAATTTTCCCAGAAGTCAATTAACCTATCAGCATGTCTTTGGACTGCCGGAAGAAAACAGCACCCAGAGGACACCCACATGATCACGGGACGCACGTACAAACTCCAGGCAGACAGCATCCCAAGAATTGAACCCAGAGCCCTGTTGCCGAGAGGCAACAATGCTAACCACTATACCACACTACCTATAAAACAAAAAGCACCTTACAACAACCAGCAAATGCTGTACAAAAACTGCCAGCTCGCTAAAATGAATGAGGGAAGAGAGATGAGTGTAAGGCCGTCTCGTACGTGATCTCCTGGTCTGTGAAGAGGAACTCCTTGAGCATCTTCTCTTTGTTGAAACTCAGGTCAGAGCACACGGGCAGCACGTTCTCGAGGAACCTCTCCACGGTCCCAGACGTCTCCCTCCCGGCTTCTCCCGCAAGCACTTTGGCTTTGTATTCGTCCGCAAAGACCACCGCAGCCGTGTCCGAGTCGAAGCCGAGCTGGAACATCAGCAGTTTCCCCTGGTCCTTCAGTTCACTCTGGGAGAACGGAGGGATAAACCAGAAAGAATAGAAAAACAGGTCATGAAGGTGCAGCTGCAAAGAAAATTCTGATGTCAGTATTGAGGCTCAGAAAACATGCTCTCAAGAAGGCAGAAATTAAACTTTACCTTCTTCGGCACCTTTCCACGACATCAAACCATGAAACGTTTATGCTATAATGCTGGAAGAGAGAGCTTTCTGGACTCTGATCTATCCTAAACTCACCTGCACTTCCAGCAAGCTTTTACCTGCCAGGGTATCTTGGCGTAGCAAGAATCAACTATTGCATATATCCAGGCTCGTTAGAATGATATCACATCACAATATCTGAAGAAAAAGAACAAACACAACTTTCCTCTGACAAAATACTACCCTGTTTTTTTTAGTTCTTACAAATCACATTTCTTTTATTCTTAGAAGTCTCTTTTGAGTGAGGGAAGTGTTACCAGCTGCCGGTCCACAAGTGTCCTGTCTCTATGAATACTGTAGAGCTGGTGTTTCATCACTATGGGCGGCAGGGTGTCATTAAACAGCTTTCGAGGAAACAGAGACATCAAGTTCTCCAGGGCTGCCATAATGTCCAGAGGTCCCTCTGCAGCTGGAATAACACAATCAAGGAGCTGATAGGATCCCACTTAATCTTGGCAAAATAATGTAATATAGCTCTGTTTTCAGTTTGTCACCACTCACACAAGCCAATTTAAAACACCTACAAGCCTTTCTATCCCCATCTACAAATCTAAGAAGCACTGACAATGTGATCACAACTTCTATAAGGAAGTTGCAATGGAAAGCTGCAGTCTAGGAAAGAGAAAGCTGAACTGTTGCAGAAAAGTCCCCAAAACGGAGTTACCTGGGGTCTGGAGTATAAAGGGCTAGTCCAATAACTATCCATCATTTTGCACTCTCTGTCATTTTGTTTTATCAAACTTGTGTCATTTCTCACTTCTATTTCAGAAAGAAATAATTTACTGGATTTAATTATTCAGTCATGGTACAAAAGAGTATAATTTGGCAACCATAAAGTCTTTTAAAAAAAAGTTTAAAAAAAAGTTAAAAAAAGCTCAGACTAATAAAATTGAAATAATTCGTAATTCAATACCTTGGGATATTGACGTTTTGCCATTTTCTTGTAGTCCACGCTCTGTCTCGGATCTCCTCTTCTTAGCTCTGAAGGTGTCCGATATCAATGTCCTTTTTCTGTTCATCGCTGCGGAACGGACACATCAATATCGACAACCTCTCCGATGCTCGCCTTTATTAATGCACCGCAATCAGGTCGAGGAAGTCTTGTGCTCACTTATTTTACGCAGAGATACATCAGTGCATAACCTGTAATTTACTTATTCCAATAATGAAGGGGTTCCTGGACTGGAGTAAAAACGTAAAACGTATACATTAGAACTGTTTTATTCAAAACGGTGGTGCAGAAGCCAGGACTCCATACAAGACGCCTACGCTTGAGGTGAAATCGGTTTATTTTCTTGGGAGGAAGTTAGTTATCAAAATCAGTTTATAAACATAAACCTGGTAATTTAAACCCCAGATCAATTCAGTAAACTAACCGTCAGCAACCTAAAGCCAAATATCAGAGGGTAATGTCTAATTTTATCTTTCAATAACACAACAAAAACAACCACTATTCCAAAACTACAAAAAAAAAGTTATTTCTTTGCCAGCTGGGCACTCTGTGTCGACTAGTTGCGACGCAATGTTTCGTCGCAGGACAATGACGTAGAACAAAGCCGCCATTCGAACACTGTGTACGCAGGTATGGCGGCTCAGTTGCTGAATTTAAAATAAGGTACTGCAATTCCTTTTTCACATTCTACATTGAACTGTACACCTGGTGTGACTGCTTTGCGTGCCTGGGAGTATCCATGTATGTTTTTGTAATGTCTGTTTTCTCTTGCAAAGAATTGAATTGCGCCATTGCGTTCGTGGATCAGGTTATAATAATTTGAACATGTAAGAGATGGGGGTCGCAGGAGTGATAGTATAGCTATCTTATAACAGTGCGTAATGTGTGTACCTAGTGGGACAATAATGAAACGCTCCTACTGATGATTAACTATTGGAATTTACGGACATTGGCGAGTGAACGTTGCTCTACGTGTTAGTCACTCTCTAACGTGCGCAAGGAAGCTCCTGGCATGCGATCTGAATGTGGGCGAGCCTGGAGATTTTACACTTTGTCACCGCAGCAGAAAAGAATCGAAACCAGCAGGTTCGAGTGCCGATAGGAAACAGGCTACAGGTCTTTTAGCCGCAGAGGCATGACAGGAGATACGTTTGTTCAAAGTTAAAGCCTTGCGGGGGAAAAAAATACGTGTTAATATGTAGCTTGTTTTTTTTTTTTTGGGGATCGAAGCAGAAGACGATGGACCGTCGCCACAGCCCGTGTGGCCACCGGGGGTCAGCCGGTGTCCGGTCTGAGCACAAGCGCAGCAGGGAAGAGAGGAGCGGGGGCGGCGAGGACAGCAAGAGAGGCAGTTCCAGCCGCGGAGAGAGAAGCTCCCCCGGCTCCCCTCCTCCCCGGGTGCTGAGCGTGCGGAGGCAGCTGTACGACAGAGACTTCCCGCTGTACAAGCAGCCGGTGGAGGTGGGGCATTTCTCCCTGGACGCCAAGCGCAGGTTTTTCAGCGACGCCAGGCAGCTGAGGTATTACGTGCAGCCGGAGCGCTGCCCCAACTTCGACCTGAGAGACGGCTACCGCGACCGCTACGTGAAGAGGGACGAGGCCGTTAAAGAGGGACTGGATCACCTTCTCCGGTGGATCCTGGCGAACAGATCGAAGCTCCGGGGGACCCCGGACCAAGGTGGCACGGCGTCGCCTGCTTTCAATAGGTAGGGCTGGCCGGACGCCTGAGCACGCTGTGCTCTTGCATGTTTCCCGCCCCTCTGTCAAAGCGAGCTGCGCTTCCTGTTGCAAGTACATGAAGAGCAGGGGTATGACGGGGAGGGGTGAATTCTGCTGCTCTTGCACATCACTAGGGGCAGATACTCCAGGACTGGTGTACTGGAGGCTGCCGCTGAGGTAGTTAACAGCACTCGTTTCTTGACCTTGTAAGAAATGAATGCAGATTCCAAACCCCAGCAACCCAATAGCAGGAACATCAGGAGTTCCCTATCCTAGTCCTGGTGGCCCACATGCCTGCTGGGATTCATTCCAGCCCAACCTAATCACCTCATTGCAGCCAGAATTGAATAAAAGCAGTAAGTTGCTTGAGTGGAATATTTGCCAAGTTTTTTTTCCCCCTCAATCACAAGTGTGTATGTTGCTTCTGCAGCACCGTAGGTAAAAGGTCACTTCCAAAAGATCGAAGAGCTGAAAGCAGCCGAACAGTGCGAACGCTCTCATGAAGTGAATTGCGTGTTCAGTTTGTGTGACAGAGCTCTCTTGGAACAACAGTCAGCAGGCGTGTGTTCCTCCAGGACCAGACCTGGGACCCTCACATGGGTCATGCTTGTGTGTCTTGCAGACTGTTGAGGATGGAGTCATTCCTTTTAATACTGTGCTTTTCCCAGCAGAAGCCCAAAGCTGCATAGCTTGGTTTAAAGACAAGTGTTTTTTTGAACACTGCATTCCCAGTGATCTCAGAAACCAGTCAAGTCACTTAAATGAAATAATGTGACATAATGAAACAGCTTAATACAGGGGTCTCCCGCACCTGCTGGTCTCTGTTCCATCTGAGCTCTCAGGTCAATTATTCACCTCTAGATGATGCCAGTCAGAGGTGTAAATTGAACTGTGTTGGTTCAATGAAAGAGCTCCAGGGTGAAGGCCAGCCGGAGGCGAGGGGTTAACGGCGGTGTCATTCCTCTCCTTCTGGGGTTGCGGTTCTGCCGGCGCCAGCAGGCTGGACGTGGACTTCGTCACGTGGCGCGGTCACCTGACCAAGCTGCTCACCACGCCGTACGAGACGAGGGAGGGCTGGCTGCTGGCGGTGTCGCAGCTCGGCGGCACGCTCTACGTGAGCGAGGTGGAGACGGAGGCCGCGCGCCAGAGCCGCGAGAGCCGCACGGAGAGGCACGAGGAGATGATGTTCTGGGGCTACAGGTTCGAGCAGTACTGCTGCGCAGGTAGGCAGGCCCGTGGGAGAGCTGCAAGACCTAACTCCTGCTGTCCCGAAACCCAAAACGGCACCGCTGCCTATCCTCAGCCAAGCACCCAGGCCTGACAGGCCTCGTTTTTGTTCTTTTTCTGTGTGGCATGAATGCTGACTTGGAGGATGGGTCTCCCTGTGGGAAAGGGGACCGGTGTCGCGGTGCGATCCCAAGTCTGCGAGCTCCTGTCACTTCCTGATCCTTTTTTTCTGTGTTTTCTGCCCTGGCAAGCTCTGTGAGACGCAAGGATCACAGCTCGAGGCTGGTGTCCCGCGCCACATTCGATTTCAGCCAGAGCCCACGGTGCGGTGCTCCAGTCAAACGTTATGCAGTACACAGTCCCCCTGCAGCCAGCGTGCCCTCGGCTCTGCCTCCCTAGCCTCTTGCCCTCTTGCCCCCATGTTGCAGACAAGCCCGGGGGCAGGCCTGCCCCCCGCGGGGTGGTGAACACCAACGAGGCCTACTGCACCGTCGTCCGGACGCGGCTGGCCGGCCACAGGCTGCTCTTCTCCGGAGAGGTGGACTGTCGGGACGAGAGCCCCCTCTCGCCCCCCGCCCCGGGCTGTTACATAGAGCTGAAGACCTCCGCCGAGATCTGCACCCCGAAACAGCGCAGCAACTTCCACAGGTGCGGAAGAAAACCGAGGGGCCTGTTATTTGTCTTCCTGAGGAGGGCTGGTCTGGAGCTCTGTACCGTCTGTAGCTCAGTATCGCGTCTTGCACGTCGCGCTGATAGAGCCAGGAGTTACAGGCAGAACGGAAACCGCCTTCCCTGCTGGGAGCTGTTTAGTCAGAGAAGTGTCATTCTTGGACGAGCTCAAAGCTGTATCGCTCTGCAGTTCCCAGCCGGCAGCCCAGTGAAGCTCCGCAGGTGTGAGCCTGGCCAGTAACAGGGAGACCTCCTGGGAAAGCTAAGGCTGCTGCTGGAAGAGGTGTGAGTGGAACCGGTAGGGGGCGCTCACCCTGCAGTCTCTGTGGGTCCTAATGCCCCAGTATAGTGATGGGGACACTATATGTAAAAAAAAAAAAAAGGCGCTGTCTTGACCAAGGATCTGACTTTCTGTGGTCATTAAAAATCTTAGGCACTTCTCAAAAAAGAGTAGGGGTGTTACCCCAGTGTCCTGGCCACATTTTCCTCTGGCCTTTTCTGATCCTGGCCTCCTAATAATCCCCATCTCTGAACTGGCTTCATCACTCTGCTCTCCTCCCCACTGAGAGCTGGTGTGTGGGGAGTGTACTGGCACATCATCCAGGTGGGGCTGCACACTGGTGGTGGTGGAGGGGATCCCCATGACATGTAAAGCGCTTTCAGCGGAGTGTCCAGAAAAACGCTACTTTACATAAGTGTAAGGAATTATTATTAGTAGTAGTGTTATTTTATTATTAGAGACACAGTTCAGCAGGGCCTCCTTACAAGATGATGTCTGGTAATATGTCCTGAAGGCTCAGTTAAGCATTTATTATAAAATCTCAAGCCTTTTGATTTTTGTCTAGTGTGCAAAGCATAATGGGTATAAACAGGTGTGGTACAGTTCAGCCTCCACTGCACCAGAATAGTTTTAAGCATGCTGTACTGGATACACAGTCCTCACACAGCACTGCCACGTCGGCAAGGTGCATATATTTAATCCCAGTCACTGTTTTTCTTTCTGCTACCTTGTGATGCCTCTTGATTCCTGGTTCAGGTTCAAGCTGTTGAAGTGGTGGGCTCAGTCCTTCCTCCCGGCTGTCCCAAGAATTGTCGCTGGATTCCGCGACGATAATGGTGTCGTCGTCTCCGTGGAAACGTTTCACACCTCTAAGATCTCCCAGCTCATCAAGGTAGGCGCTGCGGGCCCCTCACCTTTGGCTCTCGTAGAGTGTGTTTCCTTTTATATTGAGTGTCATTGGTCTGTAGTAAGTCTTTAAGGAAATAGTGTAACACTCAGTCAGTGGATGAAAGGATATAGGAGCTGTTTACAGTTTTTGTACCCTTTGATCCAGTGAGAGAGTGTCACACTTTTTGTATTTGGGTGTTTCCTTGGTTTATCTACAGCTGATTTTGGTTTTGTTCCAGCTCTTTTGACTCTTTTTACGTTAGGTGAGCTCGTTACCCATTTACTTATCATGCTTACTTACTTGCGACATTGCTGTTTGAAAGTGTGTTTATGTTGGAGAAACACTGGCCCGGGGGGTTGTGACGTAAAAATCGATTGTTTCTGTCCCCCCCCCCCTTCTGTAGAGTGAGCCGAACTGCTGGAAACCAACAGTTTGTATGAATTTCTGCTGCGACTTCCTGTCCTTCGTCAAGACTGTGGTTGCAGAGGACGACCCCAGGTGAGGTCGGGAGTGTGGACTGTCAGCATCGAGGTCAGGGGTCACCAGGGCCACGGTCCTGGGGAGTCCCCGCCCAGTCCATTTAGTATTAAAGGTCACACAAGAGGAGAGCCGGTCTGCCCATCAAGCTCGTCTGATAGATGGTAGTTAATTGGTCCAAGGACCTCATCCAGCCCGGTTCCTGAAAGAGGCCTGGACGTTGACCTTGACCGCATGGCCGGGCAGCTTGTTCCACACTCCCCACAGCCCTCGGAGCAGCTGGGTTGGCTTATTATTGTATCATTGCGAGATTTTATGGGTTTGTTTCTGCTACTGTATGTAGGTGGCAGCCACAGCTGGAAAAATCCGAAGCGGATCTCCAGATAAAAAGGTTTCAGGATGGCAAGGTTACACATAGACTGACTGTTACTACTGCAAATGTTTTTCTCTGCAGCCATCTAATAAGACTGATGTTCTGATGTGGTGGTTCAGGAAGGCAGCGCGTGGTGGCTTTAATGCTCATGGTTGTCTTTCCTGTGCCTTAGGGTGGTGTACCTGTTCTCCTGGGAACCTTACCGAGATGTCACCTACTCCGTTCACAGGGACTCTGAGTACAGCTTCCTGCCGGACTGGTATGTGAAGGAAATGACAAACACGGACCTCCTGTAGGCCCACCTCAGCTGAGCGCTGTAGTTTTCCCCACTGAGGGCCCGATGGCTCTAAGGAATCCAGCCGGATCCCACTAGAGAACAGTACAGCCAAGGAAATCTTGAGCGGCACTCAGACAGGGAAGTAAAGACACGGAAGCGCTTTGGTTTCCCCCGGGACCTGGTGGGAACTGTGAGTGGAGGGTCAAGCTGTACAGGAGGGAAGAGGCAGAGAGACGCAGGTACAGAAAGGAGAGCTGCTGTTCGGCATCGAGTCCGTCTCGCGGGATATTCAAATCAGTGAACCCTCAGGCCCTGACTGGCTGGGAGAGGCATCCATACAGGGTCACGTTCTCAAGGCCTCAGTGCTGATTCGGATCTAGGGTGTGCCGGTAGCCAGCTGTGACCATGGTTTCCCTGGCGGCACAGCACAACTGGCATTGTCCTTGGCTGGGCACGGAGGAGTGACCCTCCCCCTTTCCTCCTGGCTCAGGCTGGCAGAGAGCGCGCCACTGTTCTCGATCCCGACTCCTCGTGCAAGTACTCGCTGCCCGGAGTGCGTGTCGCCAGGACTGAAATAAACCGATTTCAGCGCGAATCACGCATTGAGAGTGAGAGGCGGCCTTCGTCCATAAGTCTCGCAACAGCAACGTCTCCCTTTTCCAGTCTCCGTGAAATACGAGCCCGGATTCGCAGTTGTTTCAGCGCTGATGAGACGAGGCCCTGTGTTATCGAAGGATGTGTAGTTCAGGTACAGGCCTGGGTTAAACCAAAGATAAGTCAGTGCATTAAATAAATCCAGATTTCTGTACTATATTGTGTAAAGTGTTAGAAACTTAATGTCTAAATCAGGAGTGCCCAACCTTTTAATGTAAGATCTACCTTTTCATTTGCCAGTCCAAGGCAATCTACCAGTGTGAATCTGAAGCTCTTATATAGGAAAAACAGACTGTGGGCACATTGGTACAATAACGATACCCATCACTAAAATGACAGCAATTAAATGACAAATGACATTCAAGTCTGTGAGGAAGGCTAAATCCAGAAGCCACTGGTCATCCTCTATTTGGGCATATTCATCATGTTTAGGCATCTTGAGAAACTCTTTGATTTCAGGCAACAGCTGTCGGAACCTCACCAAAAATGTCTGTTTTTTAAATCTCTCAGTCTCAGTCAGACAGCAAGTCAGCAGCCTCGGCAAACGCTTTTTTTATGACTTCTCGATCCCTGAATGACTTGTGTTGAGCCTGGACGTGGCTCACACGGAGCGATGAGACGATTGCCGCTTTCCCTCTTGTATTAGGCCTTGTGAAAACCGACTGCTGCTTGATGAGATTTTAATTTTTCCATTTTTCTTTTCTGTAACTCACTTTTATTGAAGGTTATTGAAAAAAGAAAATAGTCAAATAGCCCGTTTATTTTTTGTCACACTTTCTTGCGATCGATCGACTGGTTGGGCACCCCTGGTCTAAATCATATAAACGAAAACATGACACTTGTTTGGATTTTTCTCGTCAGTGGGGGCTGTGGAGCACGGTGTTGTTTTGTTGTTTTGGATTAGAAGCAGGTGATCACGACAGATGCAGCTTTCACTTGCGAGGGTTTTGGCGATTTTTGGCTGCTCTCTGTCATGTTAACAATTGGCTCTGAGCTGCAGCTTGATAAGCCAGTCATACCTGTTCAGCCCTGGTACCAGCAGCCTAAGATAAATCAATGCATTAAATAATTCCAGAATTCTGTAGTAGATCTTGTAAATTGTTTGAAACGTAATGTCTAAATCAGCTAGCCAGGACAGGGCTGCATCCAATGACAAAAGCTGGACAGCAGACTGCTCTCGTTTTTCACTTTCGATTCTTAAAAACTGAAACTTAGTGACGGTCACGTCATATCACAGCTTCTTAACCATTTCATCCCTGAAATTGCATTTTGTTCGAAATATGTCACAGGAGAGACAACAAGTAAGGTAAGCATGTTCAAGTGTGAAATTTGATCAAATTGGGTGTATGTACGTTAAGATACGGGGACTTGCAAATGTATTCATCCCTCTTACAAATTAATAACAAACGATGCTTGAATGTTCAAACTGGACACTTCTGTGGGTGACCAGTTCTAATTCAGCATGCAAAATCGTCATTAAAAGGCAAGTGTGCCCACTCATTTAAAATTAAAGAGAATTTTTTAATTATCCATTCATCACAAGTCAAAATGTATATCTATAACTTAATTTAATTAAGTTTTCAATCTTTTTCAATACTGTTAATGTGGCCTCAGGGCCTGCAGTACTTACTGCAATTATACCTTAAGATACCAAGCCCAGCTGTTCCTGGATGATACATTTGTGATGTAGAGCTGCCTGTGTTTTTCTGCAGCTCGCTGGTTCCAACTATTGTGTGAAGTGAGTATTCTAGATGTGGGTGATTTCTCCTTTTATCTTTGTACCCCGAAACTGCACAGTTTCGATTCTGCTCTGCCTGTGACGCAGATAGTTTGAAAAGGGTGAACAGAACTTAACTCGTGTTGCATGAAAAAAGGTGTTTGGTAGGAATTGGATTTTAATTATTGGGGTGGGTAAGGGATTAAATCTTTTTATATAATTAGGATAGTATATTAAAATGTGTAACTTGTCTACTTGTTTCTTTACTGTCCTATGCAATATGATGTATATTGTTTCACAGCTTTTGGGATTGAAAATGAGTTAATGAATCTGAAGAATCTAAGATTCCTCAGTCTTGTAGATCTCAGAAATCTCAGAAAATTGACAAAATGATACCGAAATTCTTTTTAAATTCTGTTCCAGATCTGCTAAACCGTACATCAGGAATAAAGTTTATTTTTGTCTGTAACTTGAGATTTTTGTCAATTAGTTTGTTTAACAAAATACCTAAAGAGCGCAACTCGGCTCGACAGATATCAAAGTTGCCAAACTAAATCTCACACAACGGGTTGGCGAATAAGTGCCAAATTCTTCTGAAGATTGTATTTGCCCCACATAGGCATGAATGTTGCACCCAAAACTATTGAAAAGCGACACGGTGGTCCTATCCTGTTTGCAAAATGATCTTACTTCAGTGCCAAGAACAGTTAGTCTTGGGGGATTCCCAATAACCTGAGCTGCTGCCACGCCTTCTAATGCCGGTGGTTTTCCTTCCTTGTCCGTTACCCTGTTGGACGTAAGCGATGGGCCGCAAGCTGAACGTGAAAAGAGTCAAGGATCCCGAATCCTTGGACATGCGAAAGTACAGGGCTGTCAAAAGGGGCAGTTTCTCCTTAGAGCTCAGTCGGGAAGATCCCAGGTCGAGGAAGTTTTCAGAGCGCTCGAAGCTGCGGTACTTCGTCTCGGCCTCCACGCCGGTCTGCTTCAACCTGAACCTCGGGTACCCGGAGAAATACAAGCCCAAGAGCAAGAAAGTCATGGACGGGGTCGACCACGTGCTGGGCTGGATCCGCCACGAGCGATACGACCTCAGGCAGGGGTGTGGCTTCGGACGCACGTCCCGCAATCCGCCAGCAGCCTTATCACCCTGCAGCTCCCAGCTGGCAGCCCAATGGAGCGCAGCGGTGTGGGCCTGGCCAGTACCTGGAGGGGAGACTCCTGGGAGAGCTGAGGCTGCTGCTGGGAGATGTGTTAAAGGGACCAGTAGGGGGCGCTCACCCTGTGGTCTGTGTGGGTCCTAATGCCCCAGTACAGTGACGGGGACACTATACTGTAAAAAGGCGCCGCCCTTCCGATGAGACGTAAAACCAACGTCCTGACTCTCTGTGGTCATTAAAAATCCCAGGGTGTTTCTTGAAAGCAGGAGGGGTGTAACCCCGGCGTCCTGGCCAAATTTCCCATTGGCCCTTACCAATCATGGCCTCCTAATAATCCCCAACTCTGAACTGGCTCCATCACTCTGTTCTCCTTCAGTCTGCCACTTCAGAGACAGTAGCCCATAACATTGAAAAAATGAAATAACACGACAGTTAGACATGTTGGAGTACAGCTAGAGCTGTATAGGGTTTTTTAATGACAACTCACAAGGCACTGCAAATGTGGTCACAGCAGTAAGCCTGCCTCAGAATCGCAAATCATACTGACCTGCAATATTACTTATCAACACTTCACTAGATTTGATCAGGAAGGACAACGTCTCACACAAATTATTGTGTTAACAATTCAGTAGTACAGCATATTTAATGCAAATCTGTAAAACTATACAAAAATTCCAAGCAAGACAATACAGCCTGGCTCAGTAACCTAACAACGCTTCCACGCCAAGCGCAGTTTTATTTAAGGAACCGGAGCTCTCTCTGCTGGCCAGAGTGGAGGATGCACGAGTGTCTGTCGTCCTGTTCCACGGCTAACGGGCGAAATTAAATTTTAAGCGAAATAAGCAACAGCACGTACAGTGATAACCCCCTTACAACGCAGAGTCCGCATTGGAAAACGATCTTGTTTTCTTCACTGCGGGGAAAACAAAAACTAGACACAGTGGCACTTAATGACGGTAGTGTCTGAAATTATTGACTTCCCTTGGCCCACCAGAGTTCAGTACCGTTTCTGTGTCACTCAATTCACAGATCCCCATCCATCTGTTCTTTAAAAATATAAAGCATTCTGCTACAGTGCACTTAAGGCAGGACAGTACTGGCACTTCAAATGAAGCCTTGTTTCCTTCAGAAACAGCTGGGTGAGGTTCTCAAATCAATACACTACTAACGGTCAACTGAACTAGATGGAGTGAATGGCCTCCTCTGGTTTATACTGTAACCTGCGCGTTCTTCTGCCCGAGATCGCCTGCTGCTAGCTGTGTCTCAGACCACACCCCTCCTAACTCCTCAGTACTAGACCACATTTTTGCAAGACGCAAACGCATGCACGAGAGCTCTCTTCCACTGTGTGAACCCATCTTATCAGTTTTTACCATCGTACCAGAAATAAAAAAGAGAATCAGACCACAAAAAATAAGATTTTCTACCAAAGCCAACTTCTGTTTTTAACTACACATTCTGTACATGGGAGTTCAAACTGCTTTCCTTTTACAGAATGCCCTCCTCCATTCTAAAATCACCGCTGGAAATCTAAGGCCAGTTAATATGTTATCGACAGTTAACTGCTCAGGCTTAACTCAGGAGTGACAACGGTTCACTCTGTAATACAATTACAGATTTGTAACCCACAGTAGCAACAGCATCACTGCCAAGTCTCCACAGCCTGTGTGTCTGGGGGTCAGTCTGATTATAACAAACTCGTAACAGGAGCTCTCTAACCAAGCTGGTTTTCCTCAGACTGATGCTGAGCCCCGCTGACGCAGAATAAACAGCCACATAAGCACGTCGTGTTTTGTCTTTGCAGTAACCAGGTTTAGAAACACAGCCGCCAATCTTGTGGACAGGAGGGCTTTTCTTCAAGGACTTGTCTTGAGATAAAGAGACTTGGTGCAGCAGGACTCTTGTTACAGTGTGTGAGGCTTCAACGTGTCAGGCCTGTGCTAACCCCTTCCTTTCTGCTCTTCCCGTGCCTGAGAAAGATGCAGCAAATCACTGCAAACTCCCGGCACGAGTCTCTTTCCTTTTCACAGTTTAGGATCCGTATTCTGCCAGTTCTCCGTGTTCTCGCAGAGCTCAGAGCGCAGACACAGGAGGTCTCGGCCCCCGCAGGGTCTCTCAGGGCTTCAGTAACAGCAGGAGGCAGATGAGGATCGATCAGGGGGGGACTGTGGGAAGGCGTCGGGGCAGGTTCTCCTGTCGGTGCTGCAGCGGGCGGGCTGGGCCCGGCCCGCGGGTCAGCGCCTGACCTTCCGGGACAGCCCCATGACCTTGAAGGTGACGGCGGTGATCTTCTCGTAGACCACAAACATGAGGGCGGCCGTCAGCACGGTCTGCAGCAGCTTGGCCTCCAGCCCTTTGTACAGGCCGGCAACCCCCTGCTTGCTGGAGAGGCGACGAGGAAGAGGAGGAAGAGGAAGGTAAGGCAAGGCGGGAGGAACACCCCGGATCGACTCTCGTCAGCCCCAACTTCCACATTCATGAGACTTTTGTCCTGTGTGAGGATTATTATTTATCTAATACTTTCCTCTAAAGCGACTTAACATTTATACAGCTGGACACTGTCAGAGCCGTCCAC